CCTCAGCCCCGCCGCCGCCCCCTCCTCCGCCCGCTATCGCCGCCACCACCACAACAGCCGCCGCCCTCAGCTGGGCCCATGCCTGCCGGGAGCGGCGGCGGCAGCAGCAGCGCCCTGGCGCCCTTCCCTCCCGGCGTGACGCTGCGCGCTGACGTCACGGGGCTGTAATGGTGGTGTGCCTCAAGATTTTTTTCATCAATCAAGTGTGCCTTTGCCCAAAAAAGGTTGGGAAACACTGCTCTAAGCTATAGCTTGTTTAGCTTATACGTAAATCTGGCAATGCCTCCAAGGAATGTATCACGTGTTGCTGGGACGGCACATTCCTTGAAGGCCGGATATGGCGTCTCCTCGGTTGCACTCCCCAATGCTTCCTCTACATCAGTATCTTGGCAAATAGGTACCGCTAATCTCCTCCCACCCTGGTTCCTGGTGTATATCTTTATTCCCTCCTTGTTCCTGATGTAGATCTTCACACACCCCTTCTGTTAAGTGGTGGGTGAACATATCAGACGACACAGCGATTCTTCAAACAGCTCTTGTTTATTCACAGGCCAGGACAGAACTGAACTGAAGGGTTCAGCCAGCCTGCTTATATAGAGCTCCAGTACAACGTAACTGTAACAATTTTCTAAAAGTATCCAATCACTGAACGTCACTTTCGATCCCTTATTTGCTTAACTATCTACAGTATCTCCCTGCTGGCCCAGGGTGAGAACTTCAGTACATAACACCTTCTTCCCTGGTGGCGAGGGACGCCATTTTGCCGTTTGCCTCAGGCGCCAAAATATCTTGGCCCGGCCCTGCTTTCACCAGTCTCCTAATAAGAAACACATTTTCTGTTCCCTTGTGTTTTTGTTTCATTTCAAAACTGGGCAACATATCGCTACCGATATGAAAAGCCTTAATAGATCTTTTCTCCAGGATTTCCCCTCAACCATCAATTTACTGTTTGTTTGTTCATGCATTTCTCTTTCGGCTTGGTTAGTTTAATCTTTTATCTGTGTACCTATTTGACCGTGGCATCTGAATCAGTCATTGTACTTGATTGGAGAAATAATTGGCAAACTGTTCAGTGGGAGCGGGAGCAAAATAAAGATCGCTCAAAGACAGAGCAGCTCAGCAAAAGCAGCTAGAAGACTAAATCTGGACATATTGGTGGTGGGGTCATTTTTATAACTTCAAACATCCAAGCTGTACTTCGGTTGTTTTTGATTTGTGAAAGCAGAAAGGTACTCACTGAATTTTTTGTTGTTGTTTAGTCGTGTCCTACTCTTCGTGACTCACTGAATAACAGTAGTAAATATATTTATAGTTCACACTACCTTCTACAAACGCCTGCTTTTAAGAATTGTGTTTCCTAAGGACAGGTTATTTCTAATGATGATTGGAAATATTCCTCTTCTTCTTTTAAATACACACACATACACACTCCTTTAATTGTGCTGAGGGCTGCAAATATAAATTAGTTACATGTATCAGGTCAAACCTTTTGGCGGACTGAAAAGGTGTTCGGAATAATTTGTATTATTGTTGTTGTTTAGTCGTTTAGTCGTGTCCGCCTCTTCGTGACCCCATGGACCAGAGCACGCCAGGCACCTCTGTCCTCCACTACCTCCCGCAGTTTGGTCAAACTCATGCTGGTAACCTCGAAAACACTATCCAACCATCTCGTCCTCTGTCGCCCCCTTCTCCTTGTGCCCTCCATCTTTCCCAGCATCAGTGTCTTCTCCAGGGAGTCTTCTCTTCTCATGAGGTGGCCAAAGTACTTGCTGTTGTTTAGTAATTTGTATTATTATTCTATGCAAATGTTTAGAATACCTGCAGGTAGCAAGATCAAACGTATCCATTCTTAAGGAAATCAGCCCTGAGTGCTCACTGGAAAGACAGATCCTGAAGCTGAGGCTCCAATACTTTGGCCACCTCATGAGAAGAGAAGACTCCCTGGAAAAGACCCTGATGCTGGGAAAGATGGAGGGCACAAGGAGAAGGGGACGACAGAGGACGAGATGGTTGGACAGTGTTCTCGAAGCTACCAACATGAGTCTGACCAAACTGCGGGAGGTAGTGGAAGATAGGAGTGCCTGGCGTGCTCTGGTCCAGGGGGTCACGAAGAGTCGGACACGACTAAACGACTAAACAACAGCAAGCACCTGGTACCATCATTACACATCGTTAGGTGGCAGGCGAAAACCTTTCTCTTTACCCTGGCCTTCAGCCATTAATCTATGGCCTTTTAAAAATGGGGGAATGTTATTCTGAAACCCCCACCCCGTGGTTGCTTTAATAAATCAGCACTGGTGAAATGTTTAGTAGTTCAGATGATGAACCACCACTCTAAATCTCAGAGGCTCCCAAATAAGTTGACAGGAGCAAGTGAGAATCTGAGTAGTCGCATTGCTGTCAGCCTTGCAAGATGGTTGAGGCAGAGCCTCAGTACACAACCTTGTGTTTTCAGGGTCTGCGTGTGCCTTTGACAATGGTACATTCTTCGAAATCAGAACAAAATGCTCCGTGCAGGATCTACAGGGGGGAATGCAACCTTGCCATCTCTGGCAGATGAGTGCCTAGATTAAGCTAAAATGCTTCTTACCATCATAAAGTTTATCCTAATGTTTTGCCAAAATCTGCTCACCTGATATTTCCACCTGCTGGTTTGAGTCCACCCCTCTAGAGCAGCAGAGATACAGTGGTACCTCGGGTTACATACGCTTCAGGTTATATACGCTTCAGGTTACATACGCTTCAGGTTACAGACTCCGCTAACCCAGAAATAGTGCTTCAGGTCAAGAACTTTGCTTCAGGATGAGAACAGAAATTTTGCTCCGGCGGCGCGGCAGCAGCAGCAGGAGGCCCCATTAGCTAAAGTGGTGCTTCAGGTTAAGAACAGTTTCAGGTTAAGAACGGACCCTGGAACGAATTAAGTACTTAACCCAAGGTACCACTGTATTTCCTTAGAATTCAGAAACTGGTAATCTAAGGATTTGTCTTAAAGTCATTTGGTCCAGGCAGGTCCTAAAGACTCAGGGATTGTTGATGGAGTTGGGTATGTTCAGCCAGGGGAAGAGAAGATTTAGAGGTGGTAATATAGCCAGAGGTAATACAATAGGGTCACATTATTTCAAGAAGTAAAAATCAGGACACAAATAAAGTTGTTGTTGAGCTTTTTTTTTTGGTAAAAGCAAGTTGCTTTTAGAAAAGTTTGCTTTGGGAGGGGGGCAAGTTTCAAAAGCCCAGACATTTTGCCGATTTCCCAAAATTCCCCCTACAATATGATGCTCTAGATGGCAGAACACAAAATAATGGATTAAAATTTCAAGAATGGGGATTCTGACTAAACGTTAGGAAGAACGTTCTGACAGAGAGAGGTGTTCGGCAGTGGAGCAGACTCCCTTGGGAGGTTGTGGACTCTCCTTCCTTTGAGACTTTTAAGCAGAGGTTGGATGTTTACATGTCATGCATGCTTTAGCTGTGATTCTTGCATTGCAGGGGGTTGGACTAAATGACCCCTGGATTCATAGCTGTCAACTTACAGATTTGAAAATAAGGGACCAGCAGCCTTGAAAATAAGGGAGCAGCAGCCTTGAAAATAAGGGACCTGCAGCCTCACCTGTTCCAGGCACTCCACTCTTCCTGTCCTCCTGCAGTCTGGTCAAACTCATGCTGGGTAGCTTCGAGAACACTGTCCAACCAACTTTGTAACCAGAGGTTCAACTGAATAGAATCTGAATCACATGCACCACAAGGCCTATGCAGCCTCAACTTAAGATGGCTCCCCGGCCTGGCTTTGCACTGCAAAGTTTGCAGCAGCACGTGCAACAAAATGGCGACCAGAATTCAACCCCCCCCCCTCAGCTTGCATTAACTAACCACACACAAGGCATGCAAGCTCCACCCCCCAGTCGTTCTTAGACTTCTTATTGGGTGAGCAACAAAGGCAAGCAACACAGTTGGAGCCTCCCTCCTCCCTGGCTGGCAGTGAGGGAGAGAGAGGAGCTGCTTCATTTGAAATTTAAGGGACATCATTTAAGGGACATCCATCAATAAGGGACAGCAGCGGGACATGGCGCTGGAATAAGGGACTGTCCCTTCAAATGGGGACACTTGACAGCTATGCCTGGATTCCCTTCCAACTCTATAAAAATCTGTTATTCTAAATTTATCTTAGATTTTCTTGTGCATAACGTCGTTTCAAGTTGTTCCTCAATATTCTAGTCTGTGGACCAAGAATCATAATAGTAAAGGTTGCCGGGTCCTCTTGTACAACAAAGCTCTGGTTCTTCCTCTGGCTTAAGGACTGCGATGACTAATTTTTCTGTAATCAATGTTTTTGAGATTCTGTGCCTGCAAAGCAATTCCTCTAGCAGTGAGGGTCAAAGTTATTATGAGAGCATTGTGAGTGCTTTCATTGGGTCAAAGAGAACAAAGTCTAAATTTAGCCCTGTGTGTTTGTTGTGGGTCAATTGAATGCACTGTTTTGGTCTTTCCCCTAGAAATTAATGGAAAATACATGGAGGAAGAAGATAAACAGCCAAAGATATCCGCAGGCTTAAAGACATTTTGTGATGTTATATCCCCCAGCAATTAAGTTTTAAAAATAAATCAAGCAAGCAGAGAACAACTCAAGGTTCAGAGCACAAGATAGGGAGTCTGTAACCCTCCAAGTTGTCATTGAACTCAAACTCCCATCATCCCCAGTCAACATGGCTAATGGTCAAGCAAAAACATCTGAAGGGTGACAGGTTCCCCATCCCTGATCTAGATAGTGGTGACTCTATCCAAGGAAAGTGGAATAATCTGTTGTTATCACACATGATCAGGTCATGTGTCTCTGTAGACATCTTGGACAGGATTCAACCAATGAGTTCCATCAGCAGAAGTTCATGCAAGGACTTCTGCTTGCGCAATGGAGGTTGCCCTCCTTTCCACCTGTTTCAGCACCAGAGCCATGCAGCCAGAGAGAAGACCAAATAAATATAATTCTTAATGTTTCTGTTTTCCAGATTGAATATTTGAGGATGACTGCTTGAAGAGGAGGCACTTGGCTCCAGCATGTCCCTCTGTGCATCATCTCACAAGGAGTTGCCACCAATCCAAGATCTCGTATGTACCAAAGCAGAAGTGAAAAGCTCCCTCTCCGAGCTGGTCTCTCCTGTCCCTTTCAGCTGCAGCCAGTCTGCTTTGAGCGTTGAGCACAGCCCAATTTACATCCCATCCTCTTATATGGAAAACAGGCATGAGTATCCGGCCATGACATTCTACACCCCCGCTATGATGAACTACAGCATTCCAAGCACTTTCGGCGACTCGGAAAGTGCCTCTCTCAGACAGTCAGCCAGCCCGAGCATGTTATGGTCTGGTTCTGACCACATCTCTCCTTTGACTTTACACTGCCAGTCGTCCGTTTTATTTGCAGAGCAACCAAAAAGCCCGTGGTGCGAAGCAAGACCCGGGGATCATGCCCTTCCTATGCACAGGTAACAAATGCTTATCTATCTGTCTTCCATCAGTTCCAACAGTGTTGTTTCTCCAAAGCATAGGCTTTGGGGGGAGATTGCTGTAGTGTGAACAACTACAGTGGGAACAACTACAAGCAGCCAGTGTGGTGTAGTGGTTAGGAGTGGTAGACTCGTAATCTGGGAAACCGGGTTCGATTCCCCGCTCCTCTACCTGCAGCTGCTGGGTGACCTTGGGCTAGTCACACTTCTCTGAAGTCTCTCAGCCCCACTCACCTCACAGAGTGTTTGTTGTGGGGGAGGAAGGGAAAGGAGAATGTTGGCCGCTTTGAGACTCTTTAAGGGGAGTGAAAGGCGGGATATCAAATCCAAACTCCTCCTCCTCCTCTTCTTCTTCTTCTTCTTCTTCTTCTTCTTCTTCTTCTTCTTCTTCTTCTTTGGAACTCCCTGCTGATTGACACCAGACAGGTATTTTTCACGGTACTCTTTTTGGAGCCTGCCAAAAATGTTTTTCTTTAGGCAAGTCTACCCAGATAATTATTCATATTTGAATATTTTACACAGTTGTTTTTAACTGTTTCATTTTCTGGTAATTTCATTATTTTATTCTTTTTGTAAACCACTGTTTGTTTGCTTTCTCTCCCCCAAAAACAGTAACAACAAACAAAGGGTATATACGTTATATGTGGCTTTCCTGCTATCATGTCAAGTGGGGCTCGTGACAAGAGAATGGCTTATTGGAGCAGAGATTTTGGCCGAACTCCTTCCTCCCTTCTTTTCTGAGAATTGGTTTTAAAGAGGCATTTCTTGTCTTCAGAATGAGCTGCCTTTGCAGACACCCCCTCTTTTGCAGTTGCGCTTCTCCTCCCGTTCGTTTTTGTGTGGCGGTGTCTTAATGGTGTGTTCATGCCATTAATTTATTGCCATGGAAACAATGATTGTGGTATTGAGCAATCCTGAATTATAACTTAAATGAAAGTTCAAAGATGGGAAGAGTATGAACTCCACAGAACCAATCCCTCCCGCTTTCCTTGATTAAATGAGCATAGGCCATTATTATTATTATTATTTTAATGAAAGGGTTTTGTTTTTAAATACGATGCGCCAAACTTTGCTTGAGTTAGAAGGGAACCTCTTTGAAGCCCTGAGGCAGTTGACACAATTCAGAGCCCCACACGTGCAGTGAAGCATGCGTGGAGCATCTATGCTTGCAGAGCTCCAGTGGAGGAGATTCTTTCACATAGGCCCATCTCTTTGGATTTGTTGAGCAACGCCATCTATTGTAAGGTTGCCATATTTCAAAAAGTAAAAACCAGGACGCCCTGAAAGTTGTTGAGCTTCCAGCATAACCCCTCCAATTTTATTTTTTCACAAAAACACCAAAAAAACACAACAACCCCCGTAATTTTTCGATTGGCTTGACTAACGTCCAAGACAAAGCGCCGCCTTTCGGAAATTCACCCCAGATGTCAATTCCGCCTTTGAAATCCCAGTAATGTCCGGGAAAATCAGGATGTATAGCAACCCTAAGCTATTGAAGAAATGTTAGCAAGCCCCCCGCTCTTCTCCCTTCCCCTCCCCAACACAAAAAGCAAACGTAAAAGTTTTTCATTGAAAACTGTCAGTCTGGCTCAGCTGAAGTAAAAAAAAAAAATCATTATTTTTACACATCCTCAGGTAAGCAGAAAGGGAAGTGACTAGGGCATGCATAGGCAAACTAAGGCCCAGGGGCCACATCCGGCCCAATCGCCTTCTAAAACCGGCCCACGGACGGTCCAGGAATCAGCATATTTTTTACATGAGTAGAATGTGTGCTTTTATTTAAAATGCATCTCTGGGTTATTTGTGGGGCATAGGAATTCATTCATCCCCCCCCCCGCAAAAAATAGTCCGGCCCCCCACAAGGTCTGAGGGACAGTGGACCAGCCCCCCGCTGAAAAAGTTTGCTGACCCCTGGACAAGGGCCTTGGAATAAGGAGAAAACGGTGGGAATATATAGGCCTATGGACTTCAAACATATTTTTAGTGTGTGCTAATTTAATATAATTTTTAGGAACAATGACTCTGGGCAGCTTCCAGCATATACAAAAATTTAACAAAACATTAAACGTTAAAAAACTTCCCTATACAAGGGGTCCTTTCTGCAGCATTGTAAAGGCAGCCAGATTTATGGAGGCACAAAACAAAAAACTGCCAGAGGTTTTGAGGTAGAAAAAATAAAATCACCCAGTAGTTTTGAGGACTGCCACAAAAAGTTACGAGGTAAAGATGTACATGCCACTTCACTGTTTCCTAACGGCTCTTCTCTTGTTCCCCCAGAGAAACGCTGAAAAGAAAAGCCAACAGCAACGACTGTACCAGCCCCTCCACAAACAGCCCCGTCTCGAAAAGGGATGCCCATTTCTGTGCCGTGTGCAGCGATTATGCCTCAGGATATCACTATGGCGTTTGGTCATGTGAGGGCTGCAAAGCGTTCTTCAAAAGAAGCATTCAAGGTAAGGGGAATGTCAGGCTTTCCCGGGAAAGGAAATTCTTCGGGGATGCAAATGTTTCTGCAAAAGCGTGTGAGTGTGTTACTGCTTTCACAGATAAGAATTGCCCCGCAGATAAAAATGCTTGAATACATGGAACTTGCAATTATGACGGAAAAGATCGGAGATTGTTCAACCCAAAAGTTCAAGAGGGAATGGGAAATTTATAGACAATATTTTTAAAAGAACAGTGTCCTCATATAAAACCTCAGAAAGCTTCGAATAACTCTCGGAACTGATTAAGGTATAAAGAATACAAACAAGATTTAATAAGGATAAGGTTTATTGGAAAATAGAGGCAAGTAATTAAGAAAACAAAGAACCTATATCAAGGAAGTCGGAAGCTGATGGAATATTCTTGTGAATGGATTGTTCTGGTGATGGATTGTTCTATTGTTTTTTTGTTTGTAAGAGATGTATTGTGCTTCTTTTGTTTCGTTTTCTTTTCTTTTTTCAAGCTTTTGTTGTTTGTGTATGTGTTGATTTTAAACCAATAAAGTTTTTTGTTTTTTTTTTAAATGTTCCTCTCTCCAGCTACTTTCTTACCATTGGTGGGAGTGGGGAAGATCCATAGTCCCCAGTTTGGAGGGAGGGAGAGATGGAAAGCTGAACACCACCCACAACGAACAAACATTAATTTCTTGGGAGAGAGAATGACTTTTGAACTCCAGTTCACACTGAATGCTGCTGGTCAGGCTCCGAGTGGTTTACAACAGCCCTGCAGTGTCGTCCAGCATCATTAAGCGCCTGTTGCAGGTTGAAGAGTCTGAAGAAAAGAGAGTTCAGTGACCACCCTCCCAGTGGTGTGATCCATTGATTTTCTCTCGACCTTGGAGCTTGGGCCTTGTCAGAGGAATCTGTGCATAGGATTGCATCCTGTGCCCCATTCCTGCTCTTGAATTAGCCTGAAATCCATGTTTGCTCAGAAGAAAATCTCATTCTCTTTGAATGGTTACTCCCCAATAACTGGTCAGTTTTAGTGCAGGTCTCTTTACAGGAGCTTAATGTCATTCAGGGAAAGCAAAACATGTGCATGTCATATGTTCTGTTCATTTCTGCTTTATAGAACAGGACAAAATAACCTTTTGAAGGCCGTGACATATGCTGAGAAACTTGGTGGCCCAACATTTTAATCTTGCTTCCAGCGGACCTTTGACTGCAAACAACCTTCGCTGCCAACCACAGGCTTCACATCTGCTCTCTGAAGGCTTATCAAAAACCACCCAGCAGTCCTGCAAAACTGATTTTTCAGGTCACAGTAAACTAAATTTTCTTAGTATCTGTGTCAAAGAGCAAACAAGCTCCTCCACCCTGAAATATCTAAGCTGAAAAATTTCATAAAGCTTTTTTGAAGGCTTATGGAAATTCAGCACAAAATGTTTTCAATAATTGTATGATCCAGGACAGCTTCCCACTTGAGGCTTATTTATTTGCAAGGGACAGAGGAGAATGAAACAGAATTTGCCTTTTCTTTCCCTGAAAGCTAGCCTTGCTGATAACCCACAGACATTACTAGCCTGCAGATATTTTTATTAGCTGGGAGCAGAGCTGGGAGAGCTGGCAGAGGAGTGAGTGAGATTTCTGCCCTTCCTGAAACAGGCCAAAAACCCCCCAAAGTGCTGCACTAGTGAGCACAAAACAACCCTCTGCTACGCCACAAATCCAACTCAATGGTGTAACGTTGGAAAGTGTCGATCACTTCTCCTACCTGGGCAGTTACCTTTCCACAAGGGCCAACATTGATACTGAAATCCAGCATTGCCTGAGCTTGGCAAGTGCAGCTTTCTCCCGACTGAAGTGCAGAGTATTTGAGGACCAGGACATTTGCAGGGAAACCAAAACGCTTGTTTACAAAGCTATTGTACTACCAACCTTACTGTACGCTTGTGAAACATGGACCACTTATAAACGCCATCTCCAACTCCTCGAAAGATTCCATCAATGGCATCTCTGAAAATTTTTACATATCACTTGGGAAGACAGGCGAACAAATGCCAGTGTACTGGAAGAAGCAAAGATCACCAGTGTTGAAGCAATGATTCTTCAACATCAACTTCATTGGGCTAGTCATGTTGTTTGGATGCCTGATTATTGTCTTCCAAACAACTACTCTATTCCAAACTTAAAAATGGAAGTAATGCTGGTGGTCAACAAAAGAGGTTGAAAAACTCACTCAAGGCAAATCTTTAAAAATGTAGTATAAACCCCGACAATTGGGAAACATTGGCCTGAGAGCGCCCCAATTGGAGAACAGCCTTTTCCAAAGGTGTCATTGACTTTGAAGACACTTGAACTCAGGATGAAAAAGAGAAACGTGCTAAGAGGGAGGCACGTTTGGAAAATCCTCACCATGATCAATTCCTGCCGGAAACCTATGTCCCCACAGTAGGACGTGTTGATCCAGAATTGGCCTCCGGAGTCACCTATGGATTCACTGTTAAGACTGTGTTCATGGAAGACAATCTTACTCAGCTACGAGTGATCGCCAAAGAAGAGAAGAATTGCATTTCTGTGCTGGACGAGGGGAGAACCCACCTGGTTTCTATGCTGGGTGCAATGGAGGGATTTGACTGCATGCAATTCCTTCTCACTTCTGGCTACCAGGTGCATGCTTCATGAAAGCCGACTATAAACCTACATGCATACAGCCTCTCTAAAGGTGAATGTAAAAGGAAAGGAAAGGGAGAAGCTTAGCCAGGCAGCTGGTAGGCCTTCCAAGGCTTGTGCGTGTTCCCTGTTGCTACGATGCTGTTTGTCAAATCAAGGATGCCTGACTGCTCAGGGCCACATACCGAGTGCTTAGTACAGTGAGATCAGCATGCAGAAGCCGAGGCTTTGTTTGGCAGCCTTCCACGTGGCAGCTGTGTTGAAAGACAATCCTGGGGTCCTCCGAGGGCAAGCCAAGCTTGCCACTGTCGCCCCACGATACAGGAAAACTTAGGAATTGCCAGCTCACTGTGTGAAATGCCTTGTGTCCCAAATAGGGATGGGAGGATCTGCCAGTTTTGATTCTCACATTTTCCTATCTTAATTTCAGCTCTTCACCGTCTGCATCAATTTGAGAATTTCCTTTAAAAAAGGGAAAAAATCCTCCTCCCCCAAACCAGCATTTTAGTGCAAAGTTCTCACGATAAGCATATTTTTATATGCAGTTTTGACCAATGTGCACATATCAGATACAATGCCTTCTTGTATGTTGCTATCCCTGTTCTATTCATTTTGCTTGCCTCTTAGCGTAGGCATTTCTATAATGGTTGGTTGGAGAACCATATTACAAAATGCAGATAAGGGTGGATTTTGAATGATAGCCATGTTCCCATATTGTTTCAAAAAGTGTGAATTTGATAGATTTGCTTTCATGGACTGGCTGGATGCAGAGGGAGTGGTGGGAGGCACCAGCTGGGGAACCCCCAAGAGAATCCCCCGGGGAAGAAGGCTCAGAGCCAGGGGGTTGCTGGCGGGGCAACAACAAGGTGGTCAGAGGAAGAAGATGGAGCAGACTGGGAGGAGGAAGGGCTGAAGAGGCAACAGGGCTTAGTGAGCAGAGAGAGGCTGTGACAGAGAGCAGTCCAGAATCAGAGGCAGAATCAGAGGCTGGAGAGGAGGGAGGTCAGGAGACAGAGGCGAGGCAGGCTGCTGAAGAATGTGAATCCGAATTATGTTTCCTTAGCTCTAATTATTCACCTCAGATAGAGGAAGGGGGAGAGAAGCACTAATTACATAGGAGCTTCTGCCTGGAGATGTTACTCCATTGCCATCTTAGAATCCTGATACAGTGGTACCTCGGGTTACATAGGCTTCAGGTTACATAGGCTTCAGGTTACAGACACTTCAGGTTACAGACTCCGCTAACCCAGAAATAGTACCTCGGGTTAAGTACTTTGCTTCAAGATGAGAACAGAAATTATGCTCCGGCGGCGCAGCGGCAGCGGGAGGCCCCATTAGCTAAAGTGGTGCTTCAGGTTAAGAACAGTTTCAGGTTAAGAACGGACCTCCGGAACGAATTAAGTACTTAACCCGAGGTACCACTGTATTTCCTTAGAATTCAGAAACTGGTAATCTAAGGATTTGTCTTAAAGTCATTTGGTCCAGGCAGGTCCTAAAGACTCAGGGATTGTTGATGGAGTTGGGTATGTTCAGCCAGGGGAAGAGAAGATTTAGAAAATGTTATTTTTGTTCCAAACCCTACAGATCGTGGACAGAGTGGAATGTTTTGGAAAATGGCAGAGGGATATATCTAGGTTTGTCTGGCAGGGCAAAAAGCCCCGAATAAAATTTAAAATATTAACTGACTCAAAAGAAAGAGGGGGGTTTGCCCTGCCGGACTTGAGGTTGTACTATGAAGCTGCAGCCTTCTGCTGGTTGAAAGATTGGTTCCTGCTGGAAAACACTGATGTCCTGGATCTGGAAGGGTTTGACAATATCTTTGGTTGGCATGCATATTTGTGGTACGACAAGGTGAAAGCGCACAAATTGTTTAAAAACCATATTGTCAGAAAAGCAATTTTTGCCGTCTGGATGAAATACAAAGACCTATTAGAAAGTAAGACCCCGAGGTGGCTATCACCGATGGAGGCCAAGGCTCGAAAAAGACCCAATATGGAGGCCCATTGGCCAAAATATTGGGAAATAATTGAAAGAATTGGAGATAATTGGAAGTTGCAGAGCCAGGAAAAGTTAAAAAGTAAGGTGCGAGATTGGTTACACTATGCTCAAATTCAAGAGGTTTTTAAAATGGATAAAAAAGTTGGTTTCCAGGTGGAAAAATCAGAACTGTTAGAACCAAAGACTAAGATACTTTCGAGAATGTATAACTTGTTGCTTAAATGGAACACACAGGATGAGATAGTTAAATCTGCCATGATAAAATGGGCTCAGGATGTTGGTCACAACATTATGTTTGAAGACTGGGAAAGGTTATGGAACACCGGAATGAAGTTCACGGCATGTAGTGCCTTGAAAGAAAACATTATGAAAATGGTATACCGGTGGTACATGACCCCAGTCAAGTTAGCTAAGATATATCACCTGTCTGATAATAAATGTTGGAAATGTCAAGAGGCAGAAGGGACATTCTTTCACCTCTGGTGGACCTGCCCAAAAGTGAAGGCCTTCTGGGAAATGATTTATAATGAACTTAAAAAGGTATTTAGATATACCTTTCCCAAGAAACCGGAGGCCTTCCTTCTGGGCATGGTGGACCGGAAGGTGTCAAAAAAAGATAGAACCTTGTTTATGTATGCAACTACAGCAGCAAGAATTCTCATCGCAAAGCACTGGAAGACACAAGATTTACCCACACTGGAGGAATGGCAGACGCAGTTGATGGACTATATGGAACTGGCTGAAATGACTGGCAGAATCCGAGATCTGGACGAGGAAATAATAGAGGAGGACTGGAAAAAATTTAAAGATTATTTGCAAAAACATTATAAACTGTATGAATGTTAAGAATGTGCACGATTAGGAAATGTTATGCTTTCGCAATTTGATTAAGTAAATGGTAAAGTAAGTGATAACAAAGAAAAAAAGAGGAGACAAATGTGAAACAAATATATTATGTTTATTTTAAAGGTACTAAAACTGGGGTATAACATTCTGAATTTGGAAACATAATAATTGAAAGTTACAGTAAGTCGCGAAATAAGGTAACAAATTGCTGACACTGTTATTGCATAGAACGCAAGGCCTGGAAGATGTGAGGAGGTCCAACTGACAGTGATAAATTATGGAAAGATGATTTGACACATATCTATTCTTTTTTATTTTCTTATATCTTCATAATTTGTTTCTTGTTTTTTACTCTTGTATTTTTGAACTTGTGAACCTATGGAAAGAAACGCAATAAAAAATATTTATAAAAAAAAAAGAACGGACCTCCGGAATGAATTAAGTACTTAACCCGAGGTACCACTGTAGTTATTAAATTAGCCCCATCCTTTTTCCGCTGAAGAATCCAGGGAGTCTCCTCCTCCAGCTGCTGCGACCAGCAAACCTCCTCCTTGGTCTCCCAGAACCCAGAGAGGCATGAAGAGGCCAGAGCCTATCAGGCAAGACGAAGGAGCCTCAAGTTGCTTGGGAAGGACCCAGGAGTGGGGGAAGCTTAGGCAACTATAGGAAGACAGGGAGCTTCTGTCTCTGCCTCATAGGGGCAAGACCTACTGAAGAAGCTGCTGTGCTCACTAGGCATGAACTGCCTTGTTTCTTTGCATAAAGAGTTAACTTCACTGACACCTTGTGAGTTATTGCTGACCTGTTCCTGACACCTGCCCTGACAATTTGGCTCTAAATGTGAACTGAATCAAATTTCTTCCCTATCCTTAGTTACAAATCACAGAAACCTAGGAGCCTGCCTTATCCCAAGTCAGTCCATCTAGCTCAGTATTGTCTAAACAGACTGGCAGCAGCCCTTCACAGTTTCAGGCATGAGTTCAGTACTACTTGGAGATGTCGGGGATTTGAACCTGGAACCTACTGCATGCCAGGCAAATGCTTAACCTCTGGACCAATCGCCACAGGTATAATCACAGTCCTCAGCAGTGATTTCCTTCTTCTTCAGATGTTCCCCCTTTTCTCTCTCCTTGCAGGACACAACGATTACATTTGCCCAGCGACAAATCAGTGCACAATAGATAAAAACAGACGCAAAAGCTGCCAAGCCTGCCGACTTCGGAAATGCTACGAAGTCGGGATGATGAAATGTGGTGAGTTTTGCATTCCCTTGGGTCTGTCCTGTCGCGTTTCTCAGTTACAGATCTTTGCTCGCATTCTAGAGGAGTCGCGGGCTCTCATCCTGACCGCAGTTATGCATGTGCGAATTTTCATTCTCATGGTTCAGGCAGACTGTACTGGCTTGACTTCAGTGAGTCACCACTGAACCTGTTGTACTAAAAATCCATTTTGGGAAAAGCTGGCAATACCTGCTGCCTGCCTGAAGTCACATGTCCTCAGTTTGCTCCTCCCCTTCCCATTGCATTCTGCTGGGTGCTCTTGACTGTGTTAGGCTGCAGGCACAGAGCCAGCATGAAGCTACAGTGATGTTGCTCTGCCTTGCCTGCTGCCCTTACTAAGCCTCTGTGATGACTGCTGTTTCATTGACTGCCTTGGTAACACTGAAATAATACAAACTAAAGGGGAAACACGATCTGGTTGAATGTGGACTTGATAACTGTTGATAGATTACATTGCTTTTCATGTCTGGGTTATACCCAGGTCAGGTAATCCCTGTTGCTACACCCTAGATGCCCTATTATTTGAGATTCCTATCCAGGAGAAACATTCTAGGGGGAAACTTACAATTCATAAGGAACTGCAGTGGACACAGCAATCCAGATACACTGCCCATCTTGTCTTGGGTGTTGTCCTTTGCAGGGGCAAGACACTTCCAGATTGCTATTTTTGGGTGAGCTTCAGGTTATGCAATTAAAGCACACCTTCCAACATGGTGCAAAAGAAAATCGGGATGTGCATCTTTAGAGACCATGCTCCTGTGCAAGTTGCATGAATTGTGTGAGAATGCAGCCCCCCCCCCAAAACACAGCCTTTTGGGACCGAGCTCTTGTGGGAGCCAAAACAAGACATCCCAGGGTCAAATCCAGTGCTATTTTTCCAGAAAAGGGGTGTCAGAGCCCACCTTGTTTTCTTAGTATGGCAATGGCACTCACCTGAGAGGTGCGCTCTGGTGCGCTCTGGCATGAAAAAAAGCCCTGGTCCACTGAGAAGCCAGGTTGGCTTCTGTAATTGCAGACTGCTCTGCTCAAAGCAGGACATTGGGGTGGGGGCATGTTAAAGTGGATTTGGAGCTCTTGTGCAACAAACCCACTTCCCCCTAAAATGGACTTTTGTGATAAGGCAAGTGATGGGGATATGCACTGAAAAATAAGGGACAAGAATGTCATGTAACCACCCCACAAGCAAATGAGAGCAAGTGCTCAATACAGAGGTAGTGTGTAAGTCATCTCCCTCCCTTCTCCCCTCTTCTTCTCTCTTTCTCTTTCTTCCAAGGCCCTCCAGGCAGTTTACACTCTCCAGACACTGAAATGCAATTACAAACGAACAGGTTGCAGAAGACTTAGCACTAAAGCAGCAGACCTGTCTCTCATTTCTGATGGTCTCCATCAGACTCTGGCGGTCGGAACTTCCCAGCCAGGGTTTCTCCCTTTCCACCAGGGCGCAGAGGGTCTTTAAGTGAGGTTGTTTTTCGCTCCCTAAGACACACTTTTTTCCTCCTAAAAAGTAAGGGGAAATGTCTGTGCGTCTTATGAAGCGCATGCTGCGCGGAGGAGGGACGTGTAAGCGGCTCCTGTCCGCTTTGCTGCTTTAAAGCGAGCCACAGAGGAGGGAAGGAAGGGGAGCCATGAGGCTCCGTTTTAAAGCAGCAGAGAGGAGCTGTCCGCTTTGCTGCTTTACAGCGAGCAGCAGAGGAGGCACTGAATATTTTTTTTCATGTTTTACTCCTCTAAAAACTAGGTGCGTCTTATGGAGCGAAAAATACGGCAGTAGGTTTTTAGCAGGTGGTGGACCAGGCTTTGCCAGCTGTACTGCCTGGGGTCATTGGTGGTCTCTTCAGGAGCTGACCACATGACTTCACCGGCCTGGACTCTGCTTTTCCTTCAGCTGCCATCCGACACCGTCACAGATGGCCAGGCTCTTTAATCAAGTTGTCATCATTACCTAGCTAGAAGGATCACCAGTGCAGAGTGTACATGCCCAGGAGACACGATGCCATTGATTGGGAATGGAGGAATGACAGTGCGGTTTTGAACAATCCCCTCATGAGGTAGAATGAAAGCTGCCTTTCATCTTTCCAGAAGGCAAGTGGCACAGTGGCACATTTAAATGTAAGGGACACAGGTCCCTCGGGCAGCTGCAGGAGACCCCAATACAACCTGCTAGAGTTGCCTTAGCACAATATCCTACATTCAAGTCACTCCCTGAAATCAACAATGCGCCTGGAAATATATTCTAGGATCCTGGGTTTGGTATTGCTGTGAAGTGGTGAGCAGGCCAGGCTGTGAACCAGGAGATCCCCTGTCCAGACCTTGCCTTTGCCATGAACCCAATCTACTACCTCTCAGCCTTAGTACCAGATTGGCAGTAAACATCTATAGGGATTGCTCCAGCCCCTGCAATAATCATCTGAGGCCTTTCTTCATGTGCCTTCCCCACATCAGGTCTGGAGGATGGCAACGCAAGAACGGGCCTTTTCAGTGGTGGCTCCCCACTTGCTCTCTCCAGGGAGGCTTGCCTGGCACCTTCACTACCTATCTTTAGGCCTCAGGGAAAAACATTCCTCTTTTCCCAGGCCTATGGCTAATTTAAAAATCTGTGGCTGTGTGTTGGGGGGGATATTGTTTTTGTTTGTTACTATGGTATATATATCTTTTGCGATTTTATATTGTAAACTGCCCCGTGATCCTCGGAGGAAGGGAGGCATGGAAATTTAATAAATAACAATAATAATAATAATTCACAACTTATAAATGAAGGACTATAGTAAGGATCACCAAGGGCCTAACTACATGTTAATAACAGGGTTAGCAATCACATTATAGGATTTAAAAACTGAACGCCAAGTGCAGGCTACTGTGGTTGTCAGCAGAAGTTTAGTACGTGGGTTTGTGAAGTTTAAACCTCTGCTCATTGGCTGTGATTTTGGTAAAAAGCATCCCCACTGGCAACAATTACCATTGGGGGGAGGAATTCACATTGACAGCAATTCCAGTGCTAGTTGCTTGTGTGTGTGTGTGTGTGTGTGTGTGAGAGAGAGAGAGAGAGAGAGAGAGAGAGAGAGAGAGAGAGAGAGAGCCAGCCTTACCTCAAAAAGAATATTGTAAAGTTCGGAAGGGTTCAGGGCAGCCAAAGTGATTGAGGGGATGGAGCAACTTTGCTTATGAGGGAAGGCTGCAGCATTTGGGGCTTTTTCGTTTAGAGAAAAGGCGAATAAGATGCAGTATGATAGAAGCTTAGAAAATTAGGCACAGTGCAGAGAAAGTGGATAGAGAAATGTTTTATAGTACTGGAACTCATGGACATCCTGTGGTGCTGAATGTTTAGGGAAGTTTTTAATGTATGATGCTGTATTGTTTTTAATATTTGGCTGGAAGCTGCCCAGAGTGGCTGGGGAAACCCAGCCAGATGGGCGGGGTAAAAATAATAAATTATTGTTATTATTATTATTCAGGACAGGTAAGAGTGTAGCTGAACTATGGAACTCGCTCCAAGAGGAAGCAGTGATGGCCACCAACTTAGATAGCTTTAAAAGGGGATTGGACAAATTCATGTTGTTGTTGTTTATTTGTTTAGTCATGTCCGACTCTTCGTGACCCCATGGACCAGAGCACGCCAGGCACTCCTGTCTTCCACTGCCTCCCGCAGTTTGGTCAAACTCATGCTTGTAGCTTCGAGAACACTATCCAACCATCTTGTCCTCTGTCGTCCCCTTCTCCTTGTGATCTTTCCCAACATCAGGGTCTTTTCCAGGGAGTCTTCTCTTCTCATGAGGTAGCCAAAGTATTGGAGCCTCAGCTTCAGGATCTGTCCTTCCAGTGAGCACTCAGGGCTGATTTCCTTCAAAATAGATAGATTTAATCTTCTTGCAGTCCATGGGACTCTCAAGAGTCTCCTCCAGCACCATAATTCGAAAGCATCAATTCTTTTGTGATCAGCCTTCTTTATGGTCCACCTCTCACTTCCATACATCACTACTGGGAAAACCATAGCTTTAACCATACGGACCTTTGTTGGCAAGGTGATGTCTCTGCTTTTTAAGATGCTGTCTAGGTTTGTCATTGCTTTTCTCCCAAGAAGCAAGCGCCTTAAGAGGCCATTAGCCACAATGGCGATACTATTCCTCCATGGTTGTGGGCAGCAACACTTCTGAATGCGAGTTTCTGCAAACGGTCCTGCTTGCAGGTTTCCCGTTGTGAGAACAGGATGCTGGACAGCTATTGGCCTGATCCTGCAGACTCCTCGTATGTTCTAATAATGTCTTGATTGGGTATGGGTGATTCTTGTGAAACCCTCTATCTGGAAGCAGCACTGAATTGTAAGGGCTAGATTGCTATAGATCTTGGATCAGAAAGTGTTCTGAGAAATCATTTTGTAATCTTCTAAGAATCCATGTATCCGGATTCTGCTTACATTTCCCCCCCTTTGCCATATATTATACCATTTCATTTTATTTGTATGCAATGGGGAATTATTATTTTTTTCAAGGTACAGGAATGCTTTCCTAAACTTCGGAGTCACTCGAGTTGAATTGCAGAGTGGATTTCAAGGAGAAAGAATATTATTGACACTTACGACTTCACGCTGAAAATGAAAAGCGGTTTTCAATCATGTGTCTCATTTCATTTGGGGAGCCTGCCCAGCTCAATCATTAGCCTTTTATTCTAGGAGAGGGAAACAGATATTATATATATATACTGCAATCAAAGCCGAATTCTCTCAGGCTACCCAATCAGTTCATTTATACAACGACTGTGATAAAAGGGTGTTGTTGTCTGTCAGCCTTGGATTTTAGGCTGTTGGGATCAACAGAAGCAGAACTCGGCAGAAGAGACTGGTTACTTACTCATTCTGATCATTTAGAAGCGAAATCTCCTACTGACTTTTATATGCAAATTTAAAATAAATAGGCGTGTACTGAAGGTGCAATGAGGTAGGGGTATGGCAAATAAGTACTCCGTTCTGTCTTTGGAGCAATCATAGAAACTGCAAAAAGCACAACCCCCTGCCCCCCCCCAAAGCACCAGGGTTTGGGTTATTTATGGTATGATAAAAACGACAATTTGTTTTCTGCTAGAACTGTAGAGTTGGAAGGGACCCTAAGGGCCATCTTGTCCATGCTCCAGTGAAGGAGAGTCCACCACTTCTCAAAGGAGTCCATCCCACTGTCAAACAGCTCTTGCTGCCAGAAAGTTCGTGGTTCGATTCTCTCAAACAAAGCCATGGTTTGTAAGCCAAGAAGAAACCTTTGCTACAAACTGTGGTTTGTTTGGAGTGAAATGAATGACAATTCCCAGTTCGGACATAAATCTAAGCCAGGGGTTGGGTGGCACCTTTTCTCTGCATGCTAGAGGGGAGGAACAAAGCAGCCCAAATCTACTTATTAGTTACAAATCATTTAGTATGGCCTTACAGTGAGTGCAAACTGGTGCATTCCCTGTTCAGGCATAGCAGTAGCCCAGAGACCATGGCAGTGTGATGACTGCTGGCTGATTCCTTGCGGCTAGTCAGAGATGACAGGTTAATCTTCAGCAAGGAGCTCATGACGGGAAGTTTCTCTCCCCGGCCTTTGGAATAGGACACCTTCAGCCAATGCCAAGGGTAGAGAAACAGTGTTGAATTAAGAGGACAAAGAATGAGACAGGGAGCTGGATTGCAAGCAGCCCAGCAGGTTCCAGGGCCACCTGGATCATGACCAGCAGCTTTAATGCTTGCATTAGGAACTGATGTATAATTGTAAATAAAACAAACAATTCAAAGACAAGTCTTCAGTGCAGTCTCATCCAAAGCAAAATATCCCCTGTAATGATACCTCTGGAACTTCTAATCACTTTGGGAAATGGAGAGTGCTTAGTAAGGAAAAGCAATGGAAAATGTTGTAATAATCCGGGACCCAGCAATCAAATATCAAAACTGGGACGTGATATTTATAATTTCAGGGTGGGTGAATCAGGGCTGGTGATTGCCTCCATTGAATCTTTAAATAGACCTAACGGGCAGTGTTCTTTCCAGTGTTGAATAGTGGTGAATCTCTGACATGTGGTGTTCTGGCTAGGACGATCTCTTTGCTGTTTACAAAAGGGTAATTGGCTGTGAGGAGCTAGCTGTGACGTTAACATATGAGAGTGCTGGAGGTGAAATAGTTAAACAGGTTACCCAATCAGAACCCGGGGGGGTGGAGTCAGAGGGACTATATAACCAGCTCTGGGAGGGGCGAAGGGAAGAGTTCGTTGGGAGTTGGGTGGTTGGTTGGAGTGGGAGTGAATTGGGATAGAGTCTGTGGGCAGGTTGAGTTAGTGTAGCGAAATAAGCTGAGTCAGGAACAGTTAGGGCTAGGAAGGCAAGTAAATATCTGAGGTGGTTTAGTGAGTGAGAGCAGGTAGCGGAAGTTATAGGTCTGGATAGGTACCCCATGATTGTAATTGACCGATACCATTTATGAAACCACACGCTTGTTAAACTGCAATAAATAAACAGAAATATATGTTCCAATTTAACCCTGACTGGACTCAGTATTGTACCAGGTAGGGCCTGGGTGGTGGCAGCGTGAAATTAAGTGGTGGCACAGGGATCAATAGACGGTGTAACGTCCGGGGACCCTGTGTGATCGCCACACTAGCGTGCCCAAGCAGTGTGGCAGGGCAGTGGCGATGCCAACAGAGGGTGTTTGGACTCCATATAAAATATGACAAATAGGGGTTGGTATTTTCAAAAGGAACATGAGAAGTTCAGGTGCTTCTCTTCAGCAAGCTTCTCTTTAGGAAATTTCCAGGAGGGTTGTGTGGCGCACTATCTGCACCTCTTCCTCCCCGTTCTCTGAGACTCTGGCTTTTCCCTTGGTACCTCGGGTTACGTACGCTTCAGGTTAGATACGCTTCAGGTTACAGAGTCCGCTAACCCAGAAATAGTACCTCGGGTTAAGAACTTTGCTTCAGGATGAGAACAGAAATCGTGCTCTGGCAGTGTGGTGGCAGCAGGAGGCCCCATTAGCTAAAGTGGTGCTTCAGGTTAAGAACAGTTTCAGGTTAAGAATGGACCTCCGGAACGAATTAAGTACTTAACCCGAGGTCCCACTGTAGTGTGTAGGGAGAGGAGGGAAAGCACAATGCAGAATAAAAACAAAGGAGAGGGCAGGCTCACCTGATGAAGAGAGCACCAGGTTGGCATCGCCGGGATAAGATGAGTCACTTGTTTGACCACGAATATATGTGCTGCTGGTTCCACTTCCACTTTTCTGACTTTATTAATAGTGGTGGTAATTACAGGAAGTCAGCATGGCATTGATTTTTGGCAAAATAATGGCAAGGTTGGCGCAGGGTCTCTAAGGGGTGCAAGAACAGGGGTATCATAGATACTCCTGGACATCAGTGGTTTTTGGAAAATTCTTCTCATAATGATCAGTTTCATAAAGAAAAAAAAAATATGGCCAATAATGGCTGGTGCACTAATTTAATATGTGTAGACTTCTTGACTTGTAAACTTGTTACAGTCATACCTCGGAAGTCTAATGGAATCTGTTCTGGAAGTCCATTAGACTTCCAAAATATTCGGAAACCAAAGCGTGGCTCCCAGAAGCTCCCGGAAGTCGCAGGAAGCTCCCGGAAGCCGCCGAAGCCCTGTTGAATTTTCAGCTTCCAAATGAACGTTCAAAAACTGGAACACTCACTTCCGGTTTTCGATTGTTCGGGGGCTGGAACATTCAACTCCCAAGGCGTTTGGGAGCCGGGATACGACTGTATATTCCAAGGAAAAATAGAAATATTTCACATTTATAAATGAGTTACCAACTTACCAAGTGATATGTCTTAAAATATGATATGGTGCTGGAGGAGACTCTTGAGAGTCCCATGGACGTATCCATTCTTAAGGAAATCAGCCCTGAGTGCTCACTGGAAGGACAGATCCTGAAGCTGAGGCTCCAATACTTGGGCCGCCTCATGAGAAGAGAAGACTCCCTGGAAAAGACCCTGATGTTGGGAAAGATGGAGGGCACAAGGAGAAGGGGACGACAGAGGACGAGATGGTTAGACAGTCTTCTCGAAGCTACAAACATGAGTCTGACCAAACTGCGGGAGGCAGTGGAAGACAGGAGGGCCTGGCGTGCTCTGGTCCATGGGGTCACGAAGAGTCGGACACGACTAAACAACTAAACAACAACAACATGTCTTAAAAGGCCTGTTGTTGTTTTCAGTTATGTTGATGTTTCCAATAGAGTTTGGAAGCGATTGATGTTTGACCTGACATAAAAGAGAAAATTGAGTTGCTGACTTAATCATGGATTATTTGCTTCTCATTATTGCTACTTCAAACTTTTTCTCACCACATGGAGAGGAATCGCAGTAAAATAAACATGCCACACTTAGGAATTATTCTTTTTCATATAAAAAGACTCCCTATTTAGTGCTTTAAAACAAATTCATTCATTACATTCTTAAAGCCATAACATTATTCTAAATTAAGAAGAAAACAAAATGGTTAACACCTACAGTATTTGAAATGGGCTGCAGGGGGGAGAACAGTAAATTGGAGCAGGGCTTTTAGTGTACCTGTCCCTGTTCTGTGGAATAACATTCCTGCTGAGGTACAACAATTGAAGACATTTTTGTTCTCTCAGGCTTTAGTCTTGTTTTAAACGTATATGCTTGTTTTCCTGTTTTAACCACTTTTAATTATCTTGTGAGTAAATAGACAGTGGTTTAGAAAGTGACTAAATTAACTGCATGCAACACTATGGCTGTGTGCTCATTATACTAAATACTGTAATTGGGAATGAGCCCATTTCTCAGTGGCAGCAACATTGCAAACCAAACATATATATAAAATCCAGCATATTCCTTCATCGCAGGGGTTTGTCCCTTCCAACTTTATGATTTTGTGAGGGTCCTGCCGCCTTATTCATTGAGTAGCAAAGCACTTCACAAAAGGTCAGATTAGCAGAAATAAAGTAATAGAACATTCCAACAGAACATTCAATGAACACTGATATCAGCTATAAACTGAAGGTCCTGGAGAACTGACATTCGTGGCTGGGGAATGCCTGAGCAAAAAGTTAAGCTTTTAATTGATGGAGAAAGCATGCAACCATCGGTGCCCACCTAATTTCCGGGTCTACAACTTGAATGCCGGATGCACTGGGGAATTTGGCAATCAGTACATTGTTCTCGTATTGCCAGTTTTGTGTTTTAAAATATTGTTATTAGAATATTATTATTATTATTATTATTATTATTATTATTATTATTATTTATTACCCTGCCCAAGGGAAATGTGGTGACTGGGTTAATGAAAAACTTCCTTTTGTTCTGAAATATTGTGAATTTCAGGTTCAAGAAGAGAGCGCTGTGGCTATCGCATAATTCGCCGCCACCGTAACTCAGACGATCCAGTGCACTGCGTAGGCAAAGTTAAGAAGAACAATGAAGCCATAATTCAAGTAAAAGAATTGCTGGTCAATGCACTGACCCCGGAACAGTTCGTTTCCATATTACTTGAAGCTGAGCCGCCAAATGTGTTGGTGAGCCGCCCCAGCAAACCGTTTACAGAAGCCTCCATGATGATGTCGCTGACGAAGCTTGCAGACAAAGAACTGGTCCACATGATTGCCTGGGCCAAAAAGATTCCTGGTAAGAATTTTGAACATTCCAGTTTTCCCAGTGGACTTTTGTGCCATGTAACATACATTGCAGACATAGGCACTAGTGTAATTTAGATCCCAGAACAGATCCTGTATTGTGATTTCGTTCTGCAACCTGGTTTGTGCCATCGCTAGTAACAAGACACATGTTGAAATAGCAGTAGCAAAATCACAGCTAAGAAGCTCAAATCATATATATCACTGACACCCTTCTTTGGAATTTGGAAACCAATTTCAGACTTCAACATTCCTAAACTTTGCTTGCAGAAACTTACAGATTAATTAAAACATAACATTTACAACCCCGTGCTTCTCCAAGCATGGGCTTACAGTCTCTTCATCTAACTTCCAAACAACTGTATTTTCCTTTCTTTCCAGAGCTCAGCACTTTCAGCCTTCTGTATCTCAATTAGGCCATGCCTTACAGCTCCTATGGGAGACCTCCACTTTCACCTTCTCCTGCAGCTTTGCTCTCTTTCTTTCAAGCAAAGAAGCGCTCCCACACTCAATTCAACTTAGCAGTGTTCACAGTGGATTCTAAAACACAGTCATCTTGCCGCACATAAAATTGGAGTCTTTCCTTCACTAGATACCTCCCATGCGACCAACATTAGCCAGTCGCATGAAAACTACTAGACTCTCTAGAATTCAGTTACCAACCAATCAAATTTAAGCAACCTGGTAATGCATACAAGCATTTTCAATTTCAGTGAATTAAATTGCTATATTTAACAACACATGCTTTGAATGTAGAATGTTTCAGGTTCAATCCCTGACCATTTCCCAGGAACTGCAGGAAGCTGTGACTCTCCAGACGTTGCAGGACTCCAGCTCTCATCGGCCCCAGCAAATGTAGCCAATGATCAGGTAGCAGGTGATGGAAAAGACTTTGACCTTGGAAAGCCACTGCTACTCGAGTAGGCAATACAGATGTTGCTGGACAGTAGGGTAGCTAGGAATAAGGAATAAGGAACCTTATGCAATTGGTGGAATGTCTTTGCAATTCCAGGCATAACTTTGTAATCAGAACGCCCACCCAACAGCTGCAATTTCTTATCTATATGGCTACTTTTCTTTTTTCCTCGTGAGTGATTTGGGCAGAGTGAATGGAATCAATCCAAAGCCCTTTAAAAAATGAAAATAAAATAAAAATATCAACTTACTTTTTTTTTTTTTAAAGTGCTGGAGAATCAGTCCTTCAGCCGTTTTAACAGTCTTGGCAATTTCTAATTTTTCTAAGGCGTCTAAAATGTGCACACAGCAGGGCGACTGAGAGCTGCCTGTTGCAAGTGGAAGGAAGGATCATAAACACAAGAAGAGCATTATATCTGAAAAGTCTCAAATGAAATTTAAAGTCACTGGGGTCTTGAGTGGGCGCTCCGGCGACGAGTAATTTTACTTTGATCATTGGAAAATGCCAGGCATTTGCACTCAGCTGGGGAATGAATCCATTTTCACATTTGAGTGGCTGCTTATTTTGTCACTTAAAGTGTTGGTGGTAGGAGATAGAGATAGATAGAGAGATATAGATAGATAGATAGATAGATAGATAGATAGATAGATAGAGAAAGAGAGAGAGAGAGTTTGGTAGGAGTGTCTGATTTCCCAACCCCAAGGTAGTAAATGCTGCTGTTAGAGATTCTATATTCCTTTCATATAGGGTGTTGGGGGGGAAACGATCTCTCTTTTCACAAGTTGATGATCCTCGGAATTATTGACCTCTTCAATTTCAGGCTGATCTGCCTTTTCTCTTTTCATTTGACTCTGAGCAGAAATGCGAACTAAATTCAAAGCATTATTTTTCAAAAATCAAGTTGGCATGCTGTACTTGTGTAGCCGGGTGCATCTGTGGTGCGAACGACGGCTGGGCGGGGCGGGGCGAGGTGAATGAATAACAGTGCGATCATACTGTAAATTTAGTACCACAGATATTTGCACAGTTCCCTGCAAGGCTGCAGAGAGGCCTTCCCAGAGCGCACTGTCCACCTCACGAGGCGTCCAGCCTCGCGTTCCTCTGTGCGCTGCTCTGCCTTGCCTGCGTGCCAGAGTGCGCTGCCCCCCCAAAAAGGTCGACAACTCAGGGCAACCTGGGGGGAGGTACTGGGCGGGTTTTTGCACCCCGGCGTCACATATGCTTAAGACAGCCCTGCAAGGAGGCTTTGGAGTTTGCCACGGATTATCACATCAGTAGTCAAAGGATGGGGGGCATCAGTAAGCAGAGGGTGGGGACTTTATTCTTTCCCTTTGATGGAGTTCCTTCTTCATCCATGACAGCAGTTTAAATGGAAGATTGTTTGCCGCCCTAAACAAAGTTTAAAAGTTCCTCTTCACCTGGCTGAATATATTTTGTTACAGCTCAGTGCACTGAACCTATGCCGTTCAGGAGTAAGCAATATTCAGTTCAAAGGAGCTTTACTCCCAGAAAACAATTCAGAGAGCTGCAGTCATAGAATCATAGAGTCGTAGTGGGGTTGGAAGGGAACCCAGGGTCATCTAGTCCCAGTGGCGTAGCGTGGGGGGTGCAGGGGGGGCCGGCCGCACCGGGCGCAACATCTGGGGTTAGGGCAAATCCACGGGTTAGGGGGCGCAAATCCACGAGTTAGGGGGCGCAAATTACTTGCCTTGCCCCGGGTGCTGACCACCCACGCTACGCCACTGTCTAGTCCAACCCCCTGGCCATGCAGAAATCGCAATGACAGACAGAAAAGCTTTGTGCCAGGCAAGCACAATTTGGACAAACTTGGGAGTGGCAAGGAACTTGATAGGAGATTGAAAAGCAGAAATGACGTATTCCTAGGCTGGTGCCTCCTTATTCTTTTTACTAACCATTGGCATTGAGGTGGGAGAGAGGGGTGTTTGACCCTCTATTTCCTTTGTTCAGAACCTCTCCCTTCTGGAGTTCCTTTTTTTCCAAAGAAGGGGTGGAGAACCTCACGCCCAGGAGTCGGATGTGGCCCTCCAGGCCTCTTCACTTGGCCTCTGGGACTCTCTCCAGCCATACACCCCCACTGACACAGGTTTGCCTGGCTGGAAAAATGCCCTTGAACTCTTAGGCCATTTGCTTTCCTGGCTAGATAACAGAGAGCCGCGTGCGTGTGTGAAAGTAGGTGAAATTTATATTAATTGCCCCTGCCTACTTTTGCTCTGGCCCTGTGCACCACTGGCACGTGGCCCCTAGAATGTTGCCCGGAAGTAAATGTGGCCCCTGAACTGAAAAAAACAACTGGAAAACTGAACTGGAAAAATGTTTATCTTTCAAGCAGGATGGGGGGGGGGGCAGAAGCAGCAGGGCTTTGTTACATTTATATGTGAGCAAAGTGTTGGTGCCTCGGCGCTTCTCCTGCACGTACAGTGGTGCCTCGCAAGACGAAATTAATCCGTTCCGCGAGTCTCTTCGTCTTGCGGTTTTTTCGTCTTGCGAAGCACGGCTATTAGCGGCTTAGCGGCTTTAAGAAAAAGGAAACAAATTCGCAAGAACTCGCAAGACGTTTTGTCTTGCGAAGCACGCCCATAGGGAAATTCGTCTTGCGGAACGACTCAAAAAACGGAAAACCCTTTCGTCTAGCGAGTTTTTCGTCTTGCGAGGCATTCGTCTTGCGGGGCACCACTGTATCTGTATCCTTATTCCCCCCTCCTCTTCCTCCTCCTTTGCATTTTCTTTTTCAGTTTGCCACTTTCCCCCTCTCTACGAAGATGAGACTTCTCCTTCCCATAAGGCTTTGCTTCTGGTGCCAGAGAGAACAGCAGGTTGCTACTGACTCATTCCCAAGTGGTTTCACGCTGTTCTTGCTCTTGGGATGCAGCGCGTAGGAGGGGGTGCGAGAGATCCTGTGGGGTGGATCGCCATCCGTTAATTTCCCAGCAGCCCTCATTTTAGTGAGGACACCCTCTGCGCCCTTTCTTTAGCATCCCAAATGAGGGAGCAGGACATTTGAGAGAGCACAGCACCACGGCACTAAGACCGGGTCCATATGGCAGGCTTTTTGCACTGCGTTGCCGCTGCAAAGTTCTGGAAGAAGATCTCTTTCATTTCCCAAGTTGCATTTGTGTGGTCTATACTTTGCCCGCCTCTCCCGCTGCTGCTTCTGCCTGCTTTTCTCCGCTGCCTTGGGGTGGGGGTGAAATATACCGCAGTTCAAAAAGAAAAGGGAAAGGGAGGCTTTTGTTGACATTCCTGTCTGGAGACAGGCTTCATCCTGTGTGCCAACAGCACAAGTACAGGGATCAGTTTTGTTAAAAGAAGTAATCCAGAAAAGATAAGGAGTTGGTTTATGAGCAGACCAGGAACAAGCAGAAACTGGCCAAGCTTGTTAATCCTCTTGAGTTAGCGTTGTCATATTTCAAAGAGTGAAAATCCGGACACAAAAGTTGTTGAGCTTTTTTTTAGTTTTGCCCAAAGTTGTCGAGCTTGCAAGATCTCAAAAAAAGAGAGAGGAAGCTATTTTAAAGGGAATTCGCCAAAATCTAGACTTCCCACACGGCTTGCCGTATGTCTGGATTAGACATTAGAAAGCTCCATCCCTTGCATTGTACAAGGCTATTTCGGAAGGACGGAAAGGGAAAGGTAAACTGTTTTTCCGTTTCTGACTCTCCAGAACCTCTCACAAGTATAAAATGTTCCAGTTCAGGGCTATTCCTTATACTGACTCAGCCAGTTTGTATTAGCTCAGTATTGTTGACATCAACTGCTACCAGCTCTATCCAAGGTCTCAGGTAGAAGGTCTCTTCCATTACCTGCTACCTGATATGTTTAACACAACAGCGGAATGCTGCAAGTGAAAATGAAGGTCTCCTTTTCCCCTTTGCTCAGATCCTTGTCAGCCTCTCCTCCACCTGCTGCCCTGGGTTTCCGTGTGCATATCTCCTCTTCGGGAGGATGACGCACGATGCCCAAAGCCCTGTGAGATCAAGAGATTAAGTGCTGCCAGCCTGGAAAAGTTCATGGTTCCTCTGGTTTTAAAAATGGCATTCAAAGATGCAAGGCATTCAAAGTTCTGATTCTGAAATGATTCGATGCTTTCGAAAGTCACACTTTTCTGTTCTAGAAAAAGTTGGGTGGTTAAGCGGATGTTTACGATGTAATGACACGCTCCCCCCTTTCCTCCCCTTAAAGGCTTTATAGAACTCAGTCTGTTTGATCAAGTAAGGCTTTTGGAAAGCTGTTGGCTCGAAGTGTTGATGGTGGGTCTGATGTGGAGATCCATCGATCACCCCGGCAAGCTCATCTTCGCGCCAGATCTCGTACTTGACAGGTGAGAAAACGAAGCGTCTTTTGGGCTTACGGGGCTCCTTTTTATTTTTGCTTGTTAGTTTGATCGGCATTTCAACCTTGTGGCACAGAAACATCGTGGGGGCTTTCAACGTGGACACTTTAATGGGGGATAAGACATTTGTGTAGGATGAAGCTATCCATGGTGGCTACCAAGCATGCTGACTGCATTCCGCCACCAGTATTGGAGATGACAAGCCTCTGAAAACTGGGGAATATAAGTTCTGTTGTGCTCATGCCTTGCTTGTGACCTTCTCAGGGCATCTTTTGGGCTGTTGTGGGAAGAGGACTAGTTGGGCCTTTGTCGTAATAATGAAAATATTTGAAGTCCTTAAAACCATAGAATTAGAAGGGACCACAAGGGTCATCTAGTCCAGGGGTCAGCAAACCTTTTCAGCAGGGGGCCTGTCCACTGTCCCTCAGACCTTGTGAGGGGCTGGACTGTCTTTTTTTGGGGGGGGCGGGGAGAACGAAGTCCTATGCTCCACAAATAACCCAGAGATGCATTTTAAATGAAAGCACACATTCTACTCATGTAAAAACACGCTGATTCGCGGACCGTCCACGGGCCGGAATGAGAAGGCAATTGGGCTGGATCCGGCCCCCGGGCCTTAGTTTGCCTACCCATGATCTTGTCCAACCCCCTACAATGCAGAAGTCTTTCACCCAACATGGGCTCGAATCCACGACCCCGAGATTAAGAATCTCATGTTCTACTGACCAAGCTAAAGAAACCTTTCAAGTTACAGTTCCTAACATTGGAATAACTACACTCACCATTGAGAAACCTCCAGATGATTGCCAAGCAGAGCATATGGTGATAGTCTAATAATAATAATAATAATAATAATACTATAGGAATAATTTTCTGGGGTGAATTTCAAGCCAGGATTGGGAATCTGTGACCCTCCGGATGTTGCTGGACTCCTAGATAGGAATGGATGAATCTTCCATTTCAGGTCTCTAAGTTTATTTTGCCGGTCTTAAATTCAGTTAACCAGAACTGGTGCAGCAACTTACGATTTTTGCAAATAAACAATTCTCATGAATATTTGCCAGCATTTTCATGTGAATTTCTCTGCAACAATTTCCTCTAATAAGATGCATTCCGTATGTTATTTTCACTAATATATTATGCACATTTCCCCCTAATATATGCACTATGGTACATATTGTTTGGTTGGAGACCAAAATTCAGTGAGGTGTGAATGTCAAAGGATAACTTTGTTTTAGTTTGTGTATGGGTGGAACAAGTGCAAATTACGTCGTTTCTAATTAAAATGCAAATGAAATCGAATTTCTCCTCTCCTCTCAAACTCCCACCAGCTCCAGTCAGCAGAGATAGTGAGGGATGATTGGCGTTGCAGCCTAACAACTTCTGAGGGGCTGCAGCTTCTTCATTTGCATTGTAAAGTGAAGGACAAGGATTTTGTGGAACACACTTAGAATTTCAAGGTGCTCTTTTCAAAGACAAAACAAAAACTGTGGATGTTGACAAAAAAGGCAAATACCTCTGGTTAAGAGCTTAATTTGTTCCGGAGGTCCGTTCTTAACCTGAAACTGTTCTTAACCCGAGGTACCACTTTAGCTAATGGGGTCTCCCGCTGTCGCCGCGCTGCTGGCATGCGATTTCTGTTCTCATCCTGAGGTAAAGTTCTTAACCCAAGGTACTACTTCCAGGTTAGCGGAGTCTGTAACCTGAAGCATTTGCATCCGAGGTACCACTGTACATACTAGAGCATACTGGAGTGTTTTGGTGTGTGTTTTTTTAAAGGAAATGCTGTTTTGCGCCCTCAGTAATTCTTTTATGTCTCCAAAATTAGGGATGAAGGGAAATGTGTGGAAGGAATTTTGGAAATCTTTGACATGCTTTTGGCGACGACTTCAAGGCTCCGGGAGCTGAAATTGCAGCACAAGGAATATATTTGTGTCAAGGCCATGATCCTCCTCAATTCCAGTGAGTAGACGCTTCAGTCATGTCAAGCTGTGCTTATTACCGGGAACAAAAAGTTGGGTGGTAGCAGAAGAAATACCAAAGGGCACAAGAGCCATTAAGGGAAAGGGAGGAATAAATGCCCTAAGTGCTTTTTCCGTCCTCATTCTCTAATGGTTTTATGACTGGTACACAGAAATAATACTCAGGTCACCACGTGCCGTTTCATCCTAGACACAAAGGCAAAACTTAAGGACCCTTAATGAAGCTGCGTGCAACCTGGGACTTGAGCAGTTACTCCTCAGTGCCTGCCCATCCGTGAGGCAGAATCCAAGGGGCACCTCTGTGGACACGCCTCCCCACTGTCACTGGAGAAGGGAAGAGAAGCAGAGGCTTTCAGGTTCCGGCGAGTTCTCGTGGGAGCCCCACAAAATCTTGTGAGAGCCCAGTGAGCAGGGGCGGAGGAAGGGGGAGCGCTCTGGATGTCACCACTGAGGGGTGTGACAAAATGCCGGGCGGCACTCTCCGCGGGGCCTGCAGCTCGCCTGAGCCACGCATCTCTCCTGGGAGTGACGCAGTGGCTTGGGTCCCCACAGGCTCCACGCTGCCCCGAACAGTCCGCCCGCTGCCTCCCCCTCAGCTGTAGGGCGGCTGAGTGGGAGGAGGCAGGCAGACTCCTCGGAGGCCCCGTGGAGCATCCTGCCCTCGCTGGCCCCACCCCAGGGTGCAGGGCACGCATGCCGCCCCAGGCACCTGATCAGCTTGCTCTGCCGCTGCCAGTGAGATCTTGCCAGCCATGTAACCCTGATAAGAGAGGCTTTGGAGAGGGTGGCAAGGGGAGTTTTGTGCCCACAGAAGTGCCCCATTTTGCCTCAGGCAGAGAGGTAGGACAGGCTGCCCCTGTCCCTCACACTTTGTTTGAATCACGCTGCTGTTCATCCTCATGCACAAGGCTGACCTAGGGAGCAAGGAGATTTAAAACTGCTTTCATTTTTTCTGGGAAGTGGCTGTTGTGTTCCCTTAAAGCTAAAGGTAAAGGAACCCCTGACCATTAGGTCCAGTTGTGGCCAACTCTGGGGTTGCGGCGCTCATCTCACTTTATTGGCCAATAATAATAATAATAATAAATTTTATTTATATCCCGCCCTCCCCAGCCGAAGCCGGGCTCAGGGCGGCTAACAACAATAAAACAGTACAAAAGTACAGCATAAACAGCACTCTAAAATCATTCATTATAAAATTAATTAATTCAAGCCACTGGCAACCATTGGGCCAGAGCTCCGTGAAGATTGCCGAGGGAGGGAGTCAGGCTGTGCCCTGGCCAAAGGCCTGGTGGAACAGCTCTGTCTTGCAGGCCCTGCGGAAAGATGTCAAGTCCCGCAGGGCCCTGGTCTCCAAGGGAGCTGGCGTACAGCTTACGGGTCATGTGGCCAGCATGACTAAGCTGCTTCTGGCGAACCAGAGCAGCGCACAGAAACGCTGTTTACCTTCCCGCCGGAGCGGTACCTATTTATCTACTTGCACTTTGACGTGCTTTCGAACTGCTAGGTTGTTCCCTTAGGTCTGCTCTTATCAGACCACAGGCTGCTGCCGAACTCTGAATGGGGCAGATACATCCAGCTGCTATTTGTCTGCGAATCTTCAATGAAATAACATGAAATATCAATATTTCAAAGGGGGGAAGCATGTTCTTAACTGCCACTTAGCTAGTTAAACTAAATATCCTTGCCATCAATGCGTATGAGGCTTTGTAGGGGTTTTTTTTAAGTCCCCTAAGGAACGTACAATTGACATTTCAGCAGTGATGGCGGGACAACTGGGTTAGCAGGAGAAGAGGCAAGAAAAGAAAGAACAGTGAATGGAAGGGGCGAGATTATTAGAGAGAGAATATGAGCAAAAGCAATTACATATATTTAACTTGGGTTGGGGTGGAGAATGAAGATAAAGGGATTAAGCCAAAGGTGTTTGAAAAGGTGGCTTTTAAGCAGAGATGCTGGCAAAGTTCTCCTGAGTCAAGATAATTGACTTGCGAAAGAGCACTGTAAAGAGCAGATGAGCTTTCAAAGTGTCAGTGTAAAAACATAGCAGCACAGTTCCAAACATCTTCTCTTCCCTCTTTGCCTGTCTTCTTTCCAAGACACGTTCTAGCTTGCAATATGCAACGCTCCCCTCACTAACACAAGAACATCCCATCCAAATTCTCTCTTACATTGAAACAAATGACGCTTCTCATCCAATATCACCCATCCCATTCTATTCTCACTGATCACACTCTTCCACTGATACTCACAAGCACACCCTCCACCTAATCTCTCCAATATCTCCCACTCAGATGTCCGTTAACATCAATCACGCCTTCCACTCGACTAAAAAATTATTGCAGAAACACCAGGAGACGACATCACTCACTGATGAAACCATATAAAATATCAAAACAAAATCGCTACCCACCAATCGCACAGACGTACCGTTCTAGGTAGTAACTCTGGTTGCTAACTCTGGTTGCTACCTCTCAACTAAGGATTCCTTCCTCTCACCAAGTCATGGCCTCAGACATTTACTGTTATTTATTAATTTATATGGGACGCGGGTGGCGCTGTGGGTTAAACCACTGAGCCTAGGACTTGCCGATCAGAAGGTCGGTGGTTCGAATCCCTACAACGGGGTGAGCTCCCTTTGCTCAGGCCCTGTTCCTGCCAACCTAGCAGTTTGAAAGAACGTCAAAGTGCAAGTAGATAAATAGGTACCACTCCGGTGGGAAGGTAAACGGCGTTTCTGTGTGTTGCTCTGGTTCGCCAGAAGCAGCTTAGTCATGCTGGCCACATGACCTGGAAGCTATACGCCGGCTCCCTTGGCCAGTAAAGCGAGATGAGCACCGCAACCCCAGAGTCGGTCACGACTGGACCTAATGGTCAGGTGTCCCTTTACCTTTACCTTTATTAATTTGTATACTGCTTCTAAGCCGTTCGAAGCTATAAAAGCCAATTACAAAATGCCAACCTCCTTCATTAAAGCACACCCACTGAAACACCGAAATAAACAACAGTGATTAAAATATGCTGCAAAACAATACAGCCAACATAACTGAGAGACCCCTCTCAAGAGATCAACCATAGTTTCTTCAAGAGCTGACAGAGTGCCGTTACCTCAGGGGCCTTTTGTATTTCAGCAGGGAGGGCATTCCTGTAATACCAAGACTTTTTTTCAGCTGGAACGCACCGGAACTCAGTTCTGGCACCTCTCCGGTGGGCACCGTTGCCATTATAAGAGAACAAGGGAATTCTAGCACCTCTTTTCCTAGAAAAATAAAGGTAAAGGGACTCCTGACCATTAGGTCCAGTCATTACCGACTCTGGGGTTGCGGCACTCATCTCGCTTTATTGGCCGAGGGAGCCGGTGTACAGCTTCCAGGTCATGACTAAGCCGCTTCTGGCAAACCAGAGCAGCGCACAGAAACGCCGTTTACCTTTCCGTCGGAGTGGTACCTATTTATCTACTTGCACTTTGACATGCTTTCGAACTGCTAGGTTGGCAGGAGCAGGGACCGAGCAACGGGAGCTCACCCCATCGTGGGGAGTCGAACTGCTAACCTTTTGATTGGCAAGTCCTAGGCTCTGTGGTTTAACCCACAGCGTCCCAGAAAAATAGCACTGCGTAATACTGAGATGAGTTCTTGCTCCTGTCCCTGCGGTATGCATGGGAAAAGCATACGTATTTGCAAAAGGTCTCAAATTTAAGGCAGTATCCAAATAGGGTGTTGGTTGGCGCAAGTTTTCTGCTTGCACAGCCTCCTAACCCAGGCATACATCCTAAATCTGTTCTAGGGTGATGGGAAATTAAGTTGGATACCAGCCCTTAATCTCTACATCTGAGCAGGGAGCAGGGTCTGGGAATGACCTCCACCTGTCAGCCACTGCCAATCAGTGTAGACATTACTGGGCTTGATGGGTGAATAGACTGACCTGTTACAAGACAGTTCCTATATGTAATTAATTACATATGTCACCCCCATTTTCTTTCTTAAATCATAATCTCGGTGGCGAAAATGTTCTAGAGTCAACCAATTTATGGAGATGACTTCAATTTTTCCATATAGAGGTGATGGAAAATGTAGTATTTCCAGGCACACACATTTTGTATGGAATTGGAGCCAAGTTGTCGCCTGATCCTAAACCTATTTCCTTGGAAAGTATAGCTGCAGCTCAGTGCATTGCATGCGGAAGGTTCAATCCTTGCCATTATCAGGTGGGACTAGGTAAAACATGCACCAACAACCCTGGGGAGCTGCTGCCAGTCTGTGCTGCCAGTACTGAATGAGATGGAGCAATGGTTCAATTTGGGATGGAGCAGCTTCCTGAATACCACATGTTCAACACGTGTGGATGTGTGTCTCTACAAAGTTGCAAGTAACTATGTTCTACCTCCACAGTCAGTTGCCACTGAATACCACTTTCTGGGAACGGGAAGTAAGTGGCCACAGTTGCACTCAAGCACTACTGTAGATGAGCCACACACACACACCCCGACGCAGTACAGCTCTTATTCCTTAAACTCTGCTCATTTGGCATCTTTCTTGCGTAGATGTGTATCCAATCTCCTCAGCTGCAGGAGAGTCCGAGAGCAACAAGAAACTGAGTCACCTGCTGAACTCTGTGACGGACGCCTTGGTGTGGGTCATTTCAAAGAGCGGGGTCCCTTTGGCCCAACAGACGACACGCTTGGCGAACTTGCTGATGCTGCTCTCACATGTCCGGCACGCAAGGTAAGGCCATTCTAGGGGGTGATCCAGATTCCCATCCTAGAGACCGTCAGCCATTTTAAAAAAAATCTGTGGCAAAAAGCAACAACAGGGCAGATGACTGGCCTGCTCAAGTTTTAGGTGTCCATTTCTCTTTTCCTCTTATTTTTGTCGACTCCCCACCCTTTTTTCCCATGGAGTTGTAGTTTCCCCCCTTCTGCTGCACCCTATTTTCTATCTGTCAAATCATAACCACAATAATCTAATTCCTTCTGTTGCCCATAGCTCAAATCCTGCTTGCAAGTTCACCGTACTATAATATTTCTTTAAATAGTCCGAAAAAGGCATCCATTCTTCCAGGATGTTAGCTTATCCCGAATCAGTCCTCTGGTCCATGTATCACAATCTTTCTCAATGTTGCGTTTCCAGCTTTTGCTGGACTACAACTCCCATCATCCCTGGCCACTCTTACTGCTAGCTAGGGGAGGATGGGAGTTGTTGTTCAACAACAGCTGGGGACTCAAGGTTGAGAAAGGCTGGTGTAGCACATTATTCAGATTTCAGGCTTGCCAGATCTAGTTTGGTTTTTATTAGAGTCCCAAGAGCTCTTAACTAGAAGCAAGGGGGAAAGACAGTTGGAATGCGAGAACAAAGTGTCTCTGAGTGCGTTCTGAGTCAAGGAATTTGTTTTCAGTACCAAGACTAAAGAGAGCTCACTGTCCTTTCCCACAAGAATCCAGCCCTGGTTAGCGTTCTTCATTTTGACAACTGAATTTAGGTGGGGGGAAAGATCGCCGTTGTAAATAAGCAAGAGTCTGTATTTGAGGAGGCAACAATTTCCATCCCGTACCGTGTTCATCACAAACAGCCTTGCTTCCATTCCTCCACACTTCAGCTTCCCCTAAAACCTACATCGTTCTCGCTATCTGTTGTGGCTGAAACTAACATACATTGCCAGCCAGTGTGGTGTAGTGGTTAAGAGCGGTAGTCTCGTAATCTGGGGAACCGGGTTCACGTCTCCGCTCCTCCACATGCAGCTGCTGGGTGACCTTGGGCCAGTCACACTTCTTTGAAGTCTCTCAGCCTCACACACCTCACAGAGTGTTTGTTGTGGGGGAGAAAGGGAAAGGAGAATGTTAGCCGCTTTGAGACTCCTTAAAGGGAGTGAAAGGCGGGATATCAAATCCAAACTCTTCTTCTTCTTCTACATTGGCTTGCTGATGTAGTGCAAGACCATGGGGTGTTGTTGTTTTGGAACATACAAATTGGTGGTTCGCTTTGTGCTTTGTGACCAGTGTTACGAACATGGTGGTTCCGCATTTTGAGCTAATGCTTTCTTAAGTTTATCTTGCTTTGCATTGGGATTCCAAAAACTGTGCCCTTCATTGAAAGAAGTTGGCTGATGGTTTTGTCTACAAAAGGGCTCCTTGTTCTCAGGGGGCAGTTGGGTAGTTCAAACTGAGAAGCAAATCTTAACTGCAATGGAGCACTTGGGTTTTCCCAAGGCTTCTGATCGTAAACCATGGACGATAAGGCTATCGGTATCTACTAGACACAACAGCCATATGTAATCTGCAGGTTCTGAGGCACTATGCTGTTGTGAATATCAGCTGCTGGTGAGCCACAACAAGAGAGAGCTGTTGTCATGTTGTCCTACTTGCTAGCTAGCTTCCCAGAGGCATCTGATTAGCTGCTTGTGGGAACAGAATGCTGAATGAGATGGTCCCCTTTGTCTTATCCTGCTGGGCTCTCCTTATGTTCTCTTGCTTGGTCTCACGGTACTCACTAATCAGGCAAGACTAGGTGGCCTTGTGCTCTGATCCAGGAGGGCTGTTGGTATGATTTTGCTGGCATCGTGCTTAGTCCACTAAGCCAGTGTTTTTCAACCACTGTTCCGCGGCACACTAGTGTGCCGCGAGATGTTGCCTGGTGTGCCGTGGGAAAAATTGAAAAATTCAAAAGATTTAAAAATAAAGTATTTTATAATTTTTCATATTTCTGTTTACTTACTATTTCATAATAAAGTAATTATAAAATGCTTTCTTTGTGTTTATTTGATTCCTATTCAAGAGAATTACTTTATATATAGTCAATATAGGCACAGAGTTAATTTTTTTAACATTTTCTAATGGTGGTGTGCCTCGTGATTTTTTTCATGAAACAAGTGTGCCTTTGCCCAAAAAAGGTTGAAAAACACTGCACTAAGCAGATCGAGGCTCTATTCAGGAGACTAGATTTACCCTCAACAGTTAACCCAAGTGCTATCAAAATACTCCATTGATGATAACATTCAGATGATTAGAGCGTGTTGTTGAGAACGCCAAGGTTGCGGGTTCGATCCCTGCATTGGGCAGCTGCATATTCCTGCAATGCGGGGGGTTGGATTAGATGATCCTCAGGGTCCCTTTCAACTCTACAATTCCATGATGGTTCTGGTTTAGGCTGCGTGGGCCATCGCATGAGGATGGTCTCATGATCCTATTTATGCCTTGGGTTTGTTCCAAAGAAACAACTCACCCTAAGGTCAGACTTTCCCCAGACTGCATCATTTCAGCTGGGAGATGGCATATTCAAATGCTCCTTTCCACACAAACCAAAGGGTGTTGGAGAAAAGGCTTGCCCAAGGCTCTTCTTCCTGGCAGCTGGTTTTCTATGTGCAACAAATTCTGTATACGGGACACCATTCAGCCACGATAGCTATGTGTTAGGATATTTCCGTTCCACCTTAAAAGGGAGCAGGCTTTGTGAGTCACAGAGTCTGCGCATTTCCTGTTCACAGGATGTTTATGTTTTCTGTTGCTTTCGTTTTCTCCTTCTTCGTGCCTGAACGCTGAAGCAGGCGGTCATGTTTTTTTCTTTGTTCTGACCAACGCTGAATAAACTTATAAATAATGCTCTCCTGCGTGCATCTTTCGCTGTGCATTATCTGCTGATAAGAGCGTGCATCAGCCCCGGAATGTGGGAAGCTATTTCTGGAGCTCATGTCGCTAATTGCTGATACTGCGTGTCTACGGGAGATCGATGGACGCACCGGAGGCGACGTGGGGCCATGATGGACTTTGTCTCCCTGGCAGTATCCCAACACTATGTACATTCAGTTGCAATCAGTTCCTGCTTAGAGGCTTCCCATAGGCATCTGGTTGGCCTATGTGGGAACAGGATGCTAGCCTAGACGGGCCATTGGCCTGATCCTGTGGGCTCTGCTGATGTTCTTAATTTTCCACCCATAGCCTGCAGCCATAAAGCCCAGGCACAATTTTGCTGCTTGGTGAGTTCTGGGTATAGACTGGATCCTCCCTGTGGGCATATCCAATAAGAATGGTAACTTCTTTAGATTTTCCTTGCAGAACTAAGACACGTTATATTTTTTTCACAAGGCAAAAAGGCTATTCAGCAGCTGCATTGCTCACAAAATTATATCATAGGGTGGTAGAGGGATCCTTGGAAGGGATCCTTAGGGTCATCTAGTCCAGTGTTCCCCAACCTTGGGCCTCCAACTGTTTTTGGACTACAACTCCCATCATCCCTCGCTAGCAAGACCAGTGGTCAAGGATGATGGGAATTGTAGTCCAAAAACAGCTGGAGGCCCAAGGTTGGGGAACACTGATCTAGTCCAACCCCCTGCAATACAGGAATCTCCACTAAAGCATTCATGACAGATGACCATCCAACCTCTGATCAAAAACCTCCAAGGAAGGAGATTCCACAACCTTCCATGGTCAAATAGCTCTTACCGTCAGAAAGTTCTTCCTGATGTTCAGTCGGAATCTCCTTTCTTGTAACTTGGAGCCATTGGTTTGAGTCCTACCCTCCAGAGCAGGAGAAAACAAGCTTCCGCCCTCTTCCAAGTGACAGCAGCTGTGATATTAGAAGATGGCTGTCATATCTCCTCTCAGCCTCCTCTTTTCCAGCTTCATTCATTCTGAAAATTTCCACTGCTGTTATAAATGCGTTCTGGGTCTTCATTTCGAAGGAATTCTATGTGACTCACAAAAGGCACCAGCCTCTGTGGTTTTTCTGATGAGATAGCTGCTATCTCTGTCTGACGCATTCAGAACTTTAGGTTAGAGAAGTCAAGGCCTAAGTTTAAGTTGCTCTCATGTCTTCAAACCCCAGAGTCAGCAACTAACTGTGTTCAACACTCACGTCTGGAAAATAATATCTAGCTGTTCTCATACAAATATCCTTTTTTTAAAAAAAATTAAGATCTTTGTACACTGCCTTGAACAGAAAGATATACTGGATTTCAATTGGTATGTTATTTTGCAAGTACATGCAGTATCACAGTGGCTGTGTTTGGATGGTAAAGGTAAAGGTAAAGGTAAAGGGACCCCTGACCATTAGGTCCAGTCGTGACCAACTCTGGGGTTGCGGTGCTCATCTCGCTTTATTGACCAAGGGAGCCAGCGTACAGCTTCTGGGTCATGTGGCCAGCATGACTAAGCTGCTTCTGGCGAACCAGAGCAGCGCACGGAAACGCCGTTTACCTTCCCACCAAAGTGGTACCTATTTATCTACTTGCACTTTGATGTGCTTTCAAACTGCTAGGTTGGCAGGAGCAGGGACCGAGCAACAGGAGCTCACTCCATCGCGGGGAATCGAACCACCGACCCTCTGATCGGCAAGTTTGGATGACATGGTATCAGCTGCCCTCCAAGATCCCTTAGGGGGGATCCCCTATGGACTGGAACAGGGTGCCCCGGCCCCTCCCCTCCAGCCCAACGCCTCTTCTGCTGAAGGAAAGTTGTGACAATAGCAATGAAGTAACCTGAAAAGAAGTGCCAGAATTTCAATAGTTAACATTATAGAGTGGGTGGATGGGAAGCTCACTTGAAGGCCGAGGTGGAGGCATCAAGCATGTAGCCCTTTTTATGCTCCTGGGGTGCACCAGTCCTCCACAGTCTCCTCTCTGGTCCACACCCCCCCCAGAAGCCTCAGCACCTGCGAGCCCAGCAACAAAGCTGATTGGCTCACAGTTCCACCACAGTCCATACCCTCTGCCCAATTGTGAGGCATGCACGATTCATTCTTCACACTCCCCCAATCTCTTTCTGTCTCTGTTTTAAATGGATGCCGGCTCTAAATATCTGTTCGTTTCATCACCTTTCTTTCAAGAAGAACAGAAATTGGACAAGAGTTTCCATTAATATTGCTGGATTGTATTTCTTCCCAGCAGAAGAGTAGATGAGTTTTGGCTGAATAAATGATTAGCGTGGACTCTTTTCTCTTTTTTTGCTCTGCCCGCCCCGGCAATTATTTATTCTTTGATAGTATTAGAAGTCCGCTCAGTAATTATGTTAAAATGTTCGCTCATCACAGGAAAACGTATGTGTTCCTTTTCTCCCCCTTTTTAAAAAATGACACATTAAAATGATTTGAATCAAATTATTTTAGTTGTATGTAGGAATGACCTCAGGAATATTGGGCTGCTGTTTTTCCAGCAGTGAAGATAAGGAATGGAGCAACCTGGTTTATGGCTTATTTGTGTGTGTGTGTGTGTGTGTGTGTGTGTGTGCGCGCGCGCATTTCCATTAATCCAATTATTGACTGCATGAATGCAAAGCAAAACAGTATGTTAAACTATGGACTGAATAGCAATACAGTGGTACCTCTGGGTACATACGTTTCAGGTTACATATGCTTCAGGTTACAGACTCCGCTAACCCAGAAATAGTGCTTCACGATAAGAACAGAAATCATGCTCCGGCGGCGCGGTGGCAGCAGGAGGCCCCATTAGCTAAAGTGGTGCTTCAGGTTAAGAACAGTTTCAGGTTAAGAACGGACCTCCGGAACGAATTAAGTACTTAACCCGAGGTACCACTGCATTGCAAAAATACTGTGGCACGAATGGGGAACCAGTAGCCATCTGCTTGTTGTCGGGCTACACCATTGGGCACAATGGCTAGGAATGATGGGAGTTGGAGTCCAGCAACATTTGTTGAGCCACAGGTTACCCAGCCCTGTACTGGGCAGCCAGTGTGATATCTTCCAACCATTGTTGGACTACAGCTCCCATCAGCCCCAGCCAGCATGGCCAACAGTCAAGGATCATGGGAGTTGTAGTCCTAACGCACCTGTAGGGCACCACATTGGAACATGATCTTACTCCAGTCACATTTTTCTTGTGAACGTAAACAGTCCAGAACAACCTAATGTAGAGCAGTGTAGGCATCACAAAGTTTCCTCTTCTGCTTTCTTTCCAGTTTGGCTAACATAAGTAGCTTGAGAAAGGCTCAAAAGCAATTTTGAAGCCTCCTGTGTGAAAATGCACTTAGGTACTCAGCTGGTTTGCCATGGCAGGGACTACATTTGCAAGCTCCAATGAGGTGGCCGAGTTCGGAGAAGATGGAACAGACTGCACCACTTCAGCTGTGTGTGAATGGGAGGGGGGCAAGATACGAGAAAATAATCCTTGTAGGTAGAAAATTACTCCATCAGGGAGAGCAAGTCTAGGTCAGGACTCTCATTCTGTGCTAATGTTCTGCCTCCAGGGTGTTTAGAAGCATTTAGAAATGTCACACACAAACATCTCCGCCTGAAGTGGTACAGACCAGTTTACCACCTCATTCTGAATTACGTCTGCTGCAGATATCTGCTGTCTGGCTCTAATGCTTAATGGCAAGAACCTTCACACAACTCTTACTTGCCCACAGTTCATAGAATTGTAGAGATGGAAGGGACCCCGAGGGTCATCTAGTCCAACCCCCTGCAATGCAGGAATCTCAACTAAAGCATCCATGACAAATGGCCACCCCAACCTCTGCTTAGAAACCTCCAGTGAAGGAGAGTTCCACTGCTGAGCAGCTCTTACCCCAATATGGTTTTTCCTGCTGTTTAGTTTGGAATCTCCTTTCTTGTAATTTGAATCCATTGGTTTGGGTCCAGAGCAGGAGAAAACAAACCTGCTCCATCCTCCATGCAACAGCACTTTAGATATCTGAAGATGGCTAGCGTATCTCCTCTCAGCCTCCTCTTTTCCAGACTAAACATACCCAGCTCCTTCAAACGTTCCTTATAAGGCTTGGTTTCCAGACCCTTGATCATCGTGGTCGCCTTCCTCTGCACATGTTGACAACTTCATGGCATGGAGGAAATGAAACATTCATTGAGAGGGATGGATTAGCCGTTAGCTTAACTAGAGCAGGGTCCCCAAACTAAGGTCCGCAGGCCGAATAAGGCCCAAGGGACTCGTTTATCCGGCCTGCGGCGACCCTGCCGCCCGCTGCCACTGCCCACTCTTACTGGCGGGGCACTGTGCTGCACAGCTGCCCACTTCCAGGTCGGAGGAGCACCGGAAATAGCTTGTGCGCATGCGCAAGCATTATTTCTGGTGCACATCCTTGTCGGAGGCCGTGCACATGCGCACATGCCATTTCCGGTGCTTCTCCGACCTGGAAGTGCACCGGAAATAGCGTGTGCGCACGCGTATGGGCACGCGCTCCCCTGCCCTCTTGCCCACCGCATGATTGGCGCTGGAGACACCGGCCTGAGGCGCGGTAAATTTCCTGACCCCTGAACTTGAGCATCAGATGCATAGCAGGGGAGAGGAGGATGTCCAGTGGTTGACAATACTTTTATTGCTTTGAGACGGAAATTCCACAGGTGCATCTCTTCTCAATAAAAAATTAATGGCTAGTCACAATGCATAAAATGCCACAAAACATACAAAACCATGTTTTTTTTTTAATTGATACACCAAAAAAAGGAAAAGCAAAAATACAAACAAAACAGTGATAAAAACAATATTAATTACAAATCAATAAAGCGAAAAGCGGTCCTTGGACTATAGACCCGACCTCCCGTCCATTCCCTGTTTCAGTTATCTATTATTTGTTGCTAATACACATTTTTATCTTAAATTAACTAGTTATTGATTTATCTTAGGTTTCATATCTTTCTTAAATCTACTACTAAAGTTACGCAAATGCTGCGACAGAGTTTAAACTACTGTAATTGTTTTTCAAGTAAACTTTGAAGACTTCCCATTTTGAGATGAATTCCTGTTTTGGTTTGTTCTTTGTTTTTTCTGATAAACTATCTAACTCCGCATAATCTGTTAGCTTTTGGATCCATTCATGGGTAGAGGGGATTTCATCAATCTTCCACTTTGTAGCGATAAGAACTCTTGCTGCCACTGTGGCATATAAAAATATAATCTTCATTTTTTTTGTGGGATATCCAAATCTGTGATCCCCAAAAGATAAGCTTCTGGTTTTCTCTTAAGGGAAATTTTATTATTTTTTGTATTTCTAAGTGGATAGTCTCCCAAAATGCCTGGATTTTTTTCCGCATAGCCACCACATATGACAGAAAGTGCCACACCTCCAGCAATTACTTGGGACACTTTTGTACATCTTTGACAGTTTCCAAGGTGTTAGATACCATTGGTGTTGCATTTTTAGGATTTACCATTGGTGTTGCATTTTAAGTTTTCTCTTACGACATAACAGTTTGTGAATTTCCAATTATTCTTCCACAAATTTTCCCACTGTGGCATGGTTATTGAATACCCAAAGTCTTGTGACCACTTTACCATGGCCGCTGTGACCTCCTCCTCCTTGACTTATATAGCATCTAGATCAAGGGAAGTAATAGTGCCACTGTATTCTGCTCTGGTCAGACCTCACCTGGAGTACTGTGTCCAGTTCTGGGCACCACAATTCAAGAAGGACACTGACAAACTGGAACGTGTCCAGAGGAGGGCAACCAAAATGATCAAAGGCCTGGAAACGATGCCTTATGAGGAACGGCTAAGGGAGCTGGGCATGTTTAGCCTGGAGAAGAGGAGGTTAAGGGGTGATATGATAGCCATGTTCAAATATATAAAAGGATGTCACATAGAGGAGGGAGAAAGGTTGTTTTCTGCTGCTCCAGAGAAGCGGACACGGAGCAATGGATCCAAACTACAAGAAAGAAGATTCCACCTAAACATTAGGAAGAACTTCCTGACAGTAAGAGCTGTTCAACAGTGGAATTTGCTGCCAAGGAGTGTGGTGGAGTCTCCTTCTTTGGAGGTCTTTAAGCAGAGGCTTGACAACCATATGTCAGGAGTGCTCTGATGGTGTTTCCTGCTTGGCAGGGGGTTGGACTCGATGGCCCTTGTGGTCTCTTCCAACTCTATGATTCTATGATTCTATGACTTCCCAGTCAAAAAATTAATGGCAAGTCACAATGCATAAAATGCCACAAAACATACAAAACCATGTAATAGGGTCAAACTGAGAAACAAGGACACACAAGCTATAAAATTATTATTTTTTAAATATCCCTGACCTCTTCCCAGCTACCGTATTTTTCGCTCTATAGGACGCACTTTCCCCCCTCCAAAAATTAAGGGGAAATGTGGGTGAGTCCTATGGAGCGAATGTAGGCTCCTTGGCTTCAGCGATAGCAACGTGAAGCCTCCGAAGCGCAGAGGGAGCGCTCCCTCCGCGCTCTGGAGGCTTTGCGTTGCTTTTACTGAAGCCTGGAGAGCGAGAGGGGTCGGTGCGCACTGACCCCTCTCGCTCTCCAGGCTTCAGGGATAGCTACCTGAAGCCTCCGGAGCGTAGTGGGAACTCGCGCTGCGCTCCGAAGGCTTCGGGTTCCTTTTGCTGAAGCCGGGAGAGCAAGACTCTCCTGGCTTCAGCGGAGAGGGAGAGCTGCGCAGCGCCCCTTCAGTGAAGCGGGAGGAGAAATGGAAGGGGCTCTGTTTCTCCTGCCGCTTTGCTGAAGGGGCGCTGAGCAGAGAGGGGGATATTTTTTTTTTCTTGTTCTCCCCCTCTAAACAAGGTGCATCCTAGGGTCGGGTGTGTCCTATAGAGCGAAAAATACAGTACTTCTGCTGTCATGGTCTGGGAAAGGTTTCTGGAGGGCGGGGCAAGGCAGGTGGGAAAAGCTGTTGCCTGACGGACAGCAGAAAGTCTCTCTCCCCACAGTGCATTTTAAACCTCAGTGCCTTGCTGTGACCTCTTTGCTTTCTTCACAGTAACAAAGGGATGGAGCACCTTCTCAGCATGAAATGCAAGAATGTCGTTCCCGTCTACGACCTACTGTTGGAGATGCTCAACGCTCACACCCTCCGAAACAAAGCGAAAGCCTCTGCCTCTAATATCCAGGTCACCCCATCGGAACAAACTAAGAGTGCAGATGGACCTCAGCAGTGATTTTGTACTGGAACAGGAGCCCAGGGAAGCACCAAGAAAACAGTCCCAAGATTCAAAATGTGGGTGTTTGCTTTAAAAGAAAGAAAGCACAAATTTTGATCTCTCTCTCACCTGGAGTTTTTTAATGGGATTGTACTCTAATCTTTTTACACTGGATGCAGTATGTCTTGGAAAAGCCTCATGGGGTTGGAATGGAAGAATCTGCCGGTGAATGTAGCTTTATCATCAACTGCACTTCTGGAGTGCCTTTTAGAGGAGACTGTTGAAGTGCCATATGCGCCTTAAGCTTCATGGTTATCCTAGTTGGGTGGCAGAACACAATTTTTTTTGTAGAAAGAAGGAGGTTGGGTGATGCACAGACCTAGGGTTCCACTGCAAAAAAATGGGAGCAGCCTCTTCTTACTGAAGTAGCCTATGAAATACGCTGTACATTACAGCAGACAGGAGGGATCCCATCCACCTTAAGAAATACGTGCTGTTCCAAACTGAAAAAGACATGGATAAGTTTACCTTTGCGCAACTGCGCCTTTGATCAGTAGTGGGAGAAGGAGGTCCTCCTATTTAAAGGAAAGCGCTTGGAGAGTTTGTATCCTGACCCACTTTGACAATGTGGACCAGAAGCTTATTTTTTATTATTACAAAGCTCCAGTTTCTATTGACTGTTATCTAAGCATTTGCCGTGTTTGATTTCTGTGCTCAAGCACTTGAGTGGGTGCAAGGCTTGCCCTTCTCGTTTCCTGCTGCAGACTCGTGCAACGTATTGCCATGTGTGGAGGAATTATTGCTATGAATAGTCAGAATTCGTGAGTAATTATTTCATGCTTAGCTACACAGGATCGATATGATTGTGGCTATAATTGTGGAAACAGGTTTTGGTGTCCATAAATGTATTCATCCTATGGGGGGGGGGAGCACAGAATAAGGTGCCTTCCGGTGGACCAATTAGAGTATGTCCCAACAGGAGCAAATGAACCTGCTATGTGCCATATCAGTGCATGAATTCCAATGCACATGCACAAACAGCTCTCCCAGTAGCAAGAGCTTCCCCAGTTACTTCAGTGGAGGAGGCATCTCTGCACACAAAAAGAGAACATGCACAAGTTAATGTGAAAGACTGATTACTCCCCATGCAAATGTGCCAGCATTTCCTGTGTGCGTTAGCTAATGCACCTTGGATAGAAAAGGGAGCCTGGAGCATGTCTGTCTTCAGGCTTCATTGGAAAGCCATGGGAAAACTCTTGGATAGCTCAGTTGGTTAGAGCAGAGTGCTGATAATTCGAAGGTTGCAGGTTTGATCCCCAAATGGGACAGCTGCATATTCCTGCATTGCAGGCAGTTGGACTAGGCAAACTCAGCCCTCCAGATGTTTTGAGACTACAGTTCCCATCATCCCCAACCACTGGTCCTGTTAGCTAGAGATGATGGGAGTTGTAGTCCCAAAACATCTGGAGGGCTGAGTTTGCCTATGCCTGGACTAGACAATCCTCAGGGGCCCTTCCAACTCTACAATTCTATGATTCTTACCTGCTTCTAGTATTCTTACCTGATACTTATCATGGGAAATGTCCAGTGGGAGGCAGCTTACCCCTAGACACCCTCCCATGTACTAGGAGAATCCAGTGACAGCCACAGTTGCCTCTTTAGACCAGCACTGGCTGACACACACACACTCTCCCAAATTTGACCTATGGGAATAAGAAGCCCTGAAACTATATCAGTTTCCATGCAGTTAGAGCAATCTGGCAGTGTGCTTCCCTGCTCCATGGGCTGCTGAGCCATTATTTGTATCTCGACTGCCAACTTATGCACTCTCAATTTATGGCACGAAAGCTAGAGCAAGGGCAGAAAACTTGTGACTGCCCAGATGGCAGCATTTCCAATGGACATGGATGGTGGGAGTTGGCATCCAAAAACATCTGCAGAGCCACAGAACACGCCCCCCCCCAGCCCTGAGCCAGTGGCATGCCTCATTTTGGGCTGCAACTCCCAAACTTATGATCTTTGTGATGCCCCTTTTTTCTGAATTAAAACTGGAGGCACCTTTCACTCCTCTGGCACACAAACAGTTTGCAATGTAGTCTGTAAAAGCTGATGCCAAAATAATCTGTTGTAACAAAAACAATGTTAGAGTCTTGCAGCCCCTCAAAGACTCCCATGGCTACCCCTCTGCACATAGAAACAGCTCAGTCCTTCACAAGTGTGACACTTTTTGTCCTGGCTCACCTGTCTCCCCATCTCTGCCTATCACTCCCCCTTCAAATCTCACCTGAAAACCCTAACCTTGTGCACTTTTGAACATGGCATCTCGGACTGTGGTTGCTCAGCGCTTGCTCCTGTTCCAGTGCTCGTAGCTTCTGCCTGTTTGCTGTGGAAGCATTGTCGGATTATGTGTCATGTTGCCAGCATGCGGCCTCCTGACCAAGCCCAGTAGGGCCTCAGCAGGAGATGTGCCACCAACATGGCACCTAATTGTGCAGTCAGTGGAATGGGCGCAATCCCAGAGACGGCGACAGCCACATGTTCAACGTCACGTGTCTCCCAGGCCTTTTGCAACTTACCCTTCACTTTCACCGTGTGCCTTCATCTCCTTGTTGATTATATTTCACTGTTGCTTGTTTTGCCTCTTCTCTTTTGCTTTGTTTATTCTATGTCAGTTGTAATCAGGGGTCGTTTTACATCAGTGTGATGCCCGGAGCGCAGCCCATTGGCACCAAATAAACATTGTGCAAACAAGCACTGCGAGACTTTTCTCCGTAATTGGACAATGTTGCAGGTGCATGGCCCTGTTTCGTATGTGCATGATGTACATAAATGGATGTCTCTGTATACATGACGAATTACAGCTAATTGTTAGAACTGACTCGTTTTAGGAGATTGTGTCTGAAGGGAAGATGGGGAGGGTATATGAAAGGGCCATTGGCTCTTCCATACATACAGCTGGCCAGCTGATTTTGCAAACACCCCCGGACGAATCTGTATGTGAACCAGCCCAATGAAAGTTTGACACGATGCTGTGAAGAAATGCTGGAGATTTATTCTGTTTGCTGAGCTAAAATGGACTTTGGATGCAAATATCAAATATCAAAAGGCATCACATTTTAACAAGAGGTAGGAATAAATATCCACTGGAAAAATGCAGAGATGCTGCCAGGCATTTTTGTCTCTCTCTTACCACTGGGCCTTCTGACTCTTTGTAAAGCACAGAGTTGGGGGGGACGGGACAAGACAGGTTACTTGTTATCTGGGCTATGCATAAATGGTGACTCTGGGGGGTGGGGGTACGGAAACAGTATGGAATTCATCTTCCTCAGAATTTTAACTTTCATTTTAACCCCCCCCCAAGTTTCTAGTTTTTAGGGATGTAAAGTTTTTCTTGAAATGCCTCCAGGGTGCAGCTGAATGTTTCAATGCCCTGAGTAGCCATTGCCCAGGCTCACATAGAGCAAAACCTGAACAAATCATGCAAAACGAGAGAACATATGCAAATTTACTTAATTTAAATTAGTTGCGGTTGTTTTAAATTATCTGAATTAGATCCACCCTATACACAACCCTGGCAAGAATGTTAGAAGAGATGGAAATGCAGTTGGAAAGCTCACGATCAATGGAGACACAGATTCCCTAGTGTCATGAAATGGGTGGTCTAATCCAGAGGAAGAATAGGAGGAGCTCAAGGAGATGGATCTGGGCAATCCTGGAGAGTGTCCTAGTAGATGAGGGAGGTGGAACCAGGAACCGGAGAAGTGTCTGCGTCTGGGGAGGAGGCCAGTAGCCCGGGGAATGAAGAGAGGAGGGGGTGGACCAAGGAGGCAGATAGAGGGGTGTTCTGCCCCTTGTCACTGGGCACTCCTCATCAGATACCTCCTGCTGGGGAGCTGCCACCCCACCTCAGTATCTTCACCTACCAAATGAGACTTAATTGGATGCTGAGGTGGTGCTGACCCCCATCTCCATCTGCAAGGGCACAAGAGATGCCAATGCGAACCTCACAAGCCCAGCCCACTCAAAGGAGTGCCAGTTCTGCAGAGTCCTGGGGCTCTGACTGCTTGCTGCGCTGTGTGCTCTGCCCAAAAGCAAGGTGCAGGGGGCACATCGCTTGTTGGGTGTCTTGCGCTTAGCTATGTATTTATACCTCCGGTGTACATGCTGTATTTTGTGCCTTGCTTATGTACCAATCTGACTTATGCATTAAAGCCTTTGCCAGAAACTGAGCTGGGAGTTCCAAGTTCTTCCTGCCCGAGTTCCTTCTAATTCCTGGATCCAGAGGGCACTCAACAGGTTCTGGATAAAGCCTTTTATCAATCTGCATTGGCATTGTTTGCAAAGTCATACTCATGGGCCTTTTCAGACTGAATTTCAAAATATGGCTCCTGGCTACAGGGCCAGATTTAGGTTTGATGAGGCCCTAAGCTACTGAAGGTAATGGGGCCCTTAATATGTCCAGCTGTCCTTTGTCAACAACAAATTGTTGCTGTTTTTTGGGTTGAACATATGCTATATAGTAATTTATGGACCTAAAGGCTCTAGTTCAACCCCCTGCAATACAGGAATCTCAGCTAAAGCATCCATAACAGATGGCCATCCAACCTCTGCTTGAAAACTTCCAAGGAAGGAGAGTCCACCACCTCTCATGGGAGTCTGTTCTACTGCCAAATGGCTCTTACTGTCAGAAAGTTTTTCCGGATGTTAGTCGGAATCTCCTTTCTTGCAACTTGAAGCCATTGGTTCGAGTCCTGCCCTCCAGAGCAGGAGAAAACAAGCAGCAACTAGGGTGCATTGCAAAAGGGAACCTAACTTGAATCCACAGAGTGACAAGGATGCATAACTTTGGAGACAATTGCAACAAAAGATGGAGTGCAACTCTTTCCAACGTACAAACGTGTGTGACATGCTGGGTTCAAACAACTCCCCCCCCCCCCCGCCGCACTTTCTGCTTCCACCATTTGGTGGGGCATATTCTTTTCTCTACAGCTTTACACCAGCTGTTGCAGAAAATTTTGGGGTTGACTTTTGCAGCCCAACTCCTCAAAGGACTTTTGAGTCCCTTATGTTCACGATCAGTCAGAGAAGAATGGTTGAAGGCAGGAACCAGTAGAAGGAAAGCAAGGAAGATCTTTATTTTCCTGTTGCAACAGAGTCCTCCCATTTGCAAGGGACCCAGAACAAAGATGTGCAGGAACTTTAAAAAACTTTAGAAACCCATAGGCTTAGCCAGAGACCACCCCAAAAGCATCATACATGTGTCACAGAAAGACAACAGACATTTGAATATGGCTTGTCTCCTGTCTGCTGAGATAATGCTTGCTGAAGGAACCTGGCCAGTTCCTTGGAGTCGGTGAATTTCTTAATTCTTGAATCCAGGTCACAGACCTGCCCTATTCATATACAAAATATGCCCTTAAGGCAAGATTTGAAGGATTTGTAAATGAAAGAACTACAGGGAAAGGTTTCTCCAAGATATTCCTTCTGCAGATGAAATATCTTGAGTCATTAGGAGAGCCAAGGTGGCATTTGGGATTCAGTTAAGTATAACTTTCTCAGGGAATGTTTCCTTAATTCTGAAGGCTGAAGGATTGCTTTTTTTGTGGTGTGTGTGTGTGTGTGTCTGCTATGTGGGTGCACCCTAACATTTTATAACACAGTAACTAAAAAATGGAATGAGAAGCAGAGGTTATCACATACACAGGGGTCAGCAACCTTTTTCAGCCATGGGCCGGTCCACCGTCCCTCAGACCATGTGGTGGGCCAGACTATACTTTGGAGAGAGAAAAAAGACAAATTCCTATGCCCCACAAATAACCCAGAGATGCATTTTAAATAAAAGGTCACATTCTACCCATGCAAAAACACATTGATTCCCGCCCGGACCATCCATGGGCTGGATTGAGAAGGCGATTGGGCCTCATCCGGCCCCCGGGCCTTAGGTTGCCTACCCCTGGCATACAGGGAACTCCTGCTTGTTCTGTTGGCTTAGCTGCCCAGGATGCTTGAAGCTCCCAGCGAGTTCCTTTCATGACAAGCAATTTAGCACCTCCATTCATGATGACTGCTTTGGCTGTATATCTTTACTGAGAGCTTGCATTGTTTTCCTGAATTGCTAAGTGCAAATATTTGGAAATAAGTGCCTCTGAAATTAGCAGTGCTTGTTTCCACAGAAGGGAGTTTGTTGAGGCTAGAGCATTCTCTAGCTCCTGCCACACAAACTGACTTCATTCCTTGCCTGCAGTGTTGTGCAAAACACAAGATAATTATGAATGTGCACCTTTGCTGTTATCACCTTTGAACTCGAAGTGTTCTTGGGATTGTGTTTTGGTGCCTTTCAAAGTATGGTGTGAGCAGGAGCCAAGTTGGGTAAGGGGACTCTAACCCATTCTGAGGTCTTTCTACTAATGTAGTTTGTTTTTAGTTACAGGTAGGTAGCCGTGTTGGTCTGCCATAGTCGAAACAAAATAAAAAAATTCCTTCCAGTAGCACCTTAGAGACCAACTGAGTTAGTTATTGGTATGAGCTTTCGTGTGCATGCACACTTCTTCAGATACACTGAAACAGAAGTCACCAGACCCTTATATATAGTGAGAGGGTGGGGAGGGGTATTACTCAAAGGGTGGTGGGAGATGGGTGACTGGCTGATAGGTGTGGTAGACCTGTTGATGACTGTTAACGACTGCAATTGGTCTTACAGGAAAAAGCAAGGGGTGAGATGGCTAAAAATAGCTTTATCATGTATAATGAGATAAGAATCCAATGTCTCTATTCAGACCAGGTCTCTCCATGGTTTTAAGTTAAGTAATAAGTTGCAATTCAGCAACTTCTCTTTCCATTCTATTTCTGAAATTCTTTTGTAATAAGACAGCTACTTTGAGATCTTGTACAGAATGTCCTAGGAGATTGAAGTGTTCTCCTACTAGTTTCTCTGTCTTGTGATTCCTGATATCAGATTTATGCCCATTTATCCTTTGGCGTAGGGTTTGGCCTGTTTGTCCAATATAGAGAACTGAAGGGCGCTGTTGACATTTGATGGCATACACAATGTTAGAAGATGAGAAATTAAATAGTCCTGAGATGGTATGTTTGATGTTGTTGGGGCCTGTAATGGTGTTGTCCAGCTGTATGTGGCAGCAAAGTGGCTGGGGAAACTCAGCCAGATGGGCAGGGTATAAAGAAATTATTATTATTATTATTATTATTATTATTAGTTTTTCAGTTTTACGATTGTAGGCTGCAGCTGATGGATAGCATGCAAACGGTGGCTTAAATCTTGCCTCTCAATTTCATCCCTAGCATCAAGAGACACTGGGTGCTTGGTGAGGGATCTCTGAAGTGGAGCAGCTAAGAGGGTGTTGACAGCCAGGAACCAGACACATCAAAGCCACATCCACAACATACATTCAAAGAGATCTGCCCTCTTGCCCTCTGTAAAGCAATAGACATAGCTTCAACTCTGTGGATTCAAGTTCGGTTGCCAAGCTGAGCTTACTGTTCTTTCCACTTGGGCCAATACTAAAATAGTACACTAATTTAATGTCACTCCTCTGCACACAAACCCACAATTGTAAGAACTGTTAGCTATCCTGATGTTGTTAGTCTCAGCAGCTGGTACTGTTGACTCACATTTGTAGCAGAGATTGTGTTGGCAGAAAATATAAAAGGGGATGAGCAAGTTGTTTCTACTAATAAGCTGTCATGAAATGGCTGGATACAGAGGAGTGGGGGGGGGGAGGCACCAGGTAAGGAACCCCCCTTTGGGAAAGAACTTGGGGGGGAGGGTTGATCTCTTTGAAGAAAGCATTAACTTCACTGACACCAATATTTTTTATTGCTGACCTGTTCCTGATTCCGGCTGGTGACATGAGCCAAAATAGACATGGATCTACTGCTAGGTTCTGTCTGTCTAGTGAAAACCAACGGGACCAAAAGAATTGTACACCTTAGTCCTGGGATGCTGAGTTGGCTCTTAGCCAGATGGGAGAGAGCCTAGCTCTGGCCAAGGACAATGGTCCACAGGTGAGCTTCTTTTCTTCTTATAGCTATGGGTGATTGGCATTTATGTGCATCAGTCAAACTCCAATAATAATAATAAAATAATAATAATAATAATAATAATTTATTTATACCCCACCCATCTGGCTGAGTTTCCCCAGCCACTCTGGGCGGCTCCCAATCAAGTGTTAAAAACAATACAGCATTAAATATTCAAAACTTCCCTAAACAGGGCTGCCTTCAGATGTCTTTTAAAAATAGGATAGCTGTTTTTTTCGTTGACATCTGATCGGAGGGCGTTCTACAGGGCAGACACCACTACTGAGAAGGCCCTCTGTCTGGTTCCCTGTAACCTCACTTCTTGCAATGTGGGAACTGCCAGAAGGCCCTTGGCGCTGGACCTCAGTGTCCGGGCAGAACGATGGCGGTGGAGACGCTCCTTCAGGTATACAGGGCCGAGGCCGTTTAGGGCTTTAAAGGTCGGCACCAACACTTTGAATTGTGCTCTGAAATGTACTGGGAGCCAATGCAGATCTCTCAGGACCAGTGTTATATGGTTCCAGCGGCTGCTCCCAGTCACCAGTCTAGCTACAACATTCTGGACTAACTGCAGTTTTCAGGTCACCTTCAAAGGTAGCCCCACGCAGAGCACATTGCAGTAGTCCAAGGGGGAGATAACCAGCGCACGCACCACTCTGGCAAGACAGTCCATGGGCAGATAGGGTCTCAGCCTGCGTACCAGGTGGAGCTGGTAGACAGCTGCCCTGGACACAGAATTAACCTGCGCCTCCATGGACAGCTATGAGTTCATTCTTAATGGATAGGAGTGTTTTCCTTCACTTCTTCCCATTCTTCTGAGGGTACTCATCTTTTCTGGTGGGCGCTGTTTGATCTTTTGTGAATGAACCACTGAACTGCAGGTGGCAGCTACCCAAGGAACTACCCGATCTTCACCCATGTGGACTGGCCATTGAATCGTCTTAGGCAAGGAGCATCAATGGGCTGCCTTTTCCAGTTGAGCTTCTAGTGTGTCCCTGTGGCCTTTGGCTATTCTTTCGTCCTGCCTTGCTCCTCAGTCCCGACTAATGGCTCGCCCCAATGGCTCTTGGGTCCTGCCTTGAACCAGACGGCTGTCTACCATGCTCCGCCCTCTCCCAATCCTACCTGTGTTCCAGGAAACTAGATTTATAAAACATCAAGACAAACAAACTCAGGACTGCTGCACACAGCCGCAGAATTTTAATGAGGGGGTTGGGAAAAAAGAAATATACACAGAAAATATAATTTGGATCCAGGTAAAACCGTTTCCGATCTCTCACTACCAACTTCACCTTAAATGTGACAAATCTTGTGAAGTTAGGGCGTGAGCCCCATGGGCACAAGATGAGTCCTGGATTCATCAGGCATAGCAACCAGTTTGTAAGCAACGGCTTAATCAAATGGCCCCAGGAAACATGAAGGAAACAGTCCATTCCTCACCACCACAGCAACTGCTATCCAGTGATATACTGTCTTGGAACATGGAGGCTCAATGTATTGACAATGGCTTATGTACCATTAAAGCTGTGCACACGCAGAGGGTTCACCCTAATGGTCAATTCTTGGTTCCCCTTTCCCTCTTTAGTTCTCCCTCTCCTATCCAGAAACCGGCGTCAAATTTGCATCACCTTCAAGTGGTTTTAATTCCCAGCTGAAGCAGCTTTGCAATGCAGTGTGCACGTTCTGGCAACCAGCATGGCCCTATGGTGTTATCTCTGCACATGCTTTTTGCTGCATAGGAATAGGGATTGATTGTGCCCTTTGATTATTAAAAATTATTTTTAAAAAAACATCCACGTATCTTTCTTTTGGCTTACTGTAAATTATTCAAAAAAAGATTAACACATAAACATCTTTTGATTAAAAAGCCGCAAGTTTACACCATTGATTCATATACAAGTGAGATAATCAACACTAATTATGGTCAGCACTTTTTAAATATAAAACTATGAACAATATAAGTCACCTACATGCAGCATTTTCATTTCTTTTTATTTAAAATAAAAGTACAAAAGAAGACATGAGTCAAATCTGCAGTTCTAAGTACATACAGTGGTACCTCGGTTTAAGAACAGTCCTGTTTAAGAACGATATCGTTTACGAACTCCACAAAACCGGAAGTTGTGTCCCGGTTTGCGAACTTTACCTTGGTCTAAGAACGGAATCCAAGGTACCACTGTACTAAAATCTTTGTTGTGGAAACTTATATACAGTGGTACCTCGGTTTACAAACTTAATCCGTTCCAGAAGTCCCTTCTTAAACCGAACCCGTTCTTAAACCGAGGCGAGCTTTCCCTAATGAGGCCTCCTGCCGCTGGTGCCCTTCCACTGTTCGGATTCCATTCTTAGACCGAGGTAAAGTTCTCAGACCAAGACACTATTTCCGGTTTTGCAGAGTTCGTAAACCAAATCGTTCTTAAACCAGACTGTTCTTAAACCGAGGCACCACTGTATCTATCAATCTGTCTATGTATCTATATGTATTTGTTAACTGGAGAGAGAGGGTTGCTAAAATACTAAAGTATAACAAGTATTTTATATATATTTATATAAAATCAAACCTTTCTTTTCACTACAATATCGAAGTATGGAAATAGATTTCTTTGCATGCAAAGCACCAGCTGAAAAATGGGTTCTCTCCGTCACACTAAAAGCTATTCTCTACAGCATTCGTCGTTAGCTAAAAATCACATTATTTCAATGCAAACATGACATCATCTTGAAAATTCGTCTTCAGAAGACATTCTGGCATGGAAGCCATCAGCCGATCGATCACACATTGTGCAAAAGTATACAGTATGTTGCTTACAGTTCAAAAATATATATAGAAAAAAGTATTTTCCTGTACAAAACCGAGTTAACACCTGTCTCTGCCCCCGCCCCGCAACCCATCCCAAATATTGAAATTGCTAGAGGATCTACTTCTTCAGTTGTGAAATCTGACGCATTCACGGTGTGAAGTCCACAGAATGGCAATAGCAGCATGAGAAGAAGAGCCTGCTGAGGAGGTTCATTTTGGTTGAGGTGCAAAAAAGCCCTTGGGACGCTTCAGAAGGGAGGAGGCCCATTGACGAATCGCAGCATGGGGTGGAAAGACCGGGCAAAGTTGTTGCGGTGTGCACAGCTGTAATCTTCCTCCGAGAAAGGGGGCAGGGTGGCCAAAAGCAGGAGGAGAAGGAAGAGCAACTGAAGAGGGAACGCCATTCGCAGTACACGGGACAGGAAGCCACGGGTCTTGGGAGCAGCTGGGCTGGCACTCTCGTCGTCATCCCCTCTGCAAATATGGAAGAGAATTTATAAATGAAGCTGCATTCCACTGAGTCAGACTTCATCTAGCCTAGGGTTTCCCAAACTTGGGTCTCCAGCTGTTTTTGGACTACATCTCCCATCATCCACGAAGACTGGTCCTGCTAGCTATGCATGATGGGAGTTGTAGTCCAACAACAGCCAGTTTGGGAAACGCTACTGTAGGGTGTCACAATCAGCAGCTACTCAGGGTGGCTTGCGACATATATAAAAACACAACACATTGAAAGGCTTCCCTATATCCTCTACTCAGACTGGCAGCAGCTTTCGGCAGAGCTGGTTTGAGGGCCACAAACCTTGTCCCTCCCTTCCGAGCCCTTCTACCCGGAGACACCAGAAGGAATTTGATGTGCTATTCCAATCGTTCCATCATTGCAAGCATCTCACCTTGGCAGATGGAATGATTCCATGCTCTCTTCTCTCTGTGTGTCGTTCTGGGGGTTCTCCTGACGCCCCACATGCCTTTTTTTTGGGGGGGGGAATCTGTTGCACAAGTGGAAGCCGTTGTGCAGAGCTTCCGCTGATGGGCCTCAGCTGAATCCCAGCCACTGTTGTGCACCTAGCTGCATCTGGCAGACCTCTGGGTTTTAGCAGGTCTCACAAGCCAAATGTTTGCCCACCTCTGAGTTAGGTAAAGGTAAAGGTAAAGGGATCCCTGACCGTTAGGTCCAGTCCTGGCCAAATCTGGGGTTGCAGCGTTTATCTCGCTTTATTGGCCGAGGGAGCCGGTGTACAGCTTCCGGGTCATGTGGCCAGCAGGACTAAGCCACTTCTGGCGAACCAGAGCAGCGCACGAAAACACCGTTTACCTTCCCGCCGGAGCGGTACCTATTTATCTACTTGCACTTTGACGTGCTTTCAAACTGCTAGGTTGGCAGGAGCAGGGACCGAGCAACGAGAGCTCACTCCGTCGCGGGGATTCGAACCACCGAGTTTCTGATTGGCAAGTCCTAGGCTCTGTGGTTTAACCCACAGCGCCACCCACGTGCCTCTGAGTTAGCATTGTACAAATTATGGACATTCAAGTGCTGGTTGTGTGAATGCAATTAATGCACCTGTTTTTGTTTTTAAAGAGTGTGGGCAAAAATCTCCCATTCAAAGGTGTTTGCATTTCCAGGAAAGTTGTGGGTAGTGGCTCCCTATGCAATGCATACAGCATCTTTGAGGAGCCTTTTTTTGGTCTCTGCTCAGACTTTGGCAAAGAGGAAAAAGCGCTAAACTCCCCCTTCCTCCTTTCCATGGCCTTGATCCTGCTCAGATTTCCCTGTGGCTGCTATTTACATAATAAACAATGTGTGTGTTAATTAACATGTGATTATGAGCACATCTAGCTTGACCCTACGACTGCCTTCAAAATGCAACCTCCATTTTTAAATTAAAGAAAACGTTTTCCAAAACATCCTACCTAATATCAGCGCCGCTCTCAGTCTCCAAGGTCTTCCTTCCACCAGCCTGCTGAAAATGGAGATATTACGGTGTTATTTAGTCATACTTTCCTCCAGAAACACAAGCGCAAAGAAGCAAATCCCAAGCGACCCAGTTACAGAGCTCAAAATGCTTCTGTGCCGTGTGAACGTCTACTTAACAACCAGTCCAGAGGGTGGCACTGCCTGTTAACTTCCTCCTTCTTAGGGTTAGTGCCCCTCTTGTAGAACTCAGCCTGGAGAAGGATGGGGACAAAACCAAACAGGACTGCAGCCACCATAAAGCTGTGCCCCAATGCTCATTTGGCAGAGTCCGTTCAGCAGGATTACATGGTCAATGCTATCAAAACCTTCAAGTCAGCACTGCAGGGTCATACGCCTTTGCATCCCCCCAGTAGTCAGGGTGTCGAGGGCGGATTCAGTCCCATAACTACGCCTGAACCCCCATTGGAATGGCTTGAGGCGCAGTCGTACCTTGGTTTTTGAACACCTTAGTTCTCGAACGTTTTGGCTCCCGAACGACGCAAACCCAGAAGTGACTGTTCCGCTTTGTGAACTATTTTTGGAAGCCGAACGTCTGATGGGGCTTTGGCAGCTTCCGATTGGCTACAGGAGCTTCCTGCAGCCAATCGGAAGCCACTTTGGTTTCCGAACGTTTTGGAAGTCGAACAGACTTCCGGAATGGATTCCGTTCAACTTCCAAGCATAGCTGTCAACTTACAGATTTGAAAATAAGGGACCAGCAGCCTCAAAAATAATGGATCAGAGGCCAAAGTAAGGGATTTTCCGGGCACAGGTATGTTCAACTTATGAGCCCCTCCGAGCCAAAGGCAGAAAGCCAGCAGCCAAACAAACCCTCAAGCCTCAAGGAAAACCACCGTCACCTCCCCGCTGGGAAGCGCAGAGCAAAGGCGAGTCCCCAGCAACGCGGCCGATTTGATCGGCACAAGGCATGCAAGCTCCACCCCCCAGTCATTCTTAGACTCCTTATTGGGTGAGCAACGCAGCCAAGCAATACAGTTGGAGCCTCCCTCCTCCCTGGCCAACAGGGAGGGAGGGAGAGGAGTTGCTTCCTTTGAAACCCGGGAAATTTACGGGACATCATCAATAAGGGACAGCAGCGGGACACAGCGCTGGGATAAGGGACTGTCCTGCCAAATAAGGGACGCTTGACAGCTATGCTTCCAAGTTATGACTGTATAGGCATGTGACAAGGGAAGAGCTTGTAGCCTGGCCTTAAAGAACCAATCCAAACCAGGCTTCCACAACCTAGTGTCCTCTTGACCTATTGGACTACAACTCCCATCACCCCCAGCTGGCATGGTCAGAGAGGAGGGGGACTGCAATCCAAAATGTTCTGGAGGGCATCAGGTTGGGGAAACGTACTGAACAGAAACCATGTATCCTTTAACATGGCCACAAATTACAGTTGAGTTGCTGGACTGTCCTGACCAAACCAAACCGGGCGAGTCAGCTGTTTGTGTTAACTTGCAATAAAGCATTTCCGGATGGAAACAAGACGAAGAGAAGGTACTAACAGACTGGAGAAAAACCAGAGGTTTGGAAAAGAATTGCCAAGCAGCTTGCCTTGTTTTTATATGTGCAAGGTTTCTCTGGTCGCTGAGGACAGCCTCCCGAGTCCAGTTCGTCCACATCCTGCAGAAATGCACTTGTGTCCTAGAAGGAAGAAAACGGAAGATAACTTTACGTTCTGCAGAGTAAGAAAAGCTTTATCTCCCAGGAGTTATGCACCCCCCTTGGGAGATACAGAACTGCATCACCCTGGACTCAAGCGCATCCCAGTCTCACCTGCTTTCCATGCGAGACCTTTAAATCACTTGAGACTCTTTCCAGAAGCTGCTTCAGTTTCTTCCCAATAACGTGGACCTTCTCGTGAGCTTCAACATAATCTCCTCCACCAGATTTGACGAGCAAGTGAGTGGAAATCTCCTGCAGAGTGTTGACTTGCGGCTGCCGTTCCAGAAGCTCTTTCTCCAGTTGCTTCGACAGGGAAATGGAAGGAAATATTGACGCATGTATGACTCTGCCCTACACAGAATCAAGCTGACCACGTGATCTGTCCAGCCCAGTGTTGCCTACTCTGATTGGGCAGCGGAGCTCCAAAATCTCTGTCTGACAGCCCTGAGATCCTTCAAAATGGAGATGGCAGGAACTTTACCTAGGAGCTTCTGCATATGAAGCGCATGCTCTGCTACTGAATTGTTGGGCAACGGCTAATATGTAAGTTTGTTTCCAGGCACAATTCACTGGGCTCACATCAGTGCCTAAAGGCCCAAAACAACTTAGGCCCCCAAATATTTGAAAGACTGCCTCCCTCCCTCAAGACCCCCTAAGGCAGCCTTTCTCAACCTGTGGGTCCCCAGATGTTGTTGGACCACAACTCCCATCACCCTTAGCTAACAAGGCCAGAGCTCAGGGATGATGGGAGTTGTAGTCCAACAACATCTGGGGACCCACAGATTGAAAAAGGCTGCCCTAGAGAGTCTTGAGGGAGGGTCAACACTCTCAGAAGTTTGATCACTGGGGCCCCAGGAGAGGCCATTCTCTATGGCAGTCCTTAAGTTATAGAATCACACAATCACAGAGTTCCCTCCACTCATGTGCATTTGACACTACACAGTTTCCTTAGCATGCTGAAAACATATGAGTGACAGATATTTTAGGACCCAACCTATTCTCTTCTTGCCTGTTGTCATATTTTAAATTGATTCTAGTCCTGTCTCCACCCCCATCATTCAGCCCGGACACTGAGGTCCAGCTCCAAGGTCCTTCTGGCAGTTCCCTCCCTGCGAGAAGTGAGGTTACAGGGAACCAGGTACAGGGTCCTCTCAGCAGTGGCGCCCGCCCTGTGGAATGCCCTCCCTTCAGATGTCAAGGAAATAAACAACTATCTGACTTTTAGAAGACACCCGAAGGCAGCCCTGTTTGCGGGGAAGTTTTTAATGTTTGATGTTTTACTGTGCTTTTAATTCAGTTGGGAGCCACCCAGAGTCAGGGTGGGGTGTGTATGTAATAATAATAATAATAATAATAATAATAATAATAATAATAATAATAATAATTGTTGTTGTTGTTGTAACCTGCCCTGAGATCTCATGTTGAAGGGTGAGTAATAAATCAAAATACCACTCCTACGATGACTATCACTAACCACGACAAGACAGGACACAGGAAGGATCTGAAAAGCAGATTATTGGCATCGCACCATCAAACCAAGTGCAGCAAAGTAACATTGTACCTAATGGCAGCAAGTCAACTGGCGGGTCAATCATTTCTGTATGGATGCACCAAAAAGTGTTGTTGTTTTTTAAACCTACCATTAATTCTCTTCGGCTCTCCTGAATTGCGTGAGGATCAGCATTCAGATCCTTGATCTGTGCTTGATGCCTCCGAACCTCTGCAACAGCCAACCACAGCAGCAGGTTATGGTTTTGCTTATGGAAATCCTGCAGAGAAAAAACATTCATTATTAGGAGAGGCAGCCTCGTCAGATCACGTCTGCTGACAAAGGCCGGTTTCAGACTGCATGCCGGCAAACTCAGGTTGCGTACTTTGAGAGGATTTGATGATCTTGTGAAACAGCAATCTTTTGCGATAAAGAAAGGAAATGCACTGGAAAGAATAGGATAAGAATGGCTTGATAACGTCGTGTCAAACCAGGTTGAATGCTCCACGGCCCAGGTCTACCTCTTTGGAAACTCTGCACAAACAAATCAGGCTGAATGCTCAATAAGCAGGCTATGCAGAAGGGACCCAAATAAGACAGGGCCTTTCCAACTTGGGTTGCAAGGTAGTAATAATATGTAGCACTTACATTGTGCTTTCTTGAATGCTCAGCGTTCTCTGCATACAGTCTCTCATGAATACTTAAAGGCAGGCCAGTATTATCAGTTCCATATTGACTAACCATAGGTGGTGGGCTGAGGTGGACAGATCGTGGCTTGGCTAAGGCCACCTGTTCATGGCAGAAGAATATTTCCTGGTTTGCAATTTAGACTATTAGCCACAATGCTTCACGATCTGTTCCAGGCAAAGGAGGACAGAAGTGCAGGGAGGTGGGCTTGCATCCTTCAGCTATGTTCCAAAAGGAAAATCACAAAACTCGAAGATCTTGCCTCGCTTACGTAAGAATGCTGTGCAACTACGGAGTGTTCTGCAAATGGCATTTTAAAGCAGTTTCTTAAATCTGCCCAGGTTGGCTTAAAAACATAAAAACATCCTGTATGCCTGAAGTAGCATCTCCACCCCCATCGTTCAGCCCGGACACTGAGATCCAGTGCCGAGGGTCTTCTGGCGGTTCCCTCATTGTGAGAAGTGAGGTTACAGGGAACCAGGCAGAGGGCCTTCTTGGTAGTGGCACCCGCCCTGTGGAACGTCCTCCCTTCAGATGTGAAGGAAATAAGTACCTATCCTATTTTTAAAAGACATCTGAAGGCAGCCCTGTTTAGGGAAGTTTTTAATATTTAACGCTGTATTGTTTTTAATACTTGATTGGGAGCCGCCCAGAGTGGCTGGGGAAATTCAGCTAGATGTGCGGGGTATAAATAATAAATTATTATTATAATATTATTATAAAAAAGGCTGCTGGATCAGGCCAGCGTCTAGCCCAGATTCCTGTTCTCACAGTGGCCAAGCAAATACCTATAGGAAGCCACCAACAGAAACTGAGAGCAACGCCAACCTCCCTGCCTGTGATTCCCAGAAACTGGGACTCAGAGATGTACAGCCTCACAACAGTGGCAGCAGAACAGGGACACCAGGATTAGTAGCCATGGATGAAGTACCTTCCATTGCCCATCCAGAATCTTCTAATGTTCGTTTTCATTGGTTATCCCTGAGTTCCAGTGTTTTGAGAGATGGAGGAAAACCTTCTCCCTATCCACTTCTTATAAATAAGAAAGCAATGGGCTGCACTGACCTGGCAGCCCACCAGGGCTTCCTGCAAACTCTTCCTCCACTCTCCCATCAAATGAATGGCCTCCTCCCAGCGCATATTGACTTGCCGAAGCCTGTTCTGGAGCTCTTTGGATCCAGCGCTGTCTCCTTGCCTGAAGTCCTTGCTGGTCAGGTTGGCAGAAAGCACAAGTGCCTTGTAGTTATCAAAGGCTTTGAGCATATCCTGGCGAGGAAGAAGCGGGTTAGGATTCTGCGTTCCAAAATAACTTGGGTTTTTCAGCAGCGGCACAACAAAACAACCGGTTTACCAGTGAGATTGCCTTGCTTCTTTGTATGCCTACTCGACTGCTCCCATCTACAAAACTGGTGCTGTGGCAAGTGCCACGTAATACTTGTAATAAATGGATCTTTTACACTTTGGAACTCCCTGCCTGTTGACAAAATTTTTTTGTTTAGGTAAGCCGATCCAGATATGTGAAAACACTGACTTTTTTTTCACCTGCTCTTTGGCTGATTGTTGATTGCAATTATTTTGGAAGGCTTGTTTTTAACTGTTGCCCACTGACAATTTTTCACAGCTTTATTCTTTTTTTTTTTTTGTAAACCTCTTTGAGGCCTCCCCCCCCCTTCTGACAAGTGTTTCAGTCTGTGCTTTTGCATTTTTATCTGTAAGCTGCCTTGAGTCCTGGTCCGGGGTGGAATAGAAATAAATATAAATATAAAAAATTACAAAACAAACAAACGAAACAAACAAACAAACAAACAAACAAACAAACAAACAAACAAACCAAACAAACAAACAAGGCTGTACAAAACCTTCACTTGGGGGATAATCCTATGAAGGCTCTATGAGTGCATTCCAACAATTAGTTCATGACCACAAGTCCATGATTGATGTGAATTACAACCTCCTGAACTTCGTAACTAAGAAGTAGTAGCTGATTGTGCTTTGTTTTATACTTAAAGGTAAAGGGACCCCTGACCATTAGCTCCAGTCGTGACCGACTCTGGGGTTGTGACACTCATCTCACTTTATTAGCCGAGGGAGCTGGCATACAGCTTCTGGGTCATGTGGCCAGCATGACTAAGCCGCTTCTGGCGAACCAGAGCAGCACACGGAAACGCCGTTTACCTTCCCGCCGGAGCGGTACCTATTTATCTACTTGCACTTGGACGTGCTTTCGAACTGCTAGGTTAGCAGGAGCAGGGACCGAGCAACGGGAGCTCACCCCATTGCAGGGATTCGAACCGCTGACCTTCTGATCGGCAAGTCCTGGGCTCTGTGGTTTAACCCACAGCGCCACCCGAGTCCCATGTGTTTTATACTTACTGTTGTTTATATCCATTTATCTCATGTTTTGGATTTTTTTTTGGGGGGGGGGGGTGTTCCATTGAGACTCAGGTGTAAGAAGGCAACAAATAAATTGAATTAAGAGTAGAAGTAGCAGTGATCATGATGATGGGCCGAGGCTAGCATGCCAGGCCCCACTTATCTCAGTTAAGAACACCTGCATAGAACTAGAATCAAGCAAACTTCAAGGTCTATCACCAGCCATTGGACACAGGAGCCAAATGGCAGAAGCTCTAGGGGTAACTGCCTTCTGCAGATCGGATTCTGGCTATCTTACCTGTGTGGTCTTTCTTAAGAGATTGTCCCCTGCCATAAAGAGAGTGCAGCCCTGGAAGACCTTCCTTGATCCAGCAAGGCACTTCTTACTTTGGCTACAGGGATTATTTACCAGGACAAATGGTGAACTCACTTTCTGCTTCTTGACTCTCTGATGGATGGCCGTGATGCTGGTGGGCGGTTCTGCCTCCTGCAACATTTCAAGCTCCTTCTCTGTTCTATCCAGCCAAGCGTTGATATTCGTGAGGTCAGAATTCAGCTGCTCCCGCTGCTGCCGACTCTGCTTCATTCTCAGCTTGTTGCTTAAGTCTTGGGCTTGAATCAGCTCCCATCTCTCCAGGCCTCCTGCGGTTTGTTGCAAAATTATTCATGTTTTTTATTTTATTAAAAAAAGCTTTGAAGCTTGACTCAGAGGAAAGTATTATTTTAGGCACTCGCTGGGTCCCCTGAGGAAACAGATCTTCTACCCCAGCCTAGCTACAATATCCAACATTAAGCCTATGTGAATTTTTGGGTAGCCTTTTAGGGCTTCTACCCCTTCACAATAGCGTGGCACTGATACCTTTTAAAGACACAATCGACAGTAGCCTTCATCAACCTCCAGATATTTTGGACTACCACCCCATGTAGTATTTTCTGCCATTTCTCTTTTTTAATGATTCCATCTGCTGCTTCTGCCTTTTACTTTCATGTGGCTGTTTGTTTGTTTTTTCACTATTTTTCATTTTTACATTAGCTGCCTTTGGGCGTTTTGCCTTTAAATGCAAAGGGGGAACATAAATATTTCAATAGATAAAATAACTGCACCTGGTCACATTCATTTATTTTTATCTTTGACTCCCTCTCCGCTTCCTCCGTTTAGAGATTTTAAGTTTGTTGGAGGAGGGATCTCTTGTTTATTGGCTTTCATTCCTCTGTAGCGCACCATCTACACTGACGTTATAAATCCATAGGGAAAAATGAAATCCTATTTCTCACACACTCTGCAAAGAAGCCTCTACATCAGGCTTCCTCAGCCTCGGCCCTCCAGATGTTTTGAGACTACAATTCCCATCATCCCTGACCACTGGTCCTGCTAGCTAGGGATCATGGGAGTTGTAGTCCAAAAACATCTGGAGGGCTGAGGTTGAGGAAGACTGCTCTACATAAACAAAATTTATTACACACATAGTAAAGGTAACGGTCCCAGCGCCTGCCAACCTAGCAGTTCGAAAGCACCCCCGGGTGCAAGTAGATAAATAGGGACCGCTTACAAGCGGGAAGGTAAACGGCGTTTCCGTGTGCGGCTCTGGCTCGCCAAAGCAGCGATGTCACGCTGGCCACGTGACCCGGAAGTGTCTCTGGACAGCGCTGGCCCCCGGCCTCTTGAGTGAGATGGGCGCACAACCCTAGAGTCTGTCAAGACTGGCCCGTACGGGCAAGGGTACCTTTACCTTTACCTTTAAAGGTAAAGGTAAAGGGACCCCTGACCATTAGGTCCAGTTGTGACCGACTCTGGGGTTGCAGTGCTCACCATCTCGCTTTATTGGCTGAGGGAGCCGGCGTACAGCTTCCGGGTCATGTGGCCAGCATGACTAAGCCGCTTCTGGCGAACCAGAGCAGCACACAGAAACACCATTTACCTTCCCGATGGAGTGGTACCTATTTATCTACTTGCACTTTGACGTGCTTTTGAACTGCTAGATTGGCAGGAGCAGGGACCAAGCAACGGAAGCTCACCCCGTCGCAGGGATTCCAACCGCCAACCTTCTGATCGGCAAGTCCTAGGCTCTGTGCTTTAACCCACAGCGCCACCCGCGTCCCGATTACACACATACACACATGCATATCTGTATCCATTTTGATACAGATCTATCTCAAAAAATATTACAGCTAAAGTACCTGGTTGTTTTTCTATGGCTGCAACGCCATCAAGGCTCTGGCTAGATTGGGGTTCCTCGTTAGGCAACATCCCAGAGATCTCCTGCATGCTGTCCAGACTCCTGCTGCTCCGTTGTTTCACCTGGAATATAACAACATAGAAAGAAGGGAATGACACATGACGCCGGCCCATGTACACTGTGCCCAACGCACTGCTTGGCCACCCAGCAATGTCCTCAGCACACTGCTCAAAAGGTACCTTGCTGCCAGAGGTAACCATGAGACAATCCAGTATCCTGGTCTTGTAAATCTTTGGAAATACTTCTGTCACACTATGCAGCACCGAAATGACCTTTGCTACTCCATCTATCAGAGACTTTAGCACCCCTTCATTCGCCTCCCATTATCATACCGTAGTATTTTTTACCTTTGCTCAGAACTACGCCACCAACGTGCAATTAGCAATATCTGCAAATCCAGCCAATTTTTAAAAATGCTTAATGGATCTTTGTGAGGTAGAAGTTCAAGAACTCAGAGAAGCGAGGAATAAGGAATCAGAAAGTATCCTACAGTCTAAACAATGGAAAATTGCTTTTAAGTATCCTACAGTCTAAACAATGGAAAATTGCTTTTATATAGAATCTTTCCTTAAGATTCGAAATTGAGAGTGATCCAGCAAAAATTAATATTTTGAGTATAGGAAGGCACTGCATAATGAAGATAGATGTTAGAAGTGTAATGCCGAGGTCACCACATTGAGGCATATGATGTGGGCTTCTCCACTGACACAGCATTTTTGGTCTGAAGTTGTTATCCACATCAATTTTGTATTGCCCAAATCCAGATGTTCATATCATTTCAAATAATATTCCTGTAGTATGGGGATTAATGGCAAGACAACAAAAGTGGAATTTGCATGCCCTTATGTTTGCTAAGAGCCTGAATGGATAAATAGTCAACATCCATTATGATCTGAAGATCTACTGACCCTGAAAACATTTGAACATATTTCATATAGGCATCAATTGTGTGTTGATACCTTTTTGGACACCTGGAAGGCTAATATTAACTTACATGTTTCAGATGCATATACAGATGGCAAATGCTTATATAATGTGAAGTGATTGGGGTTTTCTTGGTTATTACTAGTGTTATTTGTATAGTAGTTCCTTTTATTTATTTTATTGCATTTGATTTCTTTCCTTTGCTAAATTTGCAAAAAAAATATGTTGTCATTTTTTTAAAAGTAAAATCATGCACCTCTTTCATTGCTTAAGCCATACAACGTCTCTCCCATCTGTCCAGTGCAAATTCCTCATTTTTTACTTCCAATGGTGACCAGCTCCAGCATGGCTTTTGGTCAGGGATGACAGTGGTCCAAGAACATAAGGTTTAACCTAATGGCCAATCCAGCCCTTTTATGCTTGTAATGTACACCTGCATCCAGTAGGACTTACATATCCTGGTTTGTAGGGAGTGCTTGTCTCTGGGCTGTTCAAAAGGACACTTGGAACCATCTCTCCCTGGCTGTATGGATGTTTTCGGCAAGCAGGGCTTTCTGGAGAGTGCCACGTGTGGGTCTCAGAAGCAGATTTTTCTGTAGTACGACATTGAAAAGGAAATCCGCAGGAAGTTAGATGCCCAAGTTTGGGGTGAGGGGTGGGGGATATGAATGAATTAAAAACATTCTGCAGAATAGGGGGGACCAAGTTATGATGCGGGAGGAAAAATATATGAAAGTTTTACCGTCTTTCCTTGCAAAGCATGCTTGTTTGCAAATGTATGCCGGCTGTGTTTCAGGGGCAATGAAATGAGGAGCCATGCAGTTATGGGTGGGCACGTCCCCTCACCCCACCTTCCTGAAAAGGCCTACAGACAGTTAACAACACCACCAAAAAGTTCAGGCGGGAAAGATGACTCTGGGAGGGACAGCTGGTCCTACATGAGAGAAGGATGGTGTGGCCCTTCTCAGGCAGCAAACTTTAGGGATGCTATTAAAGGTAAAGGGACCCCTGACCATTAGGTCCAGTCATGACCGACTCTGGGGTTGCGGCGCTCATCTCGCTTTATTGGCCAAGGGAGCCAGCGTACAGCTTCCGGGTCATGTGGCCAGCATGACTAAGCCACTTCTGCTGAACCAGAGCAGCGCACGGAAACACTGTTTACCTTCCCGCCGGAGCGGTACCTATTTATCTACTTGCACTTTGACGTGCTTTCGAACTGCTAGGTTGGCAGGAGCAGGGACTGAGCAACGGGAGCTCACTCCGTCGCAGGGAATCGAACCGCCGACCTTCTGATCAGCAAGTCCTAGGCTCTGTGGTTTAACCAACAGCGCCACCTGCATCCCACAGGGATGCTATTACAAGGCAGCAAATGGCGGGTCACTTAGGTTGCGTACGCATTGTCCCATTGGTAGCACACAAAAAACTGCAGGTTTCCCTCAATCTGGAATTGTGCCTGTTCATCCTCAAAACTGCTTCTTTTAATCTAGATCCTGCTTGTCCGCAAGGGTGGGTGTGGCTACTCGATATGCATTTGGAAAACCTCCTCTTGAGGTTATCCATGCCTTTCCCTCCCTACACATGAATGAAGGAGGAAGCGGTGATTGCATTCTTGGCACACGCCCACCTACAATGTCATTGGGCAGGTGTGGATAAAGCCCCGCCTACACCTGCTTTCGAATGGACATGGAATCCATCTGACATGAGCTTTTGTTTTCAGAATGAAATCCAGTTTCTCAATAAGTACTTGTCAGCTAGCACGGCTAGATTGTGTGTGGACTATATAGAAAAGGGCTCAGTTCCTCTTGATTTTAAAATAAAAAAAGGTGTGCATGCAGCCTGTATCTATTGTGTTTCTGACCACCAAGGAAAGAATGGAAGCCACTTTGAACCTTCCACTCTCAAGCATCAAAATGACTTTGACCATCTCTGCTGGAAAACAGGACTCCTTGGTGACGCATCTATGTCTGCAACACACAACGTGATAGTGCAGGTGAAACTAAAATTTTACTCTCAGTTTAAAGACTGTCTCAAGGCAAATCTAAAAAAATGTAGTATAAACACTGACAACTGGGAAACACTGGCCTGCGAGCGCTCCAGTTGGAGAACAGCCTTTACCAAAGAGACTCGAACTCAGGACTCAAGGGAGAAACGTGCTAGGAGGAAGGCACGCTTGGCAAATCCAAACCGTGATCAACTCCCATCTGGAAACCAATGTCCCCACTGTGGAAGGACGTGTGGATCCAGAATTGGCCTCCACAGTCACTTACGGACTCCCTGTTAAAACCGTGTTTATGGAAGACAACTTTACTCGGCTACGAGTGATTGCCAAAGAAGCAGCAGATGAAACTAACATGGATTCTGGAGAGAATACCAAGTGCTCATTTTCAAAGCAAGCCGATCGCCCTGTTCAGCCCAATACTGAATGGCAGAGGAGGCCTTAAAGCTAAGCTATGATGTCTTGAGAGTGATGTTTGCGAACCAGGAAGATTTTCTGTTGGGTTGTTTTTTTAACCTAGACTGCACCTGAAGGCTTATAGTCTCCAATGCAAATCGAAACCCAAATTTAACCATCTTTGTGCTGGAGTGGAGAACTAAGGGGGGGGGAGCACAATCTTGACCGTTCACTAATGATGACGCATGTGCAAATGGTGCAGCATTAAACAAAAACGGGGAGAAAAAGAGAGAGAATCCACCATGAACCAACTGGAGCATGGTGTTGACACAAGCCAGGGAGCCAGACACTTGCATATGAGAGAGGTGTAAGGAGCATAGCGTGCGCCACAGGGAGACTGTCATGTTGAGACACATGCAGCAGCAGTGCCTACCAGAAACTGCTTTCAATGATTTTGTGGTCATTTTAAGAAAGGCCTCGGCATTTTCAGGGATTTCTACATCTGAAAAAAGAACAACATCACCAATTGCCTCGCCGGACAAAAGAGGCTGTGAGCGCACACCCCCACAACTACCCATCCCACAGGACAGAAACATAAGAACAGCCCCCAATAGATCCAGTCAAAAGTTTGCATAGCCTGGCATTGCATTTGCAACAGCTGGAATGACTCTGGCAAATGCATAAGGAGAGTACAGTGGTACCTCGGGATGCGAACGAGATCCGTTCCGGAGCCCCGTTCGCATCCCGAACGGAACGCAAGACGCGACGGCGCGTCTGCACGTTCGTGGGTCACGTTTCGCCACTTCCGCACATGCTCGTGACGTCATTTTGAGCATCTGCGCATGCGGCAAAACCCGGAAGTAACACGCTCTGTTACTTCCGGGTGGCCACGGAGCGCAACTCGAACGCACTCATCTCGAAGCACGTTCAACTTGAGGTATGACTGTATTAAGGCAACAGCCCCCCACCTGCTGCTAAGCTCCACCCCCCACCAAAGTACCTGATATTTAGTGGTATACTGTTTTTTAATATTGAGATTTTACTGTAGTTATTGTGGTTCAGCAGATCTCCCTATATCATTCTGCTTAGCAGCTGACTTTCCCTAGCAGCTGGGATGGGCCAGAGCAGGGAAAGCCAGCCAGTAAGAAAAGAGATGATGAGAGATAGGTTGGAACAGCCATTGGCTCCTCCTTCACTGTGCAGGTGATTTGTGTCCCTCTCGAACTTCTGCTGCCATTACACAGGGGCGGGGGGGGGGCGGTCTTCAGAAAACCAGGCTATGATGGGAGACAGCCACAAGACTGCCCTGATCCTCCAGAAGTCCAGCTCCAGAACTGTGGGGCAGAGCTCACATGGTGATATATGTACAAAGCTATTCAAAGTACAGTCATACATCGGGTTACAGACACTTTAGGTTGCGTTTATTCAGGTTACAGACGCTCCGAAACCTGGAAGTACCGGAACTGGTTACTTCTGGGTTTCGGAGGTCGTGCATGCACAAAAGCGCTAAGTTGCGCTTTGAGCATGCGCAGAATCGCAACCTGTGCTTGCGCAGACGCGCCACTGTGGGTTATGAATGTGGATCCCGTATGGATCACGTTCGCAACCCGAGAATCCACTGTATATGGTGTGGGCTTTTTTGCCACAGCTTCCTGCATTCCTAGCTGCATGCAAAGAGCCTTGCTGTAAGTAGCACAGAACATTAGGTTCTGCACCATGTTAGCCTGCTGAAATAGCTCAGTTGGTAAAAGAAGAGACTCAGGGTTGTGGGTTTGAGCCCCATGTTGGGTGAGAGATTCCTGCATTGTAGGGGGTTGGACTAGATGACCCTTGTGGTCCCTTCCAACTCTACAATTCTACGATTCTATGATATGAGGAGGGGGTCTTGCTTCTGAATGCTCCCTTCCCGTATAACAAGCTCCCTGCATTAGGTTAAGCCAGGAGACCAAAGAGGGTAATGCTAAGCCTTTCACCCCAGTGTACTAGTTTTCTACGTGAAGGTTTTGGCTTTTAGCAAAATAGCTCAGACTGTTTCTCCATGTAGTCCAGAATGGTCTACTCTGACTGGCAGTGACTCTCGGGGTCTCAAGGAACAAGCCTCTTAACTGGCGGCTGAATCTGGGACCCTCGCCAAGCAAAGTATGTGCTGTACAGCTGAACTATGGCTACTCTATAAATATATACATCGTATTGGCTTGAATATAAGTCTAACTCCCCCCCCCCCAAAAAAAATTCTGACCGTGAAAAGTTAAAGTGCAGCTTAAATTCGCAACCTTTCAAAAATTGGCTTTTACGATATTGCTGCTGAAACAGACATATGGTAAAACGGAATGGGTGTGAGTGCCTGTGGAATTTTAAGGGAGCTGCTTATATTCGGTTATTGCCTTTTTCTCTCTCTCCCCCCCCCCTGAATTTTAAAGGTGTGGCTTATATTCGGGTGCAGCTTATATTTGGGCCAATACGGTAATACTCATCCTGCACCTACCCTAGAGTGGAGGGACACAGGCCAGAATTCTCCCACCTGTACACGAAGGGCATCAGTGAATCTTGCAAGAGATGGGAAAAGCTCTTGTGCAGACATGCCTTTGAATGGTTGCATTGCTAGCAGTTCAATACTTAAAAAGCTGGGCCACGGGGTTTTTGCATGGGTGCCAAGGTTACATTTCCTTGCTGAAATGGGAAGAATTGCTAGGATGGACTCACCTGACAGATCACTGTAATACTGTTCTTCTTCCTCATCTTGTGGACCAGAGTCTCCGACGTCCCCGGTGTGATCCCACTCCAAGGGGATGGAGTCCACGCTGACGGGCGTCTCGCAGCCCGACCTCTCGTGACCCACTGCAGGGGGCACGAGGTGGCAGAGGGACTGCTGGGGCGGCAGCACTTCCTGCATGGCCTTTCGGCACCAGGGGTGCATCCCCCTTGCATCTTCCATGTCGGCCTCGCTTTCAGAGGTCTCCTTTTCATCTTCCAGTCCCTAAAATGGAAGAGCTATCACTGAGCAAAATTATTGACACAACTTCTGACTAATGCCAGCGTATCCTGCCCCAAATACACTTGCCTTACTTACAAGAACATTGGAATTTGCCTTATACCAAGCCAGACCTTTGCTCTATCTAGCTCAGTATTGTCAGGCCTTTGGTCTCTCTAGCTCAGTTTTGTCTACACGGGCTGGCAGCAGCTCTCCAGGGTTTCAGGCAGGGGCATCTGCCTGCAGATGCTGGGGACCAAACCTGGAACCTTCTGCATTCAAAGCAGATGCTCTACCAATGAGCTTTGCCCTCCCCCCCCCCACTTTATTAACCCCCAATTTTAAACTGAAGGTTTTTTAAAAAATATTTTTTCTGAACTGGAGATGCTGGGGATTGAACCTAGGACCTCCTGAGGTATGGGTCCCCCATCGGTGCCCGCCTGATCTATAGAATGATTCATCGCTCTGGCCTCCTTTGTGCCAGGTAATCTTCTTATACCTCTGCCTCAGGTGTGCTTGGAGCATCTACTCACTCAGAATAATAATAATAATAATAATAATAATAATAATAATAATAATAATAATGTATATCCCGCCCTCCCCAGCCAAAGCCGGGCTCAGGGCGACTAACAACAATAAAACAGTACAAAAGTACAGCACAAACAACACTTTAAAATCATTCATTATAAAATTAATTCAAATCAAGCCACTGGCAACCATTGGGCCAGAGCTCCGCGAAGATTGCCGAAGGAGGGGGTCAGACTGTGCCTTGGCCAAAGGCCTGGTGGAACAGCTCTGTCTTGCAGGCCCTGCGGAAAGATGTCAAGTTCTGCAGGGCCCTAGTCTCTTGTGACAGAACGTTCCACCAGATCGGGGCCACAGCCGAAAAAGTCCTGGCTCTGGTTGAGGCCAGCCTAACCTCCCTGTGGCCCGGGACCTCCAAGATGTTTTTGTTTGAAGACCGTAGGGTCCTCCATGGGACATACCAAGGGAGGCGGTCCCGTAGGTATGAGGGTCCTAGGCCGTATAGGGCTTTAAAGTTAAAACCAGCACCTTAAACCTGACCCTGTACTCCACTGGGAGCCAGTGCAGCTGGTACAGCACTGGGTGAATGTGATCTCACAGTGAGGACCCCACAAGGAGTCTTGCCGTGGCATTCTGCACCCGCAGAATCTGGAGCAGAAAGTATTCAAAGTGGGAAGGACCAGAACATAAGAGTCTCATGCAGGCACACAAGGAAGATGCGTGGTCCGACGAATCAAAGAATTATAGAATCATAGAACTGTAGAATTGGAAAGGACCCTGTGGGTCATCTAGTCCAAGGACCCTTACATTCTGCACCCAAGTATTATTAGTTTATGTTACGCAATGCATTTATTTTAGGGGAAGAAGGCTGGAGCTCAGTGGTAGAGCAACTCCCTTGCAATGTAGCAGGTCCCAGCTTCCATCTCCAGCACTCTCAGCTAAGGCTGGGAATCTCTCCTGAATGAAACCCTGGAAGGCCAGGCTAGGCAGAACTGACCTAGATGGAACAATGTCCTGATTTGGCAGTTTCCTATGCACTTCTTCCATCATGGAAGTCAAGACAGTCTAGATGGAGCTTCCAGCTGGTCTTGCATCAAGGCAGAGACTTTAGCAGGACCTGCTTAGCTTCAGCAAGGTGGCCGTACAATGTCCCCTCAGACTATGGCCTGGGAGCATGGTTAAAGCTTTTTGGTATAGGAGTGAGTATTCCTTTCTTTGTAACTCGGAAAACAAAGTGCTTCCTTAAGGCCTTTTGGGACCCCAGAGGCTTTTGGCAGTACAGTGGTACCTCTGGTTACGTACTTAATTCATTCCGGAGAACCGTTGCTAACCTGAAACTGTTCTAAACCTGAAGCACCACTTTAGCCAATGGGGCCTCCCGCTGCCACTGCGCGATTTCTGTTCTCATCCTGAAGCAAAGTTCTTAACCCAAGGTACTATTTCTGGGTTAGCAGAGTCTGTAACCTGAAGCGCATGTAACCCGAAGTACCACTGTAGGTCTATTCCACCTCTTGCATGCAAGTAAATGGAAAGGTAAAGGGACCCCTGACTATTAGGTCCAGTCGTGACCGACTCTGGGGTTGTGGCGCTCATCTCACTTTACTGGCCGAGGGAGCCGGCGTACAGCTTCCGGGTCATGTGGCCAGCATGACTAAGCTGCTTCTGGCGAACCAGAGCAGTGCACGGAAACGCCGCTTGCCTTCCCGCTGGAGCGGTACCTATTTATCTACAGTGGTGCCCCGCAAGACGAATGCCTCGCAAGATGGAAAACCCGCTAGACGAAAGGGTTTTCCGTTTTTGAGTTGCTTCGCAGGACGAATTTCCCTATGGGCTTGCTTCGCAAGACGAAAATGTCTTGCGAGTCTTGAGATTTTTTTCCGCTTCCCCCCCCCTTTTTCTAAGCCGCTAAGCCGCTAATAGCCTTTTAGCAGCTAAGCCGCTAAGCCTTTAATAGCCGCTAAACCGCTAATAGCGCTAATCCGCTAAGCCGCTAATAGGGTTGCTTCGCAAGACGAAAAAACCGCTAGACGAAGAGACTCGCGGAACGGATTAATTTCGTCTTGCGAGGCACCACTGTACTTGCACTTTGATGTGCTTTCAAACTGCTAGGTTGGCAGAAGCAGTGACCGAGCAATGGGAGCTCACCCCATCGCGGGGATTCGAACCGCCGACCTTCTGATCAGGAAGTCCTAGGCTCTGTGGTTTAACCCACAGCGCCACCCAATGCAATCTTGATAGCTCTTACCGGGGGCCAGGATGCCAGTCTATGCTGGAATCGGGAGACACGGCCAAACACGTCCTGGTAGTATCTGTGGACCTCTTGCAGCTCCTCTTCAATCACAACAGCATCCGAAGGCTCGCTTTTCTGAATCAGGTGCTTCCCGGACATAGTAAGCTCATGGATCTTGTCGGTGTTTAGCAATATTTCCTGCTGGAAACACTGTTTGGAAGACAAGCAAGGATGCTTCCTAAATACAGCATTGCTCATCAGGTTAATTCCCCTTTTGGATAGGGAATGTTTCACCCCTCTCCCTGAGGCCTGGATTCTTAAGCCAATTCCTCATATATACAATCAGTGTGTTTTGGAGGGCACAGGAATGGGGTGCTGTGCTGCTAGACATATCTTGATAATAGTCTTGTGGGTGCCAACACAACCAAAAAAAGGGGGGAGGGGATAGACAGTACATTTTGCCAGTGAGAACCATGACACACACAAAAAACCACTGTATACAGTGGTTGCTGGAACCTCCTACAAGTTGGGACTGAGAAGAATGGTTGGTCCCCATTGGAGATGAGAGACATCCAAGTTCAGAGGATAAGTACTCCAATAAATAAATAAACCAAGGTAGCTTTGCTTCCACTCCTTCTTTTGGGATTAAGGGGCTTGCAGCAAATTTCCCAGGGATATACTGTATATCCAAACAGGAGACAGGCAGATGTTATAGGACTGAGGGGAGGTGTGGAACTCAGCTCATTTCTCATGATGCTTTTTTCAAAAAAGAAAAACAATACCCACATTTAGCTGCCGCATTTTCTCATCCAAGTTGCTCTCTGAGAAGTGTTCCACGTTGGTCAACTGCAGGTCCATTTCGGTCAGCCACACCAGGATGCTGTCCTTGGTCCCCACAAACTCCTCCCATTGATTGGTAAAGTGCTAAAGGAAATCAGGGAAAGCAAATACGTCGACGCGACAGTTGGCACATAGCAAAACTGCTGCTTGTTTGCCGGAAGGAGGCGTATAAGGCGCCACCCAACCGCCTTAGGGACTCCACTCCAGATTTGTGTAGGGTTTACTTCCTTTAGCCATTTCGTCTCCTAAATATGACCTGCAAGGCAGCGGGTGTGGACTGCTCCTCAGGGTTTACTCCCAAAGCCTTTCTGAGTACAGCCGAAAGACAGAGGAGATTTAAGATAGAGTTTTCCTTCTCCTAGATGGGACACCCTTCCCAGGTTGAGAAGTCCCACCTGCCCCTCACTGCCCTCTACCACACGTACAGAAACCGCTTTCTTGACTGTTGGACGCACTATTGGTCTCATCTGCTCAACCCACATCGAGGGTTTGAGACCCACTGGCTACCCTCACCTGAAACCTGACAGCCGTGGCACAGGCGGCCTGTGGTTACCTTGAGTCTCCTGAGAATTGCCGTCACGCGTTTCTGGAGGTTATCCCAGTCTTGGTTGCCCTTGTGGACCATCTGCTTCAGCTTGCTGGCTGAATCAGTGCGATTCTCCCGGGCCAACCGCCGGTACTGTTTATTGATCAGCTCCAGTTGCGTCAGTCGCTCGTGGATTTGTCGCTGAAATGCCTGAGGTGGAAAAAGCAGCCCTTTGTTTTCTTACGAGCAGCCTCATACCTGGCATCGCTCAGGAAGAAACAAATTCTAGGGAAAAAACCACAACAGAAAGCAGGGCTTTTACCTCAAATTTCTTCAAGTCCTCCTTGGCATTGGTGTACGAAACCTCCGAAGAGTTTGGATACGCTGCTGTCCTCTCGGCTGTCTTCAGCCAGTCCTCAAAGCGAGAGTAGTCCTCCAGGAACTTTTGCCAAAGTTGCCATGTTTCCTCAATCCTAAAGGGGAAACAAGCACCAACAGCAGCATTTTTTCCCAGTGTACTTCATGTGGAAAAACCACCAGCCTTCTGGAACCTTCTGAAACACAGCCTGCCCAATTCCCCTTCCCCTCACAGCTCACCCAAACCACCTGCCTCTGGCAACTGGTGAGGTGGCACGGGTGAAGCTCTGGTGGTCTTCTGTGTTCCCAACACCACAGGCCACCGTCACTTAGCAAGAGGGAGAGGGGTGAGAAACAGGGAGTGTGGTGCACAGTGGCAGAGTCATTTCACCATTCTAGCTGCCAGCCAAGCTCCCTGTGCTTCACCCCCGCAGTAAATGCCAGCGACCCACATCACTGGGAAGTGATTTCTCCCCTTTGCTCTGCCCCCCACTGATGAGAGAAGGAAGATTGCATTTTGAAAGGCAGGCTTTCCCCCTCTCACCTCCCACAGCAGCAGCAGTTGGGGGGATGGTAGCTGTGCGAACTACATCAATTACAGCGTGACAACATCATTGCAATTTTATTCTATGGTTAAGATATATGTTGCCCATATATTTTCAAGCATGTTGTTGCAATACAGATAGCTTTAATAGAGTATTAGACGAAATCACAGAGGATAAGCTATCAATGGCTACAAGCTGGGCATGTTCTACAATATGCTTCTGAATGGCAGTCGCTGGGAATCACAAACAGGGAGAGTGCTGTCACAATCAGGTCCTGCTTGTGGGCTTCCCGTTGGATCCTCTGGTGGACCACAGTGGGAACAGGTTGCTAGTCTACATGGGTGATTGGCCAGATCAAGTAGGACTCTTTGCACACATGCCTTTAAAAGAAAGGAAAGCTAAGATTCTGAATTCTGGCCCTGAGACCACATCCTACATTCCTTCTGTGTTCTCATAGCACCAAACCAGACACAGAGTCCTGATCGTGGAACATAGGAAGCTGTCTCATACAAGGTCAGGCAATTTGCCCATCTAACCCAATACTGTCAAGGGGCAAGGGCTCTTCAGGGTGCCAAGCAGTGGTCTTTCCCACAATTTGCTTCTGAGATTCTTTAGCTGGAGATGCCAGGAATTTAGTTGGGGACCTCTTGTTTATCCATATTGCTTGCTCTGACCCAGTAGCAGGGTCTCGTGCTGAAAGAGACCACTTCCATCAACTGCCATGTCAGGGACGGGGAACCTGCAGCCTTTAGGAATTTGTTGCCCTTCAAATCCCATCACACACCCCCCAGACAGCACAGCCAACTGTATGAAGGAAGTTCAGCAACATCTGTAGGGCCACATATTCCCCATCTCTGGCAATACAGCCATGCCTTGAGTTGAATGTGTTTCAGGTTGAGCGCTTTTGGGTTGCACTCTGCAGCAACCCGGAAGTAACGGAGCGCGTTACTTCCGGGTTTTGCCACTCGCACATGCGCAGACGCTCAAAATGACGTCACGCTCATGCGCGTAAGCGGCAAAACGCGACCCGCGCAGACGCACCGTCGCGTCTTACGTTCCATTCAGGATGCGAATGGGGCTCTGGAACGGATCCCGTTCGCATCCGGAGGTACCATTGTACTTGACCCTGTTAGCTGGACCCTTCTACTTCCGATCTCTTCTCATGCAACCACATCCTTTTTAGGAATGATTCCTTGGGCCTTTTGATAATGGTGAACATTAAACCAGAAAACCAAATAAAATGTTAATTTAAAACAGGGGTCAGCAAACTTTTTTAGGAGGGGACCAGTCCACTGCCCCTCAGACCTTGGGTGTGGGGCAGACTATACTTTGAAAAAAAATATGAACAAATTCCTATGCCCCACAAATATCCCAGAGGTGCATTTTAAATAAAAGGACACATTCTACTCATGTAAAAACACGCTGATTCCCGGACTGTCTGTGCGCCGGATTTAGAAGGCGATTGGACCGGTTCTGGCCCCCGGGCCTTAGTTTGCCTACCCATGATTTAAAACAACAAACATCGCCCCCCCAGAAAAGAGCGGGAGTAATGCCTCTCACTTCATCCGCCTCTCCATAGACATGGCACAGATGTTTCTCCACCGGCGATCCAAACTTCTTGTGGTCTGCTGGATGGAGTCGCATTCAGTCTGGTTGGCACAGGCATCGGAATCGTTCAGCAAGACCTCGCAGATGCAGAAGACAGAATCGACATCAGGGCTGTGCTGGTCAATGTCTCGCTGCAGATCCTATAACCACGAACAAAAAAATAATAATCTTTGGTTATATGTAATAGTGTCCTCTTCAAATAATTCCACTTTAACACTAAGACGTCATACCATTTGACCAGTGGGTGGTTCCCATGTCGTATTGTACACTGCTTAGATAAATGTTAAGCAGTCAAGATTTTTCAAATAAAATAGAATAAATGAACACAGAAATAAACGAACAAAGCCTCAAGACAGTCTTTTGCCCATCTCTTTCACGTTCTCTGTTTTCCTCCACCTTACCTGCTGCTCTGCAAGTCTCTTCTTTATCTCCTGATCATCGCAGGTGTCATAAACAACAGGCTTCGAAAGCTCAGATTCAATGCGTGCCAGCCAGGTGCGAAGATTACTCATGTTTTTGTTGAGCAGCTGTATGAAAGAAAAGGTCTCCTTCAGCTTCTTCACCCTGCGATTGGGGAGACAAAGGGCGGAAAGAATGTGAGAAGGTTGTAAAACAAGGCCAACTGATGATACACATGCACCTTCCATCACATACTGGCAAAACCAGGTTGCATCGTTGTTAAAGAGTACTTGCCAATCTTGAACAACAACCCCCTTCCCCATCAGACCGTTTTGCAATAAGGAAACTAACAAGAAAATGAACTGGAAAGCGTAAGATAACATTTCCTTCAGCAATGCTGTATAACCTCCTCACATACAAAACAGAATGCATGCTCAATGAATTGTGGATGCTTAATAATAATAATAATAATAATAATAATAATAATAATTTTTTTATTTATGTGCCACACATCTGACTGGGTTGCCCCAACAAAATCTTTAAAACACAGTAAAACATGCAACAAAATTTTTGAACAGGGCTGCCTTCAGATGTCTAGTTGTTTATCTGTTTGGCCTCTGATGAAAGGGTATTCTACAGCGCAGGCACCATTACCAAGAAGGCCTTCTGCCTGGTTCCCTGTAGCTTCACATCTCGCAGTGAGGGAACCAACAGAAGGCCCTCAGAGCTGGACCTCTAACCTCCCTGCACTCTGTGCAAATGAATCAGGGTGAGTGCTGAGTAAATGGAATGTCTGGAAGCAATCTGAGAGACACTGGATGCATAAAGGCCACCAGGAAGAACGATTACTGTTCACATGGCGCCAATAATGCTCATGGCATTCTGCAGTTTCAACGTAACTTAGCAGAAGTGCTGTAGCTCGTTGCAAGAGCGTCACATGCAGATGGTCCCTAGTTCAAAGCACGACATATTTGGGTAGGGTTAGGAATCCCTCGTCCGAAACTCTTAGAGAGCAACTGCTACTGCTGAGCTTAGATGGACCCATGGTCTGACTCAGTATAAGGGAGCTTCTGATGCAGTTACGTTCTTAAAGACAAGTCTCATTCCTAAGAAGCTTACAACCTAAATTATGATAGAGGGGTCACAGCAAAGTGATGGAAGGGGGGAGAGGAAAAGGAGACACAAAAGGGTGACCACAAAAAATATTCATATACTATAAGGCCTCAGTCCAGTATACCTGAAGGAACGTCTCCACCCCCATCATTCTGCCCGGACACTGAGGTCCAGCTCTGAGGGCCTTCTGGTGGTTCCAGAAGTTACAGGGAACCAGGCAGAGGGCCTTTTCGATAGTGGCACCTGCCCTGTGGAACGCCCTCACACCAGATGTCAAAGAGAAAAACTACTACCAGACTTTCAGAAGACATCTGAAGGCAGCCCTATTTAGGGAAGCTTTTAATGTTTAATAGACTATTGTATTTTAATATTTTGTTGGAAGCCGCCCAGAATGGCTGGGGAAACTCAGCCAGATGGGCGGGGTATAAATTATATTATTATTATTATTATTATTATTATTATTATTATTATTATTATTATTATTATTATTATTATACCACCATGTATATACTGCAATATCAGAGTGGCATACAGCAACAGAACATAAAACATAACTGGAAACAATCCCAAACTATCATTACAATGACTGGCCAGTCAAAAAAAAGAAAAAGAAAGCTTAACAGTGGTATAGGCCTGTTGGCATAAAAAAAATATTCAAGAGATATGTGGAAGTCAAAAGTGAGGGAGCCGGCTGAATCTCTGCTGGAAGAGTGTTGGAATGATGCCACTATATATGCCTGATTTCTAGAAGAGGCCAATCCCGTCTATGTAATGCAGAGGGCAATGAATAGCGCTCAGGCACTCCTTGTTGTATCCTGGCCCCAAAGTTGTTCAGGGGTTTGTGTATCAACAGAAGAACCTCAAAGGCAAATGTTTGCAGGGTAGGACTCGAACCACTGACTTCAAGTTACAAGAGAGGAGATTCCGACTAAACATCAGGAAGAGATCTCTGGACAGTAAGAGCTGTTCAACAGTGGAATGGTCTACCTTGGGAGGTTGTGGAATCTCCTTCCTAGGTGATTTGTAAGCAGAGGTTGGACGGCCACCCGTCATGGATGCTTTAGCTGAGATTCCTGCATTGCAGGGGGTTGGACTAGATGACCCTCAGGGTCCCTTCCAGCATATGATTCTACGAAGCCATATTTGCAACATAATCCTATGCATGTTTATGCAAGCTGGACCATAAAGAAGGCTGATCGCCAAAGAATGGATGCTTTTGAATTATGGTGCTGGAGGAGACTCTTGAGAGTCCCATGGACTGCAAGAAGAACAAACCTCTCCATTCTGAAGGAAATCAGCCCTGAGTGCTCACTGGAAGGACAGATCCTGAAGCTGAGGCTCCAAGACTTTGGCCACCTCATGAGAAGAGAAGATTCCCTGGAAAAGACCCTGATGTTGGGAAAGATGGAGGGCACAAGGAGAAGGGGATGACAGAGGACGAGATGGCTGGACACTGTTCCCAAAGCTACCAGCATGAGTTTGACCAAACTGTGGGAGGCAGTGGAAGACAGGAGTGCCTGGCGTGCTCTGGTCCACGGGGTCACGAAGAGTCGGACACGACTAAACGATTAAACAACAAAGTGTGCATCGGAATGCAGCCTAGGGTTGCAGATGCAGCAGCTATGGGTAGGAATACCTAGCTCTCTGAACACCTAGCGGGGACCCCCCCCCCCCGCCTTGCCCCACTGGCATGGGTTACAAAGGAGGAGATGCAAGCCAAATCTTAGGATGCAGACTTTGCAATAAATGCTGGAGAGTCCAAATACCACCGTGTAGGAGTTTGTTGCAGATGAAATTGCTTCATTAGCTCCAAAGGAGCCCCCAAAAGCGAGAACCAGCATGGTGTCTACAGCTTTACTCCCCGCCCCCCACTTACTTTTGTAATGCTAAATACCTTTGCAGCCAAGTCGGCCTAATTAACTAATTTGTCACAATATGCCATTTGTGGTTCCATCAGGCCAGCCGTCCCTTCTCTAACCGTAAAATGTAAAAACGGAAGAAAAACAAACATGGCACGCTGGAGGACCGGTTTCAGAAAGGCAAGAGCATTGAAGCGCAATGTTTCTCAGCGACCGGCTGTACGGTCCCTAGAGCATCCTCTTCCAGCCAGACACGGGGAACAAGCCTAAGACAAACACGGGTTCCAAAATCTAACTAGCAAGCATCTGGCTCAGGTTCCCTTAAACTGGTCCTATATTGGGGGGGGGGTAGTAGACCCCCTTTGTGTGGGACAGGCACAATGGAGGGGTATAAGGACCCCAGTGTTTGGCCCCTGCTGGTTGGGGTCTCTTCAGTGCCAGTACAACATTTTAAGCCCTGGTTATTTTTTTTGCAATAGGCCTGTCATAGCCGCTGGAGAGAGAGGTCTGAACGACTACCTTGCAAATCAGATTGGAGCTGACATGGTAGCAGAACATCAAACAACGAAGACTGCACTGTGCCTTTTCCAATTGTGCATATTTTTTTAAAAAAATCCAGTCTGTCAGTGCTGACACTAAAACGTAAAAACCCCCCCAAATATCTGCATTTTTCTTTTAATAGGACGATAGAATAAAAATTAAGTGAAAGGAAATGCATGTTTATTTCAGTGTAAACATCATCCTAGGCAGGTGGTCGATATACCATTTAGGTTTGATAAATAGGGGGTGAAATTAAAACACCAATGTTAATCACCGGAACAGAGCATAATTGCGTCTCCGATCTTGAAAGATACGACTGGCGAATTGGATCCGAAGACTATACAGACAGGTTTAGAAGGTACAGATCGCTACGAAGCAGGCCCTATTTTAATTTTTTTAATTAAGAGGTAAGGTTAATGTGTTTCCGCAGTGCCTACACGGGCGACGTCCCTCTCCTGCCTTTGTGTGGATGGACCCCACTAAGAACGTTAATTACGAAATGCAATGAAAAGCAGAGCTTTAGGTATAAAGCAGAAAATAACCAGAAGCATCGCATACACGTTCCATTCATTTACCCCCCATGGCACACTAATCTCCTCCTCCAAATGGCCGGGTGCGGAGAGCAAACAGTTAATTTTAACAAAGGGGGCGGGCGAGGGATGCCCCTAAATGCCATTTATCCTCCTTGCTAACTGCCTCCACAATCCCCCTCCTCAGTCCTTTCTGTCAAAGGCAAAGTGCACACACACATCTCCCATCCATCCTGGGAAGGACAGAGCCCCTCCCCCCCCCTTCGCAGGGAGCGACCGCACACCAGAGACACGCGTCTCTTGTTCTTACTGGACCCTTCCGAGTACCAAAAATGCACTTACTGTTTATAAGGGAAAACCATTCCTCAGCTTATCAGTCCAAAGCTGCAGGGATAGCATCCGACTGAGCTGAGCACTCAGGGAAGAGGAAACCCCTCCCTCTCTTCCGCGATTGCCCTATTTAACATCGATGCCTTAATATCTCCCATCGAGAGAAAGAGAGACGAGAGCGAGAGAGAGAAAGAAAGAGAACACAGACCTTTCCCTTCCTCCTCCTCCTCCAAGCCCCCGGGGCAGAGCGTCGGAGCCTGTGCACACTTCGCACATGCACACTGTATCACGCTGCTGAAGGGTGAATACCACCCTGGATCCACGTTTGGACCTCCCGAAGCCGCCATGCCACTCCTTTCAAAAGTTTGCTACCCACATACGGAAAACCCCTTCGAAAACAGGTGGAGGTCTTTCAGGATTTGATGAGGCCAAGTGATTGAGATGTACTATCTCTTAGAGAAATGAGACACACACAGACACCCACCCCACAGCTTTTGAAAACTGGCCGACGAAAACCAAGGAAATAATCAAACTGCGTAATGCTCTGCTGAAGACATGGGAGACCACCAATGAAGATCGATATTTCTTTGTCGCTTCTCACCATGTCCATCTATTCTGCGCGCGCACGCACACACACAATCAAAATTTGTGAGCCTGAGATAAGGACATGTCAACCACTTGATGGAGAGTTGCGATTCACATAGACTTGCAAACAGCTGGTCATAGAATTGCAGAATTGGAAGGGGCTCTGAGGATCATCTAGTCCAACCCCGGCAATGCAGGAATCTTTTCCCCAACAAGGGGCTCGAACCCACAACCCTGAGATGAAGAGTCTCAGGTGGAATCTACAAATGTATGAAAAATGTTCTGAAAATGCCTTTTTAAAAAAACACATTGAATTTTCCATAAGGTTTCCCCATCCCCATCTAGGGTCACATTGCATATTGCACTTAAAACACACTTAAAACGTTTTATTTGCAGCTGTATAGATGAGTCCTCATGCTCTTCCGACTGAGCTATCCTCTTGTGCTGGGAGATATTAAAACAGCACCATGCTACTATTTCACTATCTCTCATTTGATCAAATGGCAGGATCTGGTTGCCATCCATACAGACTGCAAATCAGTCCGTTCCAGCTTGGTGCAGTTTAATGAACTCGGTTAAAATGCCATTCTTATTAAATTGAGCACCCAACAAGGCAGGGAGGCAAAAACTGGAATCTTGGGGAACGTAAGTATTTCTTTAAAAATCACCCCATACTTTCCATAGGATACAGCAAGAACAATAGTTCCTTTATCTACCCCTTCTGTCCATCCACAGAGTAGCATTCAAAGGAAGTTCTAAAAATCCTTGCTGCATATCATTTAAGTAACCTTCTCCCACTTAAGAACAACAATCTTCTAACCAAACTTCTGTTGGGCCATGCTGTGTGCAGTTGCTACAGACAGCCAAGTGTGTGGCTATTTACAAGCTTAGCATGCCAAGACAGAGCTCCCCTCCCACTCCCCCTTGCCCCAGACACCACCTGTTGAATCAGGCACCACCTGTTTTGGCACAGATTTCGTCTAGGTTGCTATTGTTCCAGTTCAGGTGAACCACTACAGAAAACCTAACACAGAGACGATCCTAAAAGGCAAAGGTGCTGCACCATTCTCTTAAAGTTGTCCCTCTCATCATAACTTCCACATCTCATTTTGTGTCTGTCTTTTGGGGAACACCCCAGAGTCGGCCACTACTGGACCTAATGGTCAGGGGTCCCTTTCGGGACGCAGGTGGTGCTGTGGGTTAAACCACAGAGCCTAGCACTTGCCGATCAGAAGGTTGGCGGTTCGAATCCCTGCGACGGGGTGAGCTCCCGTTGCTTGGTCCCTGCTCCTGCCAACCTAGCAGTTCGAAAGCACGTCATAGTTAGTGCAAGTAGATAAATAGGTACTGCTCTGGCGGGAAGGTAAATGGCGTTTCCCTGCGCTGCTCTGGTTCGACAGAAGCGGCTTAGTCATGCTGGCCACATGACCCGGAAGCTGTACGCCGGCTCCCTCGGCCAATAAAGCGAGATGAGTGCTGCAACCCCAGGGTCAGCCACGACTGGACCTAATGGTCAGGGGTCCCTTTACCTTTGGGGAACAGCCCCGTTGGGTCAGACCATCTGGTCCAGTATCCTGTTCTTGCTTTGGCCAACCAGATGCCCATGGGAAGATCAAAAGCAGGACATGAGCACCGCAGCTTTCTTCCCACTTGTGAATATCAGCCTCCTTCCTTGGAGGTTTTTAGCAGAGGTTGGATGGTCATTTGTCATGGATGCCAAGCCAGAATTCCCAGAGTAGTTTAACCATCAACCCTTCCAGTGATACCTTTGGGAATTGTAAATCCACGAGGGGAATAAGGATCTCCAAACAGCTCTCTGTGCCTTTAACAAACTACACTTCCCAGGGTTCCTTAGGGGGAGGAGCCATTGCTGTTTAAAGTGGTATCACACTTTGCTAAAGGTATTGCAAAGATCGGGCATTAGATCTAGTTCCTGCCTTCCTGGTTCAGTGCTAACGTGCTGCGTAATGCAAGAGGGCAGAATTATAGCATGCAGGCAAGGCTCAAGAAATTAATGCAAATCCAAAGGAGGCTGGAACAGTTGGTTATAGTCCCTTTTAATCTGGTATGCCGTCCCCAGACAGCCCTTCCCCCACGACCTGCGGAAGAATCCCAAACATTGCTGTGTGAAGCAGTCTTTCAGAAGCACCCCAGAAATTCATTTGCATTTATCACAATTAAATGCGAGCAGATGTCTGCATGTTATTCTGTTGTTGCTGCTGCTGCTGTTTTGTTCCCCAGATGCACTGAGTTCCCAGAGCTCTTCCTGGTTGGACGCACAGCGTACTCCAGCTGCTTCCATGCACAGACAAAGCCTCTGAGAGCGGCACAAGCCAAGCGACTAGAGGCACAATGGAAGCGCGAAAAGGCCCCTTGCAACTGGTGCCATATGGCAAAGCCGAGCTTGTCTCCATGAACTATGAGAAGCATGTCAAAGGGCTAAATGGAGAGCTCACCTAATTTGCCCATCTGTCTCAGCCCGCTTATTGGTTTAAGGTGAAGCAAGTTGTTTACTACAGCGCTGTTTTGACAACAGTTTTTGAACTGGTTTTGCTGCCACCGAAATGCATCCACAATACGTCTGCTCCTATCATTGTGCCATATCATTATGCCTAAATGATATAATTTAGTTTGGTTAGCTATAACATTTCGTTATGGAAAAACACACGGAACCCAACCAATCAGCTGGCATTAGTAGACAATCCTGCTAATATTAAATTGTCTGAAATCTGACAAGCAGGTCAGTGTTGACATGTGAGTTCCAACAATCCCAAATCTGTTGAACTTCCAAAAACTCAGACATACGCATAACTGTGGATATGCAAGATCACCTAAATGTTGAGTATTCACTTGTGTACCTCCAAAAGGTGGAGAAAGAGATAATATATATTCATGCAGTTTGTCAGTAAATACACATGCCAAGATTCATAGTATTTTGGACATTTACTATAACCAAGAATAGCTTAGGCTGGAATCCTGAACCCAATGGGGCTTTCTCCTGAATAAGCATACATAGGACTGCACTTGGATCTGAAGTACCATGAATGGAAGGAGGAAACGTATTAATGAACTCTTGCACAACTGCTAGCAGTGGACTTCTCGTAATACATTGGGAATTGTGTTAAAGCATGATAATCACATTCAAATGAAGAAGAAGAGACAGGCTTCGGCAGGGAAACTCTAATGAGCCATGAAAAGAATACCACAAAAAAATAAAGCTTGTGGAAAGTCAAGTGCAAATGGAAGAACCTCTCTGCATGAAATGATGGCAAAGGCAAACCCATCTCACTCCACTTTAATCTACAGATTTCAGGGCTTCTGCTCCAAATCCAAATACCTGAATCCTGCCTCAGAAACTGATGACTAGTCTACCCATGATGCAGAGGCAAATCCAGCTTCAGGTAAGCCTGGGAATGACCATCCCTGAAACCCTGCAGAGCCACTGCCAATCACTGCAGACAATAGGAATGAGATGGGCAAATTGTTTCACTTGGTAAAAGGCAGCATCCTATATTCATAAGTTCACAGTGGACTATATGCTTAACAGAGAGCTGCTGTCCAGAGACCAATCACACCTCTCTGATGAGGGCACCTGTACGCAATGCATGCATTTGCTGCATCCACACTTCACATTTTATCTACATTTTATCTAAACATCTAACAAATGTAGTGCATGCAGCACCCTGAGAACTTTGTTGCTGTCTCTGCACGAGTCTTTTGTGAAAATCACCACCACATTCTGCTTCCAATCCCAGCCGAACTCACAAAGAGAACTTACCGTCCTCCAATCACATCAAAGAGATGCTTCCAGCGATCATTAATCTTGTTGAGTTTCTCATCTATTTCAGCGGCTTTGCTCTCGTTGCTGGCCTTGATCAGCTGCTCACCCATTTGCTTCAGAAGCACTAGATTGTTTTCACTAAACAGGCTGATTTCCTCCATGCAGTCCTAACAAATAGTAACAATAACAACTGCAAATGTTATTACAGGCAAAAAGGGAGGTTTCTCCATGGAACAAAACAGTAATGGGCAGTGTGATGGGGCACCACCACTCACCAGGCTTTTGTTGGGTGGCTGCTGGATAATGAGAGAGAGGTGGCAGAGAGGTTGGTGCAATGTAAAAGCCTAGGCAGGGGGGCAGGATTGGCCCTTCCAATGTGTTCGTATGCCAGCCTCACTCTTTGCCTCCTAGTATGCAGCAGGGACATGATCAACCAGACATCAGGTGAGCATAACACCATTCACTTTTGGACAAAAGCCACTGGAGTGTGGGCTAATGTTAGGAAAAGGAAGCTGGACTTGACAGGGATGTTTGCACTGTGCAAAGATAAACTATGGGATTCACTCCCACTAGGCTTTCTAGAACTTCCCTAGAATTGCCTGGAGGCAATTACCGTATATTTAAGACTCACTTTTTCCCTCCTAAAAAGTAAGGGGAAATGTGTGTGCGTCATATGGAGCGAATGCAGGCTGCGCAGCTATCCCAGAAGCCAGAACAGCAAGAGGGATTGCTGCTTGCACTGCGCAGCGATCCCTCTTGCTCTTCTGGCTTCTGAGATTCAGAATATTGCTTTTCTTGTTTTCCTCCTCCAAAAACTAGATGCGTCTTGTGGTCTGGTGCGTCTTATAGAGCGAAAAATACGGTAATCGCAGAAGACTAGGGAACAGCACATTATGGAAAAAGCAGACGGCTCAAATCAGCATGTTTGAAGCCCACAAGTGTGGATCAGAATCTTGGGAGTGTTCCCCCTACCCCGGGAACACCCAGTTAAGCATAAAACATGATAAGCCTGCCCTCCTTTTATCTAAAGCAATTGCTGGACTGTTGCTGGGAGTTTGCAAAAAAGCTGCCTACCTTCTCCAACTTGTCTATCATATCTTCAATGCTGACGTCGGCTGACTGGAGCACCTTGCTTTCCATCTGCACCAGCCAAGCGCAGAGCTCTTTATTCTTTTCGTTGAACACAATCCAGGCATTGAGTCGGTCCTCAATCTCTTGCTTGCGCAAAGAAACCTATGGAAGAGGATGCACATGACAGCGGTCTTTGTTGTATCTCGGGAGGCAGCCAAAACTCAAGACTGAATATACACATCTGTTTCTTTCCCACAATAAAGGATGTCAACAGGCTTGGCTGGAAAAGGTAGACTTCTCAAGCAATCAATTCCTCCACTTTGCGGGAAAATTTTATCTTCCCCATGAATAAAAGGCAACCCAGATTGTTGACAACAATGGGATGTAAAGGTGGTCCAGAAAGCACCAGATTTCCTCACACGGAGACACCAGTCCTTTTAGTTGCCAAAATGGGGACCTTATTAGCAAAATATGAAACTTGAACACGCAAAATATTAAATGTCCCATGCACATGATATCAGCTGAAATGCTAGAGCACAGTTTAGAATAATGTGCATGAGCTTTGCATTCTCCCTCTGGTATAGTTTGTCATCCACCTGGAAGCTCAAACCTTGGTTTGAGTTTAAAAACATGATTAGCACAAGCTAAGCTTTCCCCTGGTGCCTGTGACCTGGTCTGCATGAACCTCAGGCTCAGTTGCTTTTCCCTTCCTTTCTCCTTCTCTGATGAAACCGCAAGGAGGATGTTGGTAACTTTCATTTCTATTTTCAACTAACCAGAGTTTCTTTTTGCACTTGAAATTGGTAAACTGTGGTTAGGACCAACTATGGTTTATTGACATAGCCAACGTTAAACATGATTAATAAATCCTAGCTTTTTTCAATAAACCATTGTGTGTTCCCCCACTCCCATCCCCAGTCAGGGAATGATACAGAGCAGGTGCTGGGAAACATACAATATCCACTATCCTGCATCTTATTCTGACATATTACAGAATCATAGAATCGTAGAGCTGGAAGGGGCCACTTGTGTACAGTGGTACCTTGGGTTAAGTACTTAATTTGTTCCGGAGGTCCGTTCTTAACCTGAAACTGTTCTTAACCTGAAGCACCACTTTAGCTAATGGGACCTCCTGCTGCCGCCGCGCCGCTGGAGCAAGATTTCTGTTCTCATCCTGAAGCAAAGTTCTTAACCTGAAGCACTATTTCTGGGTTAGCGGAGTCTGTAACCTGAAGCGTATGTAACCTGAGGTACCACTGTACATCTATTCCAACCCTCCTGTAAGGCAGCAATATGCAGCTGTCCCATATGGGGTTCGAACCTGCAAACTTTGGTGTTATCAGCACCACGCTCTAACCAACTGAGCTATCACAATTGTCTTTCTTCAAGATGAGGAAGACCCCAGATTTGACCCCCAGCATCTCTAGGCAGAGTTTGTGGAGAAAACCCTTCTGAAACCCTGGAGAGCCATTGACAGTCAGTTTGGACAGAACTGAGCTAGATGAACTTGTGGTCTGACTCACTAAAACCCAGCTTCTTACATTGCTATGATAGGGACCCTCAGTAATGCGTACCTGTTGGAAATTAAAAACATCTCTGCTCAACCGGGCATCCATTGATAGCTGCTCAATGACTTTCCCCATCTTTGTTTACTGTGCTTACAATGTGCAGTCCCCGCCCCCCAGTATATTTTGATTTGTTTTAATGTAATATTTTTGAACACTGCAGAAACCCTTTCATAACACAAACATAGGAGAAAAAGGTAAAGGTAAAGGTACCCCTGCCCGTACGGGCCAGTCTTGACAGACTCTAGGGTTGTGCGCCCATCTCACTTAAGAGGCTGGGGGCCAGCGTTGTCTGGAGACACTTCCGGGTCACGTGGGCAGCGTGACAAAGCTGCATCTGGCGAGCCAGAGCCGCACACGGAAACACTGTTTACCTTCCTGCTAGTAAGCGGTCCTTATTTATCTACTTGCACCGGGGGTGCTTTCGAACTGCTAGGTTGGCAGGCGGTGGGACCGAGCAACGGGAGCGCACCCCGATGCGGGGATTCGAACCGCCGACTTTTCGATCAGCAAGCCATAGGCGCTGAGGCTTTTACCCACAGCGCCACCCGCGTCCCTAAACATAGGATAAGTAATGTTAAATGATGCCAAGTTAAAGCAGACACACAGCTGCCATTTTCAGCAGCAGGTGCGTCACAGGTAACTTGCATTTCCATCCTCTGAGCTGCTCATTAAGTGGACTGTCTGCGTGCTCCTATGTCTTCCTCTGTAATGCGACAGTGACTTTAGCCCTGCCTGTGCTAAACCCCTGACCTCCTGCTACCCCCTTCCCCGACTCTGTCTGCTCCGTTTGTTTTCCTCTCTCTTCCAGCAGGAGCATCTGGCTGGTTAATTCCATGGTTCTCCAGGACAGCTGCACTGCCTAGCTTTTAAATACTTACAGAGGCTGCAGCCTTTTCCGCGAATTGTTTTCAACACAATATGCTTCTGTTGGACACTCCGGCTTAGGCCGATCTCTCAGAAAGCAAGTGGGGCATGCTAATTGCTGGATTTCGCACCTCAAACGTTTAACCAACTAAATATTTTCACCTCAGTTGCCAGGATTGTTCGGGACTTTTGTCCAATGAAGTGTATATGCTTCAAGGAATCAGGACAGCTGGACAGTCGCAATACCTTTGAGCCATGAGAGGAAGACCAGGTCCTAGTTTCTGCCTTGGCCTGACTGTTCCCCCCTTGGGCAAATCATTATGTCTCTGGCCTGAGTCCCCAATTTGTATAATGGTGACCTACTCGTTGTGTAGGGGTGGCGCTGTGGGTTAAACCACAGAGCCTAGGACTTGCCGATCAGAAGATCAGCGGTTCGAATCCCCGCGACGGGGTGAGCTCCCGTTGCTCGGTCCCAGCTCCTGCCAACCTAGCAGTTCGAAAGCACGTCAAAGTGCAAGTAGATAAATAGGTACTGCTCCAGCTGGAAGGTAAACGGTGTTTCCGTACACTGCTCTGGTTTACCAGAAGCGGCTTAGTCATGCTGGCCACATGACCCGGAAGCTGTATGTCGGCTCCCTCGGCCAGTAAAGTGAGATGAGCGCCGCAACCCCAGAGTTGGCCACGACTGGACCTAATGGTCAGGGGTCCCTTTACCTTTACTTTACTCGTTGTGTGGCCAAAACATAAAGGAACGTAAAGCAAGTCTGAGTCCCATCCAATGGAGTGGAAAACTCCCTTGGTGCTCTCTCTGAGTGGTTGCAGGCAGGTACTGCAACAGCAGGAAATAAACCTGTTCTAGCCATCAAGACCTAAAGTGGGTGCAAGCTTTTTAATGCCCTGGGGGCTTCAACATAGCACTGCTTTGCAGTAGTGCTATGAGGACGAGGCCCCAGAGGCACTGTGGAAGCATGGAAGTGGCAGAGGCAGCCTCAGCCACTCAGGCTCCAATGCTGAGCAAAATGGTAGCAAGTAGAGGTTGTGGACTCTCCTTCCTAGGTGATTTGTAAGCAGAGGTTGGACGGCCACCCGTCATGGATGCTTTAGCTGAGGTTCCTGCACTGCAGGGGGTTGGACTAGATGACCCTCGGAGACCCTTCCAGCTCTACGATTCTGCAATAACAAGATCAGGTTCTCTGCTACACCAAGCAGGAGAATAATGTAGGCTGCCACCTATTTAGGAAATAATGTAGGCTGCCACCTATTTAGAAAAGTTGTCACATTCCTTCCTTCCTTCCTTCCTTCCTTCCTTCCTTCCTTCCTTCCTTCCTTCCTTCCTTTCTTTTGTGCTAAGAATTTTAAAGTCTTAGATATATAATAAATGTTCATAAATGTACCAACCAAGCACGTACATAGATCAGCACAGGAAGACCGACCTGAAACCATTTTTGATTCCCAAACTGACCATATGTTTTCTCTGCAAGGCCATAGAGAAATGGAAAAGCCTTCCCATTGTCTTTTCCTTCACAAGCCCTGTCTTAAGGGTATGTCTGTCTGTGTTTGAATAGGGTGAGCCTGTGACCTGGCTCAGGAACTAAGCATTTATCATTACAAAAGACTGGCCAGGCTTCCCAGGGTATCCAATCAAGTGAGTATTGATAGGTAACCTGTCAGACGAAATAAACAATGCACTCAGATTTCTGCTGTAGACCGCCTTTTCTGTGATGTAGGTATGGTGTAGCTGGGGTGGTGGTCTTGGGTTACACCCCTTCTGTGATGTATGTATGGAGGGGTGGTCTGGAGCGCCAGGGCAGGGAATTTAAAATTTCTATATAAGGGCAGGGACACCTTTGTTCTGGGTTCCTCCTACTTTCCTGCGTGTGAGGGGAGCACCCTGTTGCAACAGCTTTAATAAAGATCAGGCTTACTAGCTGCTTTGCTTCTCAATATTCTCTGGTTGGCCTCTGTTATTTTCTCCTATCAATAGGGAACCTACGTAAGGACTCTATATGGGCTCTTGGATACCCCATAAGGGGGAAGGGGCAGATTTTTGTTTACAACACTTTCTTTCTTTCTTTCTTTCTTTCTTTCTTTCTTTCTTTCTTTCTTTCAAAAGCATAAAAGCATAATTAAGCAATTGTTGGCTTTTAAGGAATTGCTGCAGAGTGCAGAGGAGAGAGAAACACAGATAAGATTTCATATGATCCATGTTTCCCGCTTTGCTGCACTGTGTATTCGAGAACCTGAACTCTTATTAATCTGCCCCACATACACCCCAAAATATCCTTTTAGTGTTTTCTCAATGCAAAGAAAACCCAGGATCAAACATTGGCCCTGAAGATTTAGCTCAGTCTACAGGAAACTGTACATGGGGTCACGAAGAGTCGGACACGACTAAACGACTAAACAACAACAACACAGGAAACTAGTTGCGTGCTACAACGAGTGGCCCCAGACATCTCCGTCTGCACACCCCCCGCCCCGCTGGCAGCTGTTGTTTGTTTGTTGTTATTAAATGAATTTCAAGGCCGCTTTCCAGAAGAACTATCTCACCCCCCCACCCCCACCCCCCAAGGCAGAATACAACAAAGCAACATTTAAAATGTAAAACAGCAGTAAAAAAAATCCCCACAAAATTAACAACATTGAAACAACAGCAGCAGCAGCAGATAAAACATTTCTTAACTAGAACAATCATAAAATCACTTGAATGCAGACCAGAATAAAGCAGTTTTCAGTGTTTCCCTAACAGTCAACAAAGCGGCAACTATATGAATCTATAAAGGCATTCCAAGGATACGAGGATAATAATAACAGTAATAATATTCACCCACTTTACAGGATCATTATAGGGATTACAACAATTTAATATACACATAGCACTTTGAATGCATGAAAGCACCATATAGATAACCAAATATTTATTATCTGTTATTTCCCCCCCTAAGGCAGCATCTTCCTATCAGCGTTAGAAACTGAGATGTGAAAGCTAGGAGCTAAATAGCCCCTTAAACCTAGGTTTAGGGACACTTTTTATAACAAGGATACAAAGCTGAAAATGAATGAACTGCAGCTAGAATATTATGTTCATTTTTTTACATGGTCTAGTCCTTCCCCTGCCCACCTCCCTAATATTCTTAAGAGGATCTCTTCTCCAGTCTTCAGAGTAGCTGGAAGTGGGGAGGCAGAAAAAGGTCCTTCTTTCCTTCCACTCTGCAGTTTTTATCTGATATCTTAGGCGCAGTACTGTGCCCAGAGCTCAGAAGCTGCTCCTGCTAATGAAATTCCCTGTCACAAAATGCGCCTAGGACAATGGGAGTTTCGAACGCTGTTTCCTATAGAAAGGCATCACACACACACACACACACACACACACACACACACACACACGAGGTTCCCCACCCTCCAAAAATATGGGCTGGTCTTTGCCAACCATTCCTACTAGTCCTTAGTGGCAAGGTCATGCTGGCTGTGGCTGATGGGATTTGTAGTCCAAAGGAATTGGTGTGAGCTAGGTTGGCGACGACTTGGCTAAAGAATTCGCTACTTCACAGCAGCTGCTTTTAATAAGTTTAATAAGTTAGCAAGAGGGACACTGGGTCATGTTTCACCTGGACATGAAACAAGAGGCTAAAATTTGCTTACTGCCAGCAATATTACCTTACTAAGTCAGTGATATGGGGTCACGAAGAGTTGGACACAACTAAACAACAACAACAACAAGTCAGTGATAGCAGCACACTCCTATGGCTAGAATAGTTAAGCTATGGAATAGTTACTATGGAATTTGCTCCCCCAAGAAGCAGCTCCCCCCAAGAAGCAGTATGGGCACCAGCTCAAATGGCTTAAAAGAGAGCTGAACAAAATGTTTCCACTGTACCTCCACTGTTGGAGGCAGTTATGCCTCTGAATACCAGTTGTTGTAAGGGAACCAGCTAGTATTTACAAGACTCAGGGCATTCTCAGTGGTGGCCCCAAAACTCCCATCCAATGGACTTATGCTTTGGCCCTTCCCCTCTAGCATCCAGGTGGGCCTAGATTAGCTTCCGCAACACGGCTGCCTTTAGTAGATTCCTTAAATAGCTCAAAAGCTGTTTGTCCTATCAACCTGTTCTGCTGTGCCTGGTTTTCTATTTATGCCTTGACTCGCTCCTTTGCACAGCTCTTTCCTGCTAACTTAGTAAAATAAATAAATAAACAAACAAACAAACAAAACAAACAAATAATAAAAGTTCAAAGCTGCATATGGCTTTAGAACTGCATGAATACTACTTGGGGTGGGGGCGGGGGAAATAACGTAAATAGGTTCCCAACATCTGCTTGCAGTGCATTCACAGATGAAATCTCTCTCTGAAATTAAATTTCAAAAAGTTAAGCTTTAAAAGAGAGAGAGAGAGAGAGAGACAGAGAGAGAGATTGAGTGCTGCTTGCTACCTGAGAACTACGAAAATACCAGGTGCTCTGAACACTGTAATACCTTTTCAGCACTTGCATTATGTATTTAAGCTTTGAACAAAAAACATCCCTAGATTTCAATTTGCTTCTCCCTGTATGGCTGCATTCTAAAATAGTTTTAAAAGTTTTCAGAAGTTCTCCTGGGAACTTTGTGGAGGGGGGAGGAATAACACAGGAGGGGGGCAGTTCTTTCGCACACTTTCGCCACAATAAAACTCCATCTTCAGGAAGAGGAAGAAAAACACTACCCGCAGCCCCCCCCAAAAAACCCCAGACCCCTTTTAAGACCCCTCAAGCGAAATCTCTCGTGCTTCTTTGTGCAAAACTGGGAGGCTTACACAGTTCCTTCCTGCCTCCCCAGAATGCCTTCAGAAAGCCCAGCCGAGAAACAACCGCCTGCCCCTATAAGCCACTTACTCTTAGGCAGAGCTCTTCCCACTGTCTGTGCAAATGCTCGACTTGCTCTTTCAGCACCATCACATCTTCCGCAAGGATGTAGTGCGCCAGGCCCTTCATGCTGCCAAGTTTGTTTGTGTTTTGGTTCCAGTTGGCCAGCGACTTCTCCAGCTCCTTCATTGAAACACCAAAGGGGGGTGGGGAGGTGGGAGACACACAACAACAGACCCTTTCAGAGTAAGCTCTGGGAGAGATATGTGTGTGTGTGTGTGTGTGTGTATTTTCCTCCAAACCTTTTGGTTAATCCTATGACTGGCCTGTAGGAGGGGGAAGGGAAATGGGGGGGGGGAGAGGAGGTGGAGGAGGGGAGGAATTTGCATATAGGAGCAGGCTGTGACTAGATGGGTAGGGGGGCGGGAACTGCACTGGGGCAAGCTGCTTTATCCTTGCAAACCGCAGTTGTAACTTTCAGAAAGGAGCAGTAATTCCATCCCACATCCTTGAGATGTTTGGGAGATTCAATAAAATTAAATTAAAGAGAGAGAGAGTCTGTGGTGGGGTCCTGTTCATGCTATTCATGCAATTGCTGTTTAAAACTAGTAGAACAAACCTATGCATGTCTACTCAGAAGCAAGGCGCCCCCCCCCCCACAATTCTGTTCAGTAGAGCTTCTTCCTGTGTATAGGATTTCCTTCCCCTCCACCTTAAGGGTTGGGGGGTGGGGAGGAGAAGGAAACATGCTTTGAAGAAGAAGAGAAGAAGAGTTTGGATTTGATATCCTGCTTTATCACTACCCTAGGGAGTCTCAAAGCAGCTAACATTCTCCTTTCCCTTCCTCCCCCACAACAAACACTCTGTGAGGTGAGTGGGGCTGAGAGACTTCAAGGAAGCGTGACTGGCCCAAGGTCACCCAGCAGCTGCATGTGGAGGAGCGGAGACGCGAACCCGGTTCCCCAGATTACGAGTCCACCGCTCTTAACCACTACACCACTGAAGCAGAGTGTTTTTGTGTTGTTTTTGTGTCACCTCAACAACTTAGATCAGAGCCGGGTGTGTGTGTGTGTGTAACAGTTAAGAGTGTTGGACTAGGACATGGGTAGGCAAACTAAGGCCCAGGGGCCGGATCCAGCCCAATCGCCTTCTAAATCCGGCTTGCGGACGGTCTGGGAATCAGCGTGTTTTTACATGATTAGAATGTGTCTTTTTACTTAAAATGCATCTCTGGGTTATTTGTTGGGCATAGGAATTCTTTTCTTTCTTTCTTTTTAAAATATAGTCCGGTCCTCCACAAGGTCTGAGGGACAGTGGACCGGCCCCCTGCTGAAAAAGTTTGCTGACCCTTGGGCAAACGCCTCTCTGAGTTTAGGTAAAAGTACCGTATTTTTCGCACGATTGGACGCACCGGACCATAGGACGCACCTAGTTTTTTTGGGGGGAAATAAAGGGGAAAAAATTCCCTTTATTTCCCCCCCCAAAAGCAGGTCAGGGAAACCGAACCAGGTCGAGGAACAGCGGGATAGTGGCGCTGCGCCTCCCTGCTGTCCCCCGAGCTTGTGGGGCTGGCTGATGTCTGCCTAGCGCGCGGGGTGCTCTGCTTCAGGGCGCCCCACCCACCGGGCGGCAGGCTGCTATCCGCAGCTTGGGGAGCCTTGCGGGGAACTGCTGCAGGGCTCCCCACGCTGCGGATGTATGCCTGGCGCGAGGGGCGCTCTGCTTCAGGGGCCCCCCCGCGCCGGGGCGGCAGGCTGCTATCCGCAGCGTGGGGAGCCTTGCGGGGAACTCCTGCAAGGCTCTCCACGCAGCGGATGTGTTCCCGAAGCGCCGGGAGCTCTGCTTTCAGGGCGCCCGATGCTCCGGGAAGCAGGCTGCTATCCGCAGCCTAGACACGGCTAGCGGAGCGCTAATCCCGAAGCTTGGGGCGTGCGGAGCTCAGCGCGCCCCAAGCTTCTGGGCGCCGGCAAGGTCTCCGCTAGCCGTCTAGCGAAGACCTTGCCGGCACCCAGAAGCTTGGGGCACGCTGAGCTCCGCACGCCCCAAGCTTCGGGATTAGCGCAGCGGTCCGCTAGCCCTGGCAGAGCCGCGCAAAGTCATGCGGCTCTCCCAGGGCTAGCGGAGACCTTGCCGGCACCCAGAAGCTTGGGGCGCGCTGAGCTCCGCACGCTCCAAGCTTCTGGATTAGCGCAGTGGTCCGCTAGCCCTGGGAGAGCCGCGCGACGTCGCGGGGCTCTCCCAGGGCTAACGGAGACCTTGCCGGCACCCAGAAGCTTGGGGCGCGCTGAGCTCCGCACGCCCCAAGCTTCTGGATTAGCGCAGTGGTCCGCTAGCCCTGGGAGAGCCGTGTGACGTCGCGGGGCTCTCCCAGGGCTAGCGGAGACCTTGCCGGCACCCAGAAGCTTGGGGCGCGCTGAGCTCCGCACGCCCCAAGCTTCTGGATTAGCGCAGTGGTCCGCTAGCCCTGGGAGAGCCGCGCGACGTCGCGGGGCTCTCCCAGGGCTAGCGGAGACCTTGCTGGCACCCAGAAGCTTGGGGCGCGCTGAGCTCCGCACGCCCCAAGCTTCTGGATTAGCGCAGTGGTCCGGTAGCCCTGGGAGAGCCGCGCGACGTCGCGGGGCTCTCCCAGGGCTAACGGAGACCTTGCCGGCACCCAGAAGCTTGGGCGCGCTGAGCTCCGCACGCCCCAAGCTGCTGGATTAGCGCAGTGGTCCGCTAGTCCTGGGAGAGCCGCGCGACGTCGCGGGGCTCTCCCAGGGCTAGCGGAGACCTTGCCGGCACCCAGAAGCTTGGGGCGCGCTGAGCTCCGCACGCCCCAAGCTTCGGGATTAATGCAGCACTCTGCTAGCGGTTGGAGAGCTGGGTCTCCCACTGCTAGCGGATAGCTTCCTGAAGCCTGGAGAGCGAGAGGGGTCGGTGCGCACCGACCCCTCTCACTCTCCAGGCTTCAGCGAAAGCCTGCATTCGCTCCATAGGACGCACACACATTTTCCCTTGCTTTTTAGGAGGGAAAAAGTGCGTCCTATGGTGCGAAAAATACGGTAACTCTCCACAGACTTCAAGATGCCCTAGGAAAGTGCATGCAAAGCAGCAGCCTCAAACTGCAAATCTGCACAGGATTCGTTTGCAAATCAAGACCCTTATAGCGCTCCCGGTGGAGTACAGGATCAGGTTCAAGGTGCTGGTTTTGACCTTTAAAGCCCTATACGGCCTAGACCCTCGTACCTACGGGACTGCCTCTCCTGGTATGCCCCGCTGAGGACCTTACGGTCTTCAAATAAAAACATCTTGGAGGTCCTGGGCCACAGGGAGGTTAGGCTGGCCTCAACCAGAGCCAGGGCCTTTTCGGCTGTGGCCCCGATCTGGTGGAACGCTCTGTCACAAGAGACTAGGGCCCTGTGGGACTTGACATCTTTCCGCAGGGCCTGCAAGACAGAGCTGTTCCACCAGGCCTTTGGCCAAGGCACAGTCTGACCCCCTCTCTCCTTCTGCAATCCTCATGGAACTCTAGCCCAATGGTTGCCATTAATTTGACTCTGAATTGATTTTAGAATGTATTTCAATTAATTGACTGTGATTTTATGTAAACTGAATTGATTTTAGAATGAATTGATTTTAGAATGCTGTATTACTTTTACTGTTGTTAGCCGCTCTGACCCGGCTTCAGCTGGGGAGGGCAGGATATAAATAATTATCATCATCATCATCTTATAAACAACAGAACTATGTGGATGCTAAGGGGCAAAAGGGAGCTACAGAACTGCTCCAGATACTGGAGGGAGAAGGTGAGGTTGTAACTCCACAGGTATAAACCCTTCTCCACAGGCTGATCTTTCCCATTCCAGATCCGCCAAGCTGAAAACCCATACAACCAACTTTTTAAAGGAGCTTCTGTCTAAACAGAATTATATCTTTTTTTCAAAGACATATATCAGTTTACCTGCCACTCTCAAAGCAGTACTTTAGCTTGCAACCTTAATTCCAAGAACCATTAGCTCTACACTAGCTCAGGATGGTGCTCCAACCTGCTTTCCAGTGCTATTTCAGAGCACCAGGAGTTGGGAGTGTGGATATTCTTTGAATCAGCATTCCTCAGCCTGGTGCTCTCCTGATGTTATGGAGCTACAATTTGGGAGCTGTAGTTGAAAAACATCTGGAGGACAGGTTGGGGAAAGCTTCCTTGAATCATTCAACTTGCATAAATTTACTGGGACGAAAACAAATGAGAAGAGAAAGGCTCCTGTAGAAATTAGGACGTCAACAGCCAGGCAAGAGGAAGCCCTTTCCCAGAAGCACTTGAGGCTTCCGCTCCACTGGGCAGTAAGGCTGGACTAGGACCTGCGAGGCCAGGGTTCAAATCCCTACTCGGCCATGTAGTTCACTAGGTGACCTTGGGTCAGCCGTTGCCTCTCACAGCCTAACCTCCCTCACAGGGTTGTTGTGGGAATTCATTGAGGATAAAGAGGGGAGAATCATGTACGACACCTTGAGCTCAATGGAGAAAAAGTTGGGTTGTAAATGCAAAAGAGAAACCATCTTTTGGTTTTAAAAGCTAAACTAGGGAAGTGCCATATTTTTCGCTCCATAAGCCACACCTGACCACAAGACGCACCTGGTTTTTAGAGGAGGAAAACAAGAAGAAAAAAATTCTGAACGAAACAGTGGATGCATGATTTTTGTGGTTCATGCTATGGCCACAGACATGATATGTGATTTGACGGTGAGTTTGGGGTACCCCAGTGCAAAAATCCTGAGAATCCATGTGGATCCGTGCTTTGTAACCACATTTTTGCACCATTGCGGTCCCACAAAACAGTGGATGCGTGGTTTTTTGGTACTGGCTGCAGCCATGGACATGCTATGTGATCTGATGGTGAATTTGGGGTGACCTAATGCAAAAATCTTGAGGATCCATGTGCTTTTGCCTCCCCCCTCCCAGGCAGCCTCCTTTATCTCTAGAGTCCCTTATCTCCCCTCCCGATCTCTTGCTGATCAGCTGCTCAGCGGCTTTGTTTCAACACCCACTTCCTTCTTTCTAAAAAAAACCAATACGGTCTGCTTTTTGCCCCTGGGCAATTCAGCTCCAGGGACCACGCATTCACTCCATAAGACGCACAGACATTTCCCCTTACTTTTCAGGAGGAAAAAATTGTGTCTTATGGAGCAAAAAATACGGTAATTGACAATTCAGGGTTTTCTTTACCTTGACGTGTTCCTTGGCAGCCTGAAGCTCAGCATGCTGGACTGGAAGAGGGTATTTTATTCTTGCCTTCAGCTCCCGCAGCCTATTGCCCAAGTTTTCAGTTTGGCTTTTGCCGCTCTCCCACGTCTGTAATTTTGAAGAGGGAAAAAGCAAGACATGAAGGGAGCTAATGGACACCAGTAGACGTTGCTTAAAAGGATGGATGAAGCTAGTAACACCTAAGCCCTGAGCTATTTTGTTGTCCTCTTTACTAGACAGGGCAACTTGGTGTGCAGAGGTAGAAACTGACACTCAGAAAGCATCATTGCCCAACTCAGCATCCAAGCCAGGGCTAGTGTAAGAAAATTCAGAAGCATTCAGGATTTGGGGACCATTTGCGAACACTTGCAAACACTCAGGCCTTTGTAAAATCTCAGGAGCCAGCAAAATAGGAGTGGATTCAGATCCTGAACCATGGGCCAGGATTTATGTTAGGGGGGCAGGCTTCATATGGGGGGGGCAGAACCTCAGTTATTTTTATTGATTTACTTGATTCCCCCCTCCAGCTACGCCTGTGTCCTGAACTCTTTTACTCCCCTGCCACACAGTCTAGTTTTTGTTTTTTAAAGGTAGGCATTCCTTTGTGGTGTCAATGCCATAGCAACCCCCCCATCTAATTCCTTAATTAGTGTGCCTTGGGCTTGCCAATCAGAAGGTCGGCGGTTCAAATCCCCGTGATGGGGTGAGCTCCTGTTGCTCAATCCCAGCTCCTGCCAACCTAGCAGTTCGAAAGCACAACAAAAAATGCAAGTAGATAAATAGGTACCGCTCCGGCGGGAAGGTAAACGGCGTTTCCGTGCACTGCTCTGGTTTCGCCAGAAACGGCTTAGTCATGTTGGCCACATGACCCGGAAAAACTGACTGCGGACAAACGCCGGCTCCCTCGGCCTGTAAAGCGAAATGAGCGCCGCAACCCCAGAGTCGTTCGCGACTGGACTTAACTGTCAGGGGTCCCTTTACCTTTACTTACTGCCTTTGGGACAAGCTTTGTTCTGCAATTTGTGATGGGTCTGTGTCTCTAAACGTACATGTTGCTTTCATCCTGTTCTCAAGATGAATCAACACCAGCTTGGAAACTCCATTACAGTGGTACCTCGCAAGACGAATGCCTTGCAAGACAAAAAACTCGCAAGACGAAAGGGTTTTTGTTTTTTTGAGTTGCTTCGCAAGACGAATTTCCCTATGGGCTTGCTTTGCAAGACGAAAACGTCTTGCAAGTTTGTTTCCTTTTTCTTAAAACCGTTAATACCCAGGGTGCATTGCTTGAAGAGGTGCAGTTGCACATGGTGTGGTAGCCTTTTTTGAGGTTTTTGAAGACTTTGGTGATTTTTGAAGCTTTTCCAAAACTTCTTTTGAAACGGTGCTTCGCAAGATGAAAAAACTCACAGAACGAATTAATTTCGTCTTGCGAGGCACCACTGTATAAGAATATGGGGGTTCCAAACTCTCGCCAGGGTCTTCTCTTAGGCTAAATACCTGCAGGGTGCGCTGAAGCTGCTTTCTGATCTTCTCCAGCTGAAGCTGGGTTTTGCTCCAGGTCTCTTGTACATGCGTCATCTTGAGCTGTAGGGCAACTCTGGCCTCGGGGTTTGCCACGTCAAGTAACTTCTCCCCGGCCGCCAAGGTTAAGGCGTGCTTGGTCTGCCACCTCTGAAGGAGGATCTCCTTTTTCTAAAAAGAAAAAAGGAAAACATGCCCAAACTGTCATCATATGAACACACAGAGACATGGCCACAAAGGAATAAAACAATACCAAACAGTTTTAGTAGAGAAATCATTCCTTTTTAAGAACCACTGTTTGGAGAGTTCTTGTTTAAAATGTTCTCTCAGTCTGATTTCCGCAGGAATTGTACGATGTTGTTGTTTAGTCGTTTAGTCGTATCCGACTCTTTGTGACCCCATGGACCAGAGCACGCCAGGCACTCCTGTCTTCCACTGCCTCCCGCAGTTTGGTCAGACTCATGTTTGTAGCTTCGAGACTCATGTTTGTACAGCGATAACAATGCTTAATATTTATATACAGTGGTACCTCAGGTTACATACGCATCAGGTTACATACGCATCAGGTTACATACGCTTCAGGTTACAGACTCCGCTAACCCAGAAATATTACCTCGGGTTAAGAACTTTGCTTCAGGATGAGAACAGAAATCGTGCGGTGGCAGCAGGAGGCCCCATTAGCTAAAGTGGTGCTTCAGGTAAAGAACAGTTTCAGGTTAAGAACGGACCTCCGGAAGGAATTAAGTACTTAACCCAAGGTACCACTGTACTAGATTTGAAAAGACACAAATGCTTAAAAATAATAATTCTCCCTGGATGTCCACCAATAAATTCAAGGCAATGTGTGGGGTCCCTGTCAGTCATTTTATCCAAACAACTCTTGGTAGGTTAGACTGAACGTGTGCCTCTCTCTCTCTCTCTCTCTCTCTCTCTCTCTCTCTCTCTCTCTCTGTGTGTGTGTTTGCGCATGTGTGTAAAGCAGGCCTCACATCCAGTCACCCTGAGAACTTTGTTGCTGAGTCAGGATTTGAACCGAGGTCTCCACAGTCTATTCCAAATATTCTCCACATTACATACACCCCCACCAGGGGCAGGAGAGGAGCAACAGCCAGGACAACTGCAGAACAGGTAGAACATCTACAATCTTCCTGCTCTACTTTTGTTGATGCTCCCCGAGAAAGGAGAAGAGAGATTCTTGGAGAAAAAGAGATGAATTAATATTAGAGGTAGCTAGAATAACTGGATCCACTGCTTTACGAAAAAAAGGAAGTCAGTTTTTAATGCAGGGGTGAGCAAACTTAAAGCTTGAGGGATCTACTTTATTTTTCCCTAGGACCCTGGAGCCAGGTGTGCAAAATATTGACTTAACCTGGCGGGCATTCTCCAATAATTAAGGAACAAAATGCCAGGAGTTTCTGATCAGGACCAAAACAAACCTCTTGAGTCCTTCCATATATAAAAAACGACCCTACACTTGGTCTCCCCTGAAGCATTCAATTTCAGCAACCTAATTTATAGGGGGAATTATTTCCTGTTATTGCTATAGTTAAGACAACCGAGAGTCAGAAATAATTTTCCGTTACACTGCAAACCACCTAGATTCTGAGCGATCTTCTGCCCACCCCTTGTTTAATGGATGCCAACAGATGCCAAGTCCCCTTTAAGTTTTCCAAGCACTAGCAATTTTGATCTTTTAAAAATGCAACGCTATCTATGTTTTGCGGGTTGTAGGAAGAGGAGGCCTAACCTTGACGTCGTGACTCAGATTCCTGAGTTGGTGCAGACTATACTTCTCCTGACTCTCCACAGCAGCCATGAATCCACTTGTGTGAACGAGGATCTTCTTGATGTCTTGTAGTGAAGTTGTGAATTTTTGCCATTGCTTTACGAGACTGTCAATCTCGCCCTTTCTCTGCTGAGCTGCCCGGACGATGCTTTGCCACTGTTCCTTCAGCAGGGTGAGTTTGGAGAGAAACGTGGTCCTGAAGTGAACAGAGATTAACTTGTCAGTCATGTAGCATCTTCTTCTTCTTCTTACTACTACTACTACTACTACTACTACAATTTATATCCCACCCTTCCTCTCCCAAAGGAGTCCAGGGCAGCAAACACACAAACAATAGAACAATTAAAAACAATTGCACTGCAGATGTAGACTGGGAACAATTTCAGCTTGAAAGGCTTGTTAGAAGAAGGTCTTCCATACACACAGATGTCGCCTGTCTAATATGTAATGGGAGGGAATGCCAAAGGTTAGATGCCACAACACAAAAGGCCAGATTCCTATATTATTTGGAATGGACCTTTTGATAATGTGCTACCTGCAGGAGGTCCTCACCTGTGGTGTGGAGTGATCACCTGGGTATATAAGGGGTGAGACAATCCTCTGCTCAGCTCCATGACTCACTGTTTTAGGCACGGTGATTTATTCAACCCTCCCTTAAAAACTGTTGTCGAGTTCAAGTCTTAGAATGCACACACCCCGCAACTGCACCCCGATTTGAAACACACAACCGAGCCATGTATCTCACCGGTTTTCGGCTTCTCCCGATTCCAGCACGTGCAAAGCCTTTGACATGATAGAATTAAAAGTCTGCTGGTTCACCAAGATCTCCGCTTGCAATGTCTGTAAACACCGAAGGAAATGTTTTAATTATGCTTCACGCAAAGGGAAAGATTACAACCACGGCACAAGTAGAGCCCTTTGCAGAGCCCTAATCTGCCTGGGCACTTTATTTGCAAGAGTTCTGCTCCTGCTCTCTGCAGATGTGAAATCTACACCCACAAAGTGCAGCTGAGAAGTGTTTTGAGAAGAAAGAAGGAAGGAAGAATGCCTTGCCCTCCTTCTTCCCGCAAAGGATAAGTGTGGCATGTTTACTTTGGGAGTGGGGAGGGCATCTTTCAGCCAAAGGGCCACATCCCAGGAGTGGGGCAGGGCCAGAGGAAAAAGAAGGCAGAGCAATGGTTGTGGCCCTTACTTCTGTACATTTGAGCCAGACTGTATTTAACTAAATAATCCTTTTAAGGCAGGATGAAACTTGGGCACAGGAGGACTAAATATTAATAAATTATTATTATTATTTTTACTACTACTACTACTATTACTATTACCAACATTACAAAATTCCAGCTATTTTCTACTCCAATACTTCAACCCATACTTTATCAAGCCCTGACCATGCCTTCACCTATGTCTTGAAGATGCAAGTTAGCAGAACGACAGGCTGCAAAGATTTGCTAAGATGTACCATCCCAGATTCTCAGGGACGCGGGTGGCGCTGTAGGTTAAACCACAGAGCCCAGGACTTGCCGATCAGAAGGTCGGCGGTTCGAATCCCCGCGATGGGGTGAGCTCCCGTTGCTCGGTCCCTGCTCCTGCCAACCTAGCAGTTTGAAAGCACCTCAAAGTGCAAGTAGATAAATAGGTACCACTCCAGCAGGAAGGTAAATGGCGTTTCTGTGCGCTGCTCTGGTTCGCCAGAAGCGGCTTAGACATGCTGGCCACATGACCCGGAAGCTGTACGCCGACTCCCTCGGCCAGTAAAGCAAGATGAGCGCCGCAACCCCAGAGTCGGTCACGACTGGACCTAATGGTTAGGGGTCCCTTTACCTTTACCTTACCATCCCAGATTACAAGTAAGGAATAGCATATTCTCATATAAAAAGCCTTCTGCATATAGAACACTTGCAAGTTAGGAACACAATTGCTTTTTTATTATTCAGTTGTAGTGGAGCAATGGAGACAAGTTTTTCCTACTGTCCGGGGATAGGCGATTTGTGGTAATATCACAAATGCTATGGTCTTTTTCTCAGTATACCTAAAACCCTTTGCTTATTAGGGGCTACCCCACATTTTCTCCAAAAAACTGCTTTGTGCAGGTAACTACCATAGTGTTATCTAATTTCTCAAAAGCTGGGGGTCCATGGCTTGGCTTTTGGAAAATAGGGGGTGTTCACTGATTAGTAAATTGGGAACCACTGCCCTAGAGCGACCTCAGGAAGTCTAATTGGCTAGAGAATGAAACTGTATCATGGCAAAATATAACTCAAGACCCACAGCCAATGATTTGCTTGGTGTGGCAATCAGATCCATCTTTCTGCTCTGGATTGGGGCCGAAACAGTGAGGAGCATTACCTCATACTCCCTCTGCTGTTTCCGCAGTCCCTCTAGGCTGCCCGCCATATCTTCCCTCAAGACCTCTTTCATTTTCTCTTGGAACAGCGCCCACTTTTGGCATCTCTGAATGAACTTTTCATCAGACTGAATGCTCTGCAGTTCACTGCAATGAAAAACAAAATTCGAAATCAGTTCTGCAGCCGCGCCTTCTGCCAGTTACGCTTTTAGTCGTGCATGATTGTGGCCCAGCTGGCAAGGGTGGCTTGTGCCCATTGGGACTGATGGGGCAGAACACAGGGAGCCCTTCAGTAGGTGGGGCCAGATCCAGTGACTGGCAGAGCTTAACACGAATCAGCAGTGTGATGCAGCAGCAAAAAAGGCTAATGCTATTCTCGGCTGCATCAACAGAAGTCTAGTGTCCTGACTGAGGGAAGTCATAGTCCTGTTCTGTTCTGTATTGGTCAGACAACACCTGGAATACTGTGTCCAATTCTGGGCACCACAATTTAGGAAGGGTGTTGACAAGCTGGTGTGCAGAGGAGGGTGACCAAGATGATCAAGGGTCTCGAAACCAAGCCTGTTGAGGGAGTTGGGTATTTTTAGCCTGGGAAAGAGGAGTGTAAGCGGAGATATGATGGCCATCATCAAAAGGGCTTGGACCCAAACAAATGGATTCAAGTTACAAGGAAGGAGATTCTGACTAAACATCAGGAAGAACGTTTTTTTACCAGCATTTCTCCAGAGCCATGGCTTTCTTCTGAGTCCATTGCCAGTTCAGATCCTGCAGTCTTTTTGCAGTGAAGTCACTGAGCGGAAACCTAAAGCTGAATTCATTCAGACTCTCCATCTCAGGTGATAAAGCTGTGAGGACCAACATCTGGCTCTGAGAAAAAGGACAAGACAGATGAGGCCGCTGGGCAGTTCTTTTTGGCACAATGTGCAAAACACCAGGTGCCAGGAAAGCCAAAGGAACAAGAGCCACCAATTGAAGGACACCAGCTAGGGAAGATCAGAACGGCCTCAAACGAATTTTTTAAAAGGCCTGCTTTGTTCTTGAAGAACTGATTATGCTCCTCTATATTGATTATGCTCCTCTATATTGATTATGCTCCTCTGACCAGAGCAGAGTATTCTGCTCTGGTCAGACCTCACCTGGAGTACTGTGTCCAGTTCTGGGCACCACAGTTCAAGAAGGACACTGACAAACTGGAACGTGTCCAGAGGAGGGCAACCAAAATGGTCAAAGGCCTGGAAACGATGCCTTATGAGGAACGGCTAAGGGAGCTGGGCATGTTTAGCCTGGAGAAGAGGAGGTTAAGGGGTGATATGATAGCCATGTTCAAATATATAAAAGGATGTCATATAGAGCAGGGAGAAAGGTTGTTTTCTGCTGCTCCAGAGAAGCGGACATGGAGCAATGGATCCAAACTACAAGAAAGAAGATTCCACCTAAACATTAGGAAGAACTTCCTGACAGTAAGAGCTGTTCGACAGTGGAATTTGCTGCCAAGGAGTGTGGTGGAGTCTCCTTCTTTGGAGGTCTTTAAGCAGAGGCTTGACAACCATATGTCAGGAGTGCTCTGATGGTGTTTCCTGCTTGGCAGGGGGTTGGACTCGATGGCCCTTGCGGTCTATTCCAACTCTATGATTCTATTTTCCTCCCCTGCCGCCCAGAAGAGACTAGTGAGTTGCAATTCCAAACATCTGGTGGGTACCAGGCTGGGAAAAGATGGCCTATGAGCTTTTATGGCTTACCATGAGTAGATCTGAGTCTTCAGTGCCTTGGTTCAGATTTTCCAATACTTCCGTGAACCCTTTAACATGATTCTCCAGGTTTTCCAAGCAAGTCTCAAAACGTTTCAGCTGTGAAAGGTCAAACTGAGGAGAGAAATTAATATGCTGATGTTTGCAGAGGTTTAATTTTCATTTTGATTAGCCAATCACCTTATTTATTATTTTGAACTTTTCTTTCTTTCTTTTATATGGTGCTCTATGTTGAACATTGTGAACTGCCCTGATACGGGGGGGGGGGGTATCTGTACTAGGATGCTACCTTTATTTGCCCAGCGAAACTGTCACAAAATAGCGTGCTTGCTTTTGAGTTTCAATTGGGCTAGAAGAGATTAAAGGGGAGGAAAAGAAAATCTTGCAAGAGTCAAGGCAGAATTTGGGAGGAGGCGGCTGACATGCAAAAGAGGCGCCATGGAGTTGCAGCAAGGCCTTCTGGGAAAAAGAAACTTAACAATGGCTGCTTTGCCATCTCTGGAAACAGAAAACGAGCATTTGCTCACTTCCATCTACTGAGAAGCAGGATAAGTGGAATACAGGAAGAAATGAGGAAACAGACTGTTCTTAGGTGGAAATTAATTTTGCCCCTGATCAGCTGGTGGGTCGTGGGGTTCTAGTAAAAAACAGCACAGATCCTGCAAGCCTGAAGCCTGCCAATTCATGGTGCAGGCGTATAAATTTGTATGGCCAATGGCATTTCCCAACAAATACATTTGGAAAAAAATCACAGAAGCATTATTCCTCCCCCCCCCCATAACCTGTTGACATGTAGTAGTTAACAGCAAAGTGACCCACTCAGAAGTACCTCAAACTTATTTTCTTTCATCTGTAGCATCTTCTCCAAATAGGAGATCCTTTGAAGTGGCTGGAGTTTTTCTGGAAGAAGTGATTCTGTGGGCTCAGCCAGCTGAGCTATTTTATCTGCCAGCTCAGAAACGGGAAGAAAACTTTCTTTGATGTTCTGAAGGTCCAGTTTCAGCATCTGGAAAGAAAGGGAGATGCATCAAGAGAAAGAAACGAAGGCTCCTGGGTTACGGTGTTGGTTCCACTCTCAGATTGATGTGTCCGCCCTCAGACCCAGATGTTTCCCTGACCCTGGGCACAGTAGGCCAGAAAGGAAATCACTTTTGTGATTTGGAGTTCTTCAAATTTTGCAATGAAGTTCTCGTCTCTAAATGTGCATACAAACGACAGGATGAAATTCATTCGGAAATGTCTATTTTGTAATAAAATAGGCTCAATATTGGAAATCAGAAGAAGTACCAACATTGAAAAACTGGCAAAATATTTTTTTTTAAATGATTGAATTAGCAAAAATGATGGCAACAATTAGAATGCAATCTAATCAAAATCTTAAACAGGAATGGAAATGTGTAGAATACCTGACCAAAAGATGCTCCAACAAGAATTTATTGATATGTATAGACTGATTTCACAAAGATAAACTAAGATAAGATAAGCTAAACTAAGCAGATATATAAGATTGAATGCTTAATTATTAAGATACAAAATTACAATCTCAATAATAAAGTTGCAAAATAATAACAAGGAAGTCATGCACGGGTGGAGGGAAGACACAGGGCAAGAAATAAGAAATGGATAAATGGATAAATGTTGGTACATAATGAAATGTGAAAATGTGAATTGATGAATATAATGTATATGTATCAATATGTAAAGATTTCATATATGTAAGGTAAAGGGACCCCTGACCATTAGGTCCAGTTGTGACCGACTCTGGGGTTGCGGCGCTCATCTTGCTTTATTGGCCAAGGGAGCCAGCTTACAGCTTCCGGGTCATGTGGCCAGCATGACTAAGCTGCTTCTGGCAAACCAGAGCAGCGCACGGAAATGCCGTGTACCTTCCTGCCAGAGCGGTACCTATTTATCTACTTGCACTTTGACATGCTTTCAAACTGCTAGGTTGGCAGGAACAGGGCCTGAGCAACGGGAGCTCACCCCGTCGCGGGGATTTGAACCGCCGACCTTCTGATCGGCAAGTCCTAGGCTCTGTGGTTTAACCCACAGCGCCACCCGCATCCCATTTCATATATGTATTGCAACATTAATAATAAATAAATAAAGTGCAAAAAAGAAAGGCGAAGAAGGCTCAGAGCTCAGGGAATAGTGGTGGGACAACAATGAGTGGGCAGAGAGAGAGGACTGGGAAGAGATGGGTTCAGAAGCTGAAGGGGTAAATAGGACTAAGTGAGCTGAGAGAGTCCTTGGCAGAGAAGTCCAGAATCAGAGGCAGAAGTGGAAGCAAGAGGCAGAGATTAGTCTGGTTGGTGAAGCGTCACGGGTGTCTCCCACCCCAACCTCCCAGAACCAGAAGAGGCGTGAAAAGGGTGGAGGAGAACTTGGCTGCATTACAGGCACAGTCTCTGATTGCTTGGGAAAAGCCCTGGAGAGGAGGGGACTTAGATGGCTGCGAGGAGCTGGGGCTTTCAGTCTTTCATGGAGTAGGACCCACAAGGAATGAGCTGCTGTGCTCATTAGGCCTGACTCTCTAACGAGTCTGTGGAGATCGTGTTTTTGCTAATAAAGAACTAAATCTAACTTTGATCGGAGTGGGTCAGGATGGGGCTGTTCTCTTATAGAACTGTAAGGAGGAGAGAAAAAGGGAGGGGAAAACCTGGCTGGACGCTGGAAGTGGAGAATTAAAGGTAGTGGAGGGTCAGTCAGGCTGTGTACCTGAGATTTCATGGGCTGCAATCCCTGTGCACAGATGATTAACATTACAAATAGAATTAAGATACGCATTGCGCTCCTTGGTAGTTCTTTATCCGGGCGGGTGGGTGGAGATTTGGGAACATCTCTTCTGAAGTGTATAATTTAATACAATTTCCACTTAACACCAGTTACCTAAAAAATCGTGCTTTCTGGATGGGAATGGCAGCTGTGCTGTTAATGGGCATAAAGTAAGTCTAAAATGCTAATTTACTGCCATTAAGGACAAATTTCGCCAATGTGACTAATGCATGCCTGGCACCCAAAGCCCTTTTCTCTTTGTGGCGATGCTCTTTAAGGCCAAATGAGCCCGTTGCTTCAAAAACGATCCATTTAAATTTCTTCCCATTAGACTTTGCATACAATTTATTAAGGGCACAAACACATTTCTATCGGCTCCCGGGGGGGAAACGCAAGAATAACTTTAACACAAGTCCTCAATCTCACCTAAAACTGTTAGCACAGGGAAAGGGTTAGGCTTAAAAGCTCGTCAAGTGCCCAATTGGATTCCTAGCAGTCATTCACAACTGACAAGGGGTGTAACATACCTCCCCGTCCATTAGGGTTCTTTCTCTGGTATTATTCTTCACAAAAGGAAGAAGAATAGTTTGGCTCTCCTCCACCGATATCAGGAAAGGGCTATTAGCACTGGGTGGATTTAATAGCTGCTTCATTTATGACAAAATTATCCTGGGTTTTCTTTGTCAGCAAGAGATACAAAACTGCATCGTAAAAAGCCACTTCCATTTTTAGAAGAGAGCTGAAATCCTTCCATTTCTGAGCTACTGGTTAGTTCTGCTGTGGCCTTCTGTTCAAGAAGACAATGAAACACTTTCCCTGAGGCTTGTGGTGCCGACCAGTTCACTTAAGGCAAAGAAGGGTCCCGATCCGACAAAATTGCCTGACACCTTTGGCCTGAGCCCAAGAAGCTTACCTTGGGGCAGGGGAAGAAAGCATCAAAGCATCTAGGCTGCATCAACAAAAGTATAGTGCCCAAATCAAGGGATTGAATAGCCCCACTCCAGTCTGCCTTGGTGACCCATACTGTGTCCAGTTCTGGGCACCACAATTTAAGAAGGAAGTTGAGGTTCGATGGCCATCTGTCATGGACACTTTATTTGAGATTCCTGCATTGCAGGGGGTTGGGTTAGATGACCCCCTGGGTCCCTTCGAAATCTACAATTCTACGATTCTATAACGCAGCCTGGCAAAGACACTCAGGGAGGGTGCAAGACAGGGCTGGTGAGGGGTGTGGCCTGAGGAGAGGTCCAAGGGCCACATGCAAACGCTGGAAGGCCATTTGGCACCCACCCCTGATTGCCTCCACACCCTGAGATCTTTTTATCTTCTTCTTCTTTGGCGACCACTTGGAATTGAGTAAGATTGTCTTCCATGAACACTGTTTTAACAGTGAATCCATAAGTGACTGTGGAGCCCAATTCTGGATCCACACGTCCTTCCACATTGGTTTCCAGGCGGGAGTTGATCACGGTGTGGATTTGCCAAGCATGCTTTCCTCTTAGCACGTTTCTCCCTCTCGTCCTGAGTTCGAGCGTCTTCAAAGCCCATGACACCTTTGGTAAAGGCTGTTCCCTCTCGGCCTTGGAAGTTGAGCGTCATCAAAGGCCCATGGAACCTTTGGGTAAAGGCTCCTCCTGTTCTCAAATTTGGTTGCAGCTTAGATAAGAGAGCCTCTTACTTATTCTCTTCTACCATTGTTCCTCAAGGGCAAACCACAACCATGGTTGGTTCGACGGCAACACACACCCATTAACTACCTTCAATCCTCGACCTTCTGCTTAAGGGAAGTCCATCGTATGACCTGCAGCCACATCTGCCAAAAGGGAACCATATTGCTCTTCATACTTGTCCACCTTGGCCATGACTTCAGCATGTAAACCAACGTAAGATTCCCAAAGTTGTAAAGATGCTTGTGCTTTGTGTAGGTGATCTTCAATTTCTTTGTTCATCAGTGTCCATCTAGGGGGAAAAATTAAATTAAATGCAGAATTATAGCGAACACTTCAATTACCTCTCGCTTTCCTTAAGAGCACGTCTACCTGTCTTCCTATGGTTCGTTCATACTAGGGAAGAGCACTGTGTGACTTGCTCAGCATAAGACTGGGAAAACGTCACGCGCCACGGTTGATGGACGTGTGTTCTGAAGTGTGGAGGGGACTTCTTTTCTTTCTTTAGGCAGATAAATGCATGGAGCTAAAATGTGCCACATCACTAGGCTGCTGATCACAATATTTTGCATGTGTGGCATGTTTGCCAGAAGCCTCAAAGGAAGTTAGTTGGCTCCTAATGCCAACCTTAGACAAGATGCCAAACTCATCTGATGGGATTTCCAAAGATTAGCTTCCCCAGTGATGGGAGCACCAAACTTGAAAATGAAACAGGAAGCACACAGGAAATCATGAAGGGGAAAACTGTGGCCTTCCAGGTGTTGCAAGAATGCAACTCCCATCATTACCTGGCCATTGGCTATGCTAGCTGGGGGGGTGACAGGTGTTAGGGTTCAGCAATATCTGGAGGGCCACAGATTCCCAATCTATGGATTAAGCCATCAAGATGGCTTGGAGAATAAACTGCCTAGCTCTGGCTTTTAGAGACTGAATCTCGCTTAAGCTCTGATCAAGGTCAAACCGTTTTTATTTGCCAGGGCATATGATGTTGTGATGCTGGTTAGTCTGCTGTATTGCTTTAGTTGCCATTAAACTGTCTATTTCTAAAACAAAGGTTTCGTCTTACTGCTTAATTATATTCATCTTTTGGTGTGATTAATTGTATATCACCAGGGTATACAAGTGTAGGCCTGAACACAACATGGCAACTGTGTTTCTACTGCGCATCTGGACACGCTTACTAAATGGCCTGGTTTGAACATAACAGTAAGCCAAACTATGGCTAAGCATGAATGTGCAAGCGTTTGGGTACTCATGGTAAAAAGTATTGCTGCTTCAGTTCCCCTGCTGTTGCCCTAACTAGACCTAAGCCATAGCACACATAGTTGCCATGTCTGTGCGTTTCACCAAAGGGTAGAGATGGGGGCGAGCAAGACTGGATTTTATATTCCTACAGGCAGGATATTAACGATGGCAGGTTCCTTTTTCCAAGCACCCCGAAAGCTGGGCAGCAGCTAAAAGCGTCCAGTCTGACTGTTCTCTCCTCCTCCCACATCCCATCCTGAGACAGGCAGCAGATACAGACTCCATGGATTCATCATCCTTTAGCTTTTTCCTCCAACATCCCTCCCTCCCACTGCTGCTTTGTTTGCTATGTAGCCTGATGAAGATCTCTGTTGCAGAATACAAAAGGTTGCGCACTACTTTGTGGCCCGTTGACTAGCCTAATAAAAGCCTTGTCCAGTATGTATTTTGGAATGTTGACCGATGCTGCGTGCCTCCCCACAGGCTGATTATCACTGGGTTATTTCGGCTAGTGGTGATCAGCTTAAGCCAGCGGTTCTCAAACTTGGGTTTCCCAGCTGTTGTTGGACTACAACTCCCATCATCCCTGACCACCCGTCCTACTAACTAGGGATGATGGGAGTTGTAGTCCAACAATAGCCGGGGACCCAAGTCTGAGAAACACTGGCTTAAGGGTATCCACCAGCGAGCTGGTTACCCACAGAACAACCGCTCTGATTCTGGAGAGCAAGGATGACATCAGTAGAACTGTCCTGCTCAGCTCAAAGTTAAACAGTATGCAGCAAAGCGGGTTCTCCTTCACAGAGAGCACGTGTTGCGGTGGGGGCAACCATGACATCCCCTGTTGCTGGGCGGCTTAGTATGGATGGCCACGAATTTGATAGGGCACCTCCAATTGTTGCTGGGGAGAATTTAATGCTGCAAAATTGTTTGATTGATGGGAGTGCTATTTATTCCCTGTGCGCCACATTGATCTTCCTCTTTTCGCTGCGCACATCGGATTACCTGCCCACCCTCCCTATATTTAAGGTTTGTTTGTGTTTGTTTGTGCTGACCTTGCTATGCCTGTCATGGGGTCATCTGCTTTGGAGCAGGGGCCTGGTAGGGATTTTTGCCATTTGGCTGATTGGCTGGTGCCATTTGGTTTTTTGCCTACTGCATAGCAAATCATCACAACTTGTAAGGTTGTGGTTTTGTTGTTGTTGTTGTTTAGTCGTTTAGTCGTGTCCGACTCTTCGTGACCCCATGGACCAGAGCACGCCAGGCACTCCTGTCTTCTACTGCCTCCCGCAGTTTGGTCAGACTCATGCTGGTAGCTTCGAGAACACTGTCCAACCATCTCGTCCTCTGCCGTCCCCTTCTCCTTGTGCCCTCAATCTTTCCCAACATCAGGGTCTTTTCCAGGGAGTCTTCTCTTCTCATGAGGTGGCCAAAGTATTGGACCCTCAGCTTCAGGATCTGTCCTTCCAGTGAGCACTCAGGGCTGATTTCCTTAAGGTTGCGGTTAGGCATTGGTTAATTTTGGTTGGTGGAGGGGATGTGGTTGGCTGTGCCTGCCCCTCCAGTGCTGCTGATGCAAGGGTATTCCATTAAAGGAATCCAGGGGCTCGCCATGCTCTTGTCCGAACCCCTGGCAAGGGGCTAGGGCCACGCAAGAACCCCTGGGAGCATTTGGGGAGAGGTGAGAGCCTGGTGCCCAGCTCTATTCTCTCCCCAAAAATGTTTACCCTTACTGACTTCTGCAGGCTTGTGGTTGTCAGTTTTGTTCCTACCTCTAAGTGGGAACAGATAGTCGCTAACCAATGCCTAAGCAGCCACTCACATGTACTGTAATTCAACAAAGTTGTGTGAACCGAGTCTTTATTTGGGGGTGTCCTGAGGGTCCTCGACACGCAATTGCCACTGCATATGAAAGCAATGACTTGCTGGGGCCAGACAACAGAATGGTTAACAAATAAAATAAAGAAATCTTATTGTACCTTGTGCGTGCCTCTCTGCATTTCTGTTCAATAATCTCAGAAAACGAGGGATCACACAGCTTCTTCAGGTTACAAGCAGCAGCTTGGAGTTTAGCCCAGATTTCTTCATTACTCTCTGCTTTATCTTGAAGAGACTGTGGGAAAGAAATGCCACATGGCTGGTTGTGAGTGCAAAGGCATTCGAGGAGGCGGCTGTTGATATGCTAACTTGCATCTCTCCTCCCCAAGGGACCACATTTTAAAATTCTGAGCTGCCACAAATATGCTGCCAGCTTTCCATTAGTAAGTGCTGCTTCTGCTGCTGCTGTTGTTCTGGTGAGATCTCACTCACTTGCTTCTCTCAAGCTTGGAGAAGGTTGAAGAATCTACCAGACCTTGCACCAACTCCAGAAAGACTTGGAAATTAGCAAGAAAGACTTCCCCTGGCCTCCTCCAGGCTTAAGAGTGGGGGAATCCTAACCCACTTTGCACTTAAAGTGGGGGGGGGAGGGGGAGGGGAGAGAAGATCCAAGACCCAGCACGAAAAGACATTGCGCTCCAGCCCCTTCAGCCACTCCCTAGCAAGGCCTCTGTGAGGGCTGCATATTATCATCCCAGTTTTGATCAGGCACGTGTGTGTTTTGTTGTGCATACCATCAGTGCAACTTTCCCCATTATCGACAGTGGACCAGAGTGTTAATTTGCTTCTATTGTAAGGGACATGTAAGGCTTCTTTTAACTTGTTTTGGGGAGGACCAAAATCATCTGTCTGAAACGGGTCAACTCACTGAATTCCTCATTGCAAGACACAGCATTCTGTATGTGCAGCATTTAGATGATCTAACCCACCTTGACTTCAAACACACCATGGTGATATGTGAATGAGCTGAACAGGTGAAATGTGAACTGGACAAAGCATGGTTTGTGAGTTTCCTGCAAACTCATTTGGAAATGAGGTACTGATCCTGGTGTCTAATCCAGTTTTGCAGGGCCCATGCAAACCATAGTTTGCCCATTTCGTCTGAGACAGTAAACTATTATTTGCCTTAGACAGGAAGTGGGGAAGAAGGCAGGATAAGGCTAAGTGTGTGGGTTTAGGAGTCCATCAAGGCTCAATCACATACCAGTAAACCATGGCTTGGTGTTGCATCTGAAGAAGTCCTTTGTCTTTTTAGGAGGAGCATTTACGACCCAAGAAATGTGAAACATACCTGGAGATTTTCCACCTGGGTTTTTAGTGTCTCGAATGTAACCATGGGAGGCTTGCTAACCTCCAGGCAATACACAATTCTTGCAAGCATCAGTCTGACTTCATCCCAAGCTTGGTCATAAATCCGCCACTGCTCTAAAGCAGACTCTGTTGAGGTCTTCAGCAGCGCAATCTGCAAACACCGGGCCCATGATTAGACACGTGGATGCCATTTCTGCTTCACAAAGTACACTTTTGAGATTACGTATCAGGACACTTGGAAAATGTCTAAGGGGCACCCCACTGTTAAACACTAAGAGACACCCACTGTTCAGTGTTTTATTTTAGTGCTTCCTTTCTAACACACGCTGGACAAAAAACACTCTAAGTATTTAACAAATTAATATATAACTGATTTCAGAGGGAACAGCACATGGTTCCAACCAGATGTTGAAGGAAGGAAAAACATATCAGTGTATGGCATTAAAGTTTTAGAATTATTTTCATTATCATCCTAATTTGAGGCCAAAGCTCTAGCAGAGCTCATTCCAGGACACCTGGTTAGAGGATGATTTGCAGGAATAAATACACCGGGTTTTACACTTGCTGCTGACACCCCAGCAGGAAAACTCACGGATTCAGCAGCGCCTGAAGGGTTTTAAATTGCAAAAGGAACAGACAGCTCAGCTGTGAGCTCTCATTCCATGGCAGCTTAAAATCGCTAAGAAAAATATTTTCTATTGCCATTTTAGAAATTTGGCACAGCCCTGCTTGCCAGCACCAAACAGGATTCATGGAACCATGACAGTTAGTAGAACTGGTAAATGGCTAGGCAAACGAGTGGACTCGAGTTCAAGTCTGATTGCTGCCAAAAGACCACTAGGGAGGGTCCATAGCTCAGTCCTTGGGCAAGACAGCCCCTTGCCCCCCTGGGGCCCCTCCCCATGGGAATCTATTTTCTCACTACTATTTTCTGATCCTAGCATGGCAGGAGTCAACTGAGCAATCTTCAGGAAGTCACCAAATCTTAGACATAGTAAGGTAAAGGGACCCCTGACCATTAGGTCCAGTCATGACCGACTCTGGGGTTGCGGAGCTCATCTCGCTTTACTGGCTGAGGGAGCCGGCGTACAGCTTCCAGGTCATGTGGCCAGCATGACTAAGCCACTTTCTGGTGAACCAGAGCAGCGCACGGAAACGCCGTTTATCTTCCCGCCGGAGCGGTACCTATTTATCTACTTGCACTTTGACGTGCTTTCGAACTGCTAGGTTGGCAGGAGCTGGGACCGAGCAATGGGAGCTCACCCCGTCGTGGGGATTCGAACCACCGACGTTCTGATTGGCAAGTCCTAGGCTCTGTGGTTTAACCCACAGCGCCACCCACGTCCCTTACATCTTAGACATAGGCGAAGGGGGGGGGGAAAGAAGGGGGGTGGGAGGAGAAAGTATCAACCTGGCTGGCAACTCTGGTCCTCATTTCATCTAAATTGCTGGTTCTCGGCATTGCCCCCGCAGGATCCTCAGCACCACCTCCTAAAACTGGGTAACTCTGCTTCAGCTCATCCAGCTCCTTAGATTTAACAGCAAGCTGGTTTTCCAGCGCCTGGGAAAAAGGAAACAGAAGAGTATGAGAATTCTTCTCTGTGCATAACTCATCTTTCAGGACCATACACCAGCTCTAATTCTTAACAATCAATGCTAGGAAATCTGTTCCAACTGTGGCGAACAGAGGGCTTAAAAACAAACAAAACAAAAGCAAAGCGGACAACAACAAAAATAAACCCCAAAACCAAATCACAAATTGGGGAGGCTGGTTGGTTTTGGAACCCTTTGATTGTGGACAACCCAGGGACCCTTTGTGGTGTTATGGTCATAGTCCTGGTCTAGGACCTGGGAGACCAGGTTTCAAATTCTTGCTTAACATCTAGTGGAGAAATACACCTCAAAGAAAGGAGGCTCTCTCTATGTAGCCTTTATAGATTTCAAATCAGCCTTCGACTCGATACCCCGGCACAGACTTTGGGAAAAACTAAATGCCACAAACATCGATAGACGTCTTTTGCTTCTTATCCGTAGACTACATGAAAATACTCGGATCCGTGTTAGATGCGACCGTTATGGGAACCTATCAAAGGAAATCCAAAGTTTCCATGGTGTCAAGCAAGGCTGTGTTCTTGCCCCTATTCTTTTTAACTTCTACATAAACTCCTTAGTCGGAAAGATGGAGGAAGCAAGTACTCATTCCCCAAACCTAAATAATACACCAATCCCGGTCCTTTTGTACGCAGATGATGCGGCACTTATTTCCTTCTCTTGTGTGGGTCTAAGAAAACTTTTACGAGCTCTTACAGAGTATTGCGAAGCTGAACACCTAATAATAAATTACACTAAATCAAAAATTATGGTGTTCTCCAAGAGAAAACTCCGACATAAATGGAAAATTAATAACCAACCTATTGAGCAAGTAACATCTTTTAGATATCTTGGAATAATTTTTGATGAGAAGGGATCTTGGTGCCATCAGATTAAGAATTCTATTGTAAATGCGCAAAGATCTTCCAGAGCTATCATAAGATTCTTTTACAGAAAAGGAGGTCAATATGTTCCTGCTGCCTCCCAGGTCTTTGTTGCAAAAATACTTCCACAATTGATGTATGGCACCCAGATATTTAATTGTCAAAAACTCAAGTCCCTGGAATCTGTACAAACTAAATTTTATCGTTCCCTACTAGGGTTACCTACCTGTGTCTCTAACACTGCCATTAGGCTGGAGGTAGGTCAACTCCCTATTAATGCCAGGATATGGATCCTGAAGATTCACTTCTGGCTAAAACTCATATTTTTCCCAGTGGGAGTGGCTCCATTGACTCTACTAGACCCGTTCCAGTCTAAATGGAGATTGTCGCTTTATGAAAAATTGAGGGGCCTGGGGCTTTCCCCACAAGAACTCTTGCTTAGCCTGGCAACTGACTGACTGGACTTGGGCCAGTCACTGTCTCTCAGCCTAACCTACCACAGGGTAGCTGAGAGGATAAAACAGGGAGGAGACTATCCCATGTTTTATCATGTTTTTAATATTCTTTTGGGAGCTGCCCAGAGTGCCTGAGGAAACCCAGCCAGATTTTTTTTTTTGGGGGGGGGGGGTATAAATAATAAAAGATGATGATGATGATGATGATGATGATGAAGAAGAATGCCACCTTGAGCTTCTTGGAGGAAAGGTGGGATAGAATTTTGGGGAGGGGGAATTTCTCCTACTATACACATTTTAACACGTAGTTTTCGCTACAGTAAGCAATTTTCTAGGCCCATCTGCGAGAAAGAAAACTCTGGCCCTAAACCTCCGCTGGAGAAGAAAAGGCTAGGGAGTAAACCCTACACAAATCCAGACTGGAGTCCCTAAGGCACTTTGTACACCTCCTTCCAGCAACTCCTGCAGCCAAGCTGGTGCCAAATGTATTGCTCGGTTTTCCTTTGGACCACATCAGTGAGTCTTGTTGTCTGGGCAGCCCAAGACCTCCATGCGCACTGCCCAGGCTTGTACCCTGGGATGGCAAGGCTGAAGAAGTTTCCGAAAGAAATGTGGAAAGCACAGCAGCATTTGATCGGGGGAGGGGTTGGCATTTTGATATCCTTTGCCCTCCCTATCATCAGCATGTAAAGGTAAAGGGACCCCTCACCATTAGGTCCAGTCGTGGCCGACTCTGGGCTTGCGGCGCTCATCTCGCTCTATGGGCCGAGGGAGCTGGTGTACAGTTTCTGGGTCATGTGGCCAGCATGACTAAGCCGCTTCTGGCAAACCAGAGCAGCACACGGAAACGCCGTTTACCTTACCTATTTATCTACTTGCACTTTGACGTGCTTTTGAACTGCTAGGTTGGCAGGAGCTGGGACCGAGCAACGGGAGCTCACCCCGTTGTGGGGATTCGAACCGCCGACCTTCTGATCGGCAAGTCCTAGCTCTGGTTTAACCCACAGCACCACCCGCGTCCCTATCATCAGTATAAATCATGCAAATAAACACATGTTGCTCATTTTGAATATATGATGCAAGGCATAGGGTTAGTGTAAAATGTAGTGGCTATTAGATTATTCATTTATCTTCCTGCAAAGTTTATACAAGTGCTTGAGAATTAAAAATCAGTTCCCCCCATTTCCCTTGTTTTTTTTAATTATTATTATAAAGAGTTGTCTTCAAGGATGTGGAAACATTCTTCCTGGCTTTATTTAACTTTTCCCTTCCCCTTCCTCTCTCCCGTAGTGAGTGTACCTGCTCACTAAGAGAGTTCCAATCTGTCCTTTTATTTATTCACCACGCTTCTTGCTGGCAGGTTGGAATGAATCCCTCTTGTCCCTCAGCTTGGGGGGGGGGACGCGAAAAGGCTCCAGAGCGCTTTAGTAAAAAAACACACACACTGCGGGGAATAAATAGCAAAAACTACCCACTATTTTGCAACGGGAGATAAAAGGGGTAACCATAGCAATAACACAGAAACAAAAGGCTTACCTAGGAGGGAAGGAATATCATTGCAAACGTGGCTTACCCTTATTGTCTGGGAAATAATAAGGGCTTATTTGGCTGACCAGTCCAAAATGTGCTCTTGGAGCATTTCGGCCCTTGCAGACAAATCCTCTAGACCTCAGTTAAGGAGGCATAAGATTGAGCTGGACCCTTCTAGTCCAGCATCCTGTTCTCAGAGTAGTCAACCATATGCGTATGGGAAACCGACAAGGAGGACCCAGAGCACAAGATCGGCTTGTTGGCATTCAGAAGCATTGCTTCCTGCAGCTGCGTAGCCATCATGGTTAGCCTTACCTCTCTCGCCCTGACCTAGCCACTGTGATCCACGCGACAGTCACCTCCAGCCTTGATTATCGTAACTCACTCTATGTGGGGCTGCTCTTGAGACTGACACAGAAACTCCAGCGGGTGCAGAATGCCGCGGCGAGACTCCTTACAGGGTCCTCACTGTGAGATCACATTCACCCGGTGCTATACCAGCTGCACTGGCTACCAGTGGAGTACAGGGTCAGGTTCAAGGTGCTGGTTTTGACCTTTAAAGCCCTATACGGCCTCGGACCCTCGTACCTACAGGACTGACTCTCCTGGTATGTCCCACGGAGGACCTTACGGTCTTCAAACGAAAGCATCTTGGAGGTCCCGGGCCACAGGGAGGTTAGGCTAGCCTCAACCAGAGCCAGGGCTTTTTAGGCCATGGCCCCGATCTGGTGGAACGCTCTGTCACAAGAGACTAGGGCCCTGCGGGACTTGACATCTTTCCGCAGGGCCTGCAAGACAGAACTGTTCCACCAGGCCTTTGGCTGAGGCACAGTCTGACCTCCTCCTTCGGTAATCCTCACAGAACTCTAGCCCAATGGTTGACATAAATTTGATTTTGAATTGATTTTAGAATGCTCTGTTACTTTTATTGTTGTTAGCCACTCTGAGCCTGGCTTCGGCTGTGGAGGGCGGGATATAAATACTAATACTAATACTACTACTACTAATAATAATAATAATTAGAAGCCATTTCCCTAATCCTCTTTAAAAGCCATCCAAGTTGGCGGCCATCACTGCCTGCCTCCTCTGGGAGCAAGTTCCATATGCACTGCATGAAGAAGGATTTTCTTTTATCTGTCTTGAACTTTCCAACTTTCAGTTTTATTGGATGCCCGTGAGTGGTAAGAGAGTTCCATCATGTCAAAGTGAAGTTACAGGAAACCAGGCAGAGGGCCTTCTAGGTGGTGGCGCCCGCCCTGTGGAACGCCCTCCCATCAGATGTCAAGGAAATAAACACTTTCTGACTTTTAGAAGGCATCAGAAGGTGGCCCTGTTTAGGGATGTTTTTAATGTTTGAATGTTTTATTGTGTTTTTAATATTCTGTTGGGAGCCACCCAGAGTGGTATTATTATAAATTATTATTCCTCACTTTTTCTCTAAAGTAAAAAATCCAACAACCCGTCTTAGTGATTATTATTACTTATCATTCAACAGCAACAAGAATATTGATTTACAAGCCATCTTTCTGAACCAAGTCCAGCCAGTGCAGATCGGAATAGGAACACAGAAATCTGAGCTTGCATCCCCACCCAGTCATGAAACTCATTGTCCTTGGGCTAGTCACTATGATCTCTGCCTAACCTACCTCACAGGGCTGTTGTGAAAATAGCATGGGCAGGGGAGAGGAAGAACCATATACACTGCCCTGAGCAGTCTGGAAGGAAAGTGGGATTTTTTAGGGTCACATGCAGTAAATCATGTGAATCTGGAATTCCCAAATGATAACGAGAACAAACGTTTAACCTTGCAGTCTTGTGCCGTGTCCTGGGCAAGAATGGAACTTGCTGGCTTCCCTGCTTGCTTGAGTCTTCTGCTTTGTGCTTCTAGCCAGCTGCCCAGGGACCGGGCTCTGCTCTCCTTTTCACCTGCGGATTCCAAAATGTGCTCCAGCTCCTTTATCTGCAAAGATTCCAGCGTGGAAATTTAAGGGTGATTTGATTCATAGAGGACAGAAAGGCATCTGGGGTTTTGCCTAAGCGTCTCCTCTCTGCTGATGGAAGGCACTTTGGCAAGGTGGATAAAAATCAATGATTAAAAATAAATAAATAAATAAATAAATAAATCAGATTTTAAAATTTAAATTGAATTTTTTAAAATAAATGCTTTTGGAGGAAAAATCTTTCTAAACATATTTCTATTTAAGTAACATTATAGTCCAAAGTTTCTCATGTGTGCTAAAACTCAGTCTACGGATTTTGTGTTTGTTTAACCACATCAGTTAACAAACATGGATGCATATGCTATAATGTTATTGTTTTAGTTAAATAAATTGTTTAAGTTTGTTATTAAGGAAATGATTATTTTTCTCCTTCCAATAAAGTACAGCAGAAAAGTTGTCCGAATACAGACCCTTCACTTATTAATCCTCACAATAACTTTATCATTATCTATTTCTAAGAGTATAACCAAATCAGTAATTTTTGATACATCTGTAAAAACTACTCTGAAAATTTATTATTCCAAAAATGAAACCTTCATCTGGTTGTAAATATGAAGATTATACCACCTTGAATGAGTCTTTCTGTAAAAAAAAAAAGGATTTAAATCAAGTCTTACCGACCAGTGATTTAAATCAATTTGATTTAAATCAAATCCACCCTGCACTTTGGTTCAGTGGAGGCTTCGCGCATGGTGTGGAGAGGACGGCAACTCCCTCATCTCAACCATTCCGGCTCCCCCCCCCCCCAGTCCAGTAGCTGGAACACCTTGGGAAGAAGCAGGGGACCTGACAGGTGGAAAATCACCTTCCTCTATCAGCGATTCTCAACCTGTGGGTCCCCAGATGTTGTTGGACTACAACTCCCATCATCCCTAGCTAGCAAGGCCAGAGCTCAGGGATGATGGGAGTTGTAGTCCAACAACATCTGGGGACCCACAGGTTGAGAAAGGCTGCTGGAAGAAGCCTGCGCTGGATCTCAGTGTCACTGGAGAGACACTGTTGGACATAAGACTTTTAAAACACCCTCTTTGGGAAACCGCCAAAGATTATCTACAGGTTTTGCATCCCACATTCCCACAACACACGTGGGGATCGTTCCTCACAACGGATGCACTAAATTGAATGCGGGAAGCTGGACATTTTGGAACCTTCCAAATGCTCAGATATCGCTTGTTGCATAGATTGGCCTGGTGAAACTGCAGGCAGAGGTCCTAAACCTTTATTAGTTATGCAGTTAAAGGCTTTTCAAATTCAGGTGCACCCATGTCCAGCTAAGTTATTTGGTACCTGAGGCAGAAAACCCCACAAGCACCTTTTCCCCTATCCTGCCAGTAAAATACAAATAAAGTAAAGTAAAGGTAAAGGACCCCTGACCATTAGGTCCAGTCGTGACCGACTCTGGGGTTGCGGCGCTCATCTCGCTTTATTGGCCAAGGGAGCCGACGTACAGCTGTGGCCAGCTGTGGCCAGCACGTACATGTGGCCAGCATGACTAAGCCACTTCTGGTGAACCAAAGCAGCGCACGGAAATGCCGTTTACCTTCCCGCTGGAGTGGTACCTATTTATCTACTTGCACTTTGACATGCTTTCGAACTGCTAGGTTGGCAGGAGCTGGGACCAAGCAACAGGAGCTCACCCCATTGCGGGGATTTGAACCGCCGACCTTCTGATCGGCAAGTCCTAGGCTCTATAAAATACAAATAAAATACAAATAGGAGCACATTAAATAAACTATTTTCTGCCCTTTCAGGACACCCCAAATTCTGCTCCCTGAGGCAGCTATTTGACTGCCTAAAGAAAGGGCTGGCCCTGCCTCACAGTGTTTCAGGGGGCTGAAGTGGAGAGGAAGTTGTGTTCTACTTCTCCTTGCGCCGCTCTGGATCCACAGGACTCGTTCTCTGTGCAAAGGAACTGCAAAGGACGGACAAACCTTTCCGGCCAGAGAGCCTCTCAACCGGTGCCACCGCAGATTCATTTCACCAAGACGCTCTGCAAACACCGTCCTCTCGTAACGCTTGTTCTTGACGTCGCACGTTGTCATCTGCAGCAGCGACTGGTTAACATAATCTACTACCCCCTGTTTGAAGTTCATTTCCATCTCGTACTCCTAGAAAAGTAAATACAACCCTGTCAGGAAAAGAAAAGGGCATTTCCCACGCAGAAAACGCCATTACCGCTTACTTTTATGGCATTTGAAATGGTGTTAACGCACAGAAGAACTATGACCCATAATCTCCGTGAATGTTTGTCCTTTGCTAATGCTTAAAAAGTGTGGGCTTGTAGGTTAATGCACTTGCTAGCTCGCTAATCCATCTGGGCAAAGATGGCATTTTCTTCTTGGCTTCCATATGCATGAGAATCTATCTTACTGTGGACTTAATGTGCATTTAGGGCTGCTGTGCTATGATGGAATGTTACTGCTACCAAGTGCACTCACAGGTGGCGGACAGTTGAAGAGCCTCGTATGGCATCTGTGAAGTAAGTGGGGTGGGAGTTTGGAGACCCATTGCAAAAGCATTTCTGGGCAAAAAGTGGCACAGTACCAGATGGAAGAGCTGCAGCTTAGTGGCAGAGCATGCGCTCTGAATGCAGAAGGTCCCAGGTTCGATCCCTGGCATCTCCAGGCAGAGGTGGCGATTTGAAAAGGGGAAATGTGTGTGCGTCTTATGGGGCGAATGGAGGCTGCGCAGCTTTCGCTGAAGCCAGCAGAGCAAGAGGGAGAGCTGCGCAGCGCCTCTTGTTGTGATGCCTTCACAGCGATGCACGATGAGGGACGGAAGGGAGCGCTTATGAAGCCCCTTCCATCCCTCATCCTGCTTCACTGAAGAGTGTCACTTCGTCTCATCTGCCTCCTCCAATCCCCCCAGCAGGGACAACGCTGCTAGGCGGCCAGCAGATCCAGCTTCCCCAAAGGGGCGGACGGACCGGCGGCTCCTTAGCCTGATCCTCCCTCCTCCTTCCTCTTCAGCAACATTTGATTCAGAATATTTTTTTTCTTGTTTTCCTCCTCTAAAAACTAGTTGTGTCTTATGGTCGGGTGCGTCTTATAGAGTGAAAAATACGGTATAGGGTGACTGGAAGAGGCCACACCAGGCAGATGCGATTCCCGATTTGGATTCTTCTGTTCTTGTCTGGCAAAGTGAATCAGCTTCTAGGACTCTCATACTTCTAGTGCCCTACTCACCTTGTATTTCTTAAGAAGGCTTTTCACTTGGCATGTGGGACTCTGAGCATTCACAGTAGCTTCAGCTCTTCTTTCTTGCTCCATCTGGTTCATCTGGTCCATTAATTCTGCGATTGCCTCATGAGACGGCAGCTTTGCCATCTGAAGCTGGTCAGAAATGATGCAATAACAACAACAGTCATACTTAATACCCCATCCATCTGGCCCAGTCACTCTGGGTCTCTCTCGCTCTTTCTGTTTACAAGGAGGGGCGATGGATTCATAAACTGTAGAAGACCCTTAACCAAAACCCAGACAAAACTAAATGGATTGGTTTGAGATACAAGGTCTACTGCTAATGGGAACTGGGCGTGGATAGGGGCAATGCATTCACAAACAGACTGAGGGAGGGATTGAGTCCTTTAATTAGCCGTTTCCTGACTGTATGTTTCAGTAGGGGCCCCCACAAGACAAAACGCTCCCCCCTGCAAACAAGCAAAAAATGAATTCCAGGCACATAGAAACCCAGCATTTCAGGGAGAAGGACTGTAGCCTAGCCTTCTCCCAAATATGTGCAGTTTTCTATGTGCAGGGATCAGGATGCAGGCATGGCCTTTCAGATTGCCTAGCAACATTCTCAATGAACAATCCCTAAGGCTCCCACATTTTGAAGCAGGAACAAACTTTTTAAAAAATGCATGAGTTGGCAAGTGGGGACCACGTATAGGAAGAGCGTGTACATTTTTAACTTTTAGGACAAGATTATTACTGCAAGTCAAAGCTGAAGGAGAGACATTGGGCTCTTTGCAGTGCATTATTTCAGTGGGACTTCAGCACACATGCCCCCCACTTGTTTTGATGGACTGCATCCTTGAGTTATATATAAATGCTTGCAATCAGTGACACATACAGAAGGTTAAGGAGGCTGCAATAACAGGAGCGTTTAACACCTGGATTTTGCTTTGGTAAGAAGGCACTGAATGCAAGAATGATTGGGCCACATAATTCGGCACTTTGCAATGAATACCCACAGCAGCCTATCGAGGTAGTTCAGGCCTGGAGGTTTTGGGATTCTGATTTGCTTTTGTACCTGGAGAAGCTTCTCCTGGATGCTTGGCAACTGAGCGATCAGGTCAGCCCATCTCTGGTCATACGTCGTCAAAGCTGACCGTAGCATTGCTGCATCGGATTGCTTAAGAAGCAAAAGCTGATTGCCGGTGCTTACGACTGATGACTTCAAGGAAGATTTATCATCAACCTCTGTAGAAAATGCCTAGGAGTACAATTTCACATGGGCATGACTTTCAATAAAAGAAAATAAATTTACTGTGGGAAGGGGAAGAATAGCTACATTGGCTGCATTGCATCATGAAGCCGGTTTTAACTGAGAAAAGTTATTCTCTCTTTTTCACGCAAAACACTACCATAAACAGAGAATGACTACGACATAGTTCACAGTGACAGAACCAAATTACACAGACCAATCCCTGCTCGGCCATTTCTCTTGCTAGGTGACCTTTAGCCTGGCACCATCTCTCTGTTTGGCCTACCATGTAGGGCAGATGTACAGATAAAATGGGGAAACCAGATGTGTCATTGTGTAGAGTCTGAATGCAACTTGACTGATACACAGAACTCAGAATCATCCAATGAGCTCGAGCTGTGGTTTGCTCCTCCCTTAACACCAAGCAAGCAAGACAAGACATCTTCAACTAATCACAGTTCCTTGTTGCATGTGAACTGGGAAACTATGGTTAGCAGCCTTGGGACAAGACAGATGTGTCATTGTGTAGAGTCTGCCAGTTCCTTGGTATTTCTTTTCAGCTCTTTGAGCCAAGAGCATCAGCCCTTACTTCCTCCCCCTGGGCTGTTGATCAGATGGCCATTGGAATGTGGGAATGGACTTGCTCCTGGCTGCCCTGTCCTTTTCAGCTGCATCCCTGCTTTATTGACTTCCTGCATGAACGGAGGTGCCAGGGAACAGTTGCCCCACACATCACCCAATGTAACCTACCCTGACCCTGGAGGGACAGTAGAAAACAAACTTGACTGATACACAGAACTCAGAATCATCCAATGAGCTCGCGCTGTGGTTTGCTCCTCCCTTAACACCAAGCAAGCAAGACAAGACGTCTTCAACTAATCACAGTTCCCTGTTGCGTGTGAACTGGGAAACTACAGTTAGCAGCCTTGGGACAAGCCAGGATATGAAGTCATCTAGGAGGTTTCAGATCTTGGCTTGTTCTGAAATCACGTAAGATGCAATGGGAAATGACTTTCTGGCATATTTGCTTGCTTGCATGAAGAGAGGAGAGAAGCAGATGCACATAGGGGTCTTAGTCTCATTCATATTTTGGCTTATTAGGCTGATACATGATTGTCTGAACGTGGCCACTGAATGGCAGGGGAAAGAAAATGTTGATTTTTTGAAGATGGCTTCAAAAAACAAGCATTAGATTAATTCCTAGATGAAATGCCAATTAAGTGTCGGAAACAAACAATAAGCAAAGTACCGTATTTTTCTGTGTATAAGACTAGGTTATTCCCCTAAAAAATAATGTCCAAAATTAGGGGGTGTCATACATGGGGGCGACTTATAGACGGAAAAATACAGTACATATCCTTCAGGGGTAGGTTAGCCGCTACTTGAAGATAATGAGCATAGAATAATATGGAACTTTGGCTTGATTCAGCATGGCAACTTCTGTGTTTTTAACAGTGCAAACAAATCTACGCATATCAATTCAGCTGTAAGCCACAAAGACACTGTTTCACTTACAATAAAGTCGCGTATACTGTTTCTGACAGTGTTCAAGTCCTGGGAGGCATTGAGTGACTGCTCCTTCCAGTCACGAATGCGCTGCTGAGCAGACCCCAGCCAGATTTCCAGCTCCTTTGAATCCCTGTTGTAGCTGCGAAAACAAAGCAAAGCTGGGATAATTCAGACTGAAATTCCCAGGTGTCAGAAAAGGTTATTTATGCATGCAACAACTGTGGCCCGTGTTTCGTTAGGTCAAAAATGGAAAATGAGTGAGGTCCCAACCAAAGAAGATTGGCAACTTAAGTTGTCAGAATATGCACAACTTATAGACTTAACCTATACGTTAAGGGAAGAAGAAGAACACACGTTTAAAGAAGACTGGAAAACATTTATTGAATATATGGAAAATAATTGTGTACAGCTGAAAACGCTGGCAGCATTAAGATAAATTCAACAGTGTAAATAAGTTTTGATGGATGTAATAATGGAAAACTGAATGGTATCGTTTTTGTAAAATATGCAGGGATATAAGATATGCAAAATGAACCATGGAAGGAGAAGAAGGGAAGTCATTGATATATTAAGTAGGTAAAGTATTTATCTGAAATGGTAAAACAGAAAATTTAACAAAAATCATATAAAAAAGAAAACAAACAAACCAAAGTTACAATTAGAATAAATGAAAGACCATAGCAGTCTCCACGTCACAGGTGGTGAAGATGGAATAAAAGCGTTAGGGGAAATGTTAATATAAACGTCCACTACGCAGTCACATTGAGCTATTGCTTGCTGCTGCAATGACTGCTCTGCAGCAGCCGTGATGGAAATGCCCCTCTCTCAAACAGCAACAAGGACAAAGTAGAACCAGGTGTTTTTGTCCCTATGGAATGGGTTATTCCTTCAGCTGGGCAGTCTTCTGTATGGCAGGTGAAGCCTGTGGGTGAGAATGATGTAAAATGCCCACTCCCCAAGTTTTAAGGCTTACTGTGACCGTAAAATACTAGGCTGAGGAACGTAGGAAAGTACCACACCTACCTGGACAAGAGTTTGAGCAACGTTTCAAGTCTCTGTAGCTCATGGGCAACTCTTTTGGAAAGAGAGGTCCACTGGTCCTCCAGCTTCTCAATCTGGACCTGCAATTCAGGACAGTTCACGAGTCCCATCAGGTTCTTCCCTTCCTTCACTACCTGACAATACCCGGCCTGCTCGCCTTCCATTTTCATTTTGATTTGCTAAGAAAGAGCACAAAGATTACACAGAGTTATAAGGGTGACAGGCTGTTGGCTTTAGTTTCAGGCTTGCCATTCGTTTTGGTAAGGAGTAATGGGGACGCGGGTGGCGCTGTGGGTAAAAGCCTCAGCGCCTAGGGCTTGCCGATTGAAAGGTCGGCGGTTCGAATCCCCGTGGCGGGGTGCACTCCCGTTGCTCGGTCCCAGCGCCTGCCAACCTAGCAGTTCGAAAGCACTCCCGGGTGCAAGTAGATAAATAGGGACCGCTTACAAGCGGGAAGGTAAACGGCGTTTCCGTGTGCGGCTCTGGCTCGCCACATGCAGCTTTGTCACGCTGGCCACGTGACCCGGAAGTGTCTCTGGACAGCGCTGGCCCCCGGCCTCTTGAGTGAGATGGGCGCACAACCCTAGAGTCTGTCAAGACTGGCCCGTACGGGCAGGGGTACCTTTACCTTTACCAGCATAATAATAATAATAATAATAATAATAATAATAATAATAATAATTTATTATTTGTACCCCGCCCATCTGGCTGGGTTTCCTCAGCCACTCTGGGCGGCTTCCAACAAAGATTTAAAATATATTAAAATATCACACATTAAAACTTTTAGTTTCCCACCAAAAACCTTCATGGAATTGATACACCAAAGTTTTGACTGCAGCAAATTGATAGCATGGATATCAATTATATTTATCACCCCAAATGCTGGCTTCTGTGTTAATGAAGGGAAGAGCATGGTAGCTCAGTGGTTGAGCTTGCAGAAGATCCCAGGTTTGATCCCTGGCAACTCCAGGTTAGGATCAGGAATCTCTCCCTGGGAAACTTTGGAGAGCTGCTGACAGTCAGTAGCTTGCAACAGTCTTCCAGAAGTTGTTGGACTGCAATGCCCATAACTCCCTGACAATTGGCCCCATCGGCTGAGGAAGATGGGAGTTGTAGTCCAACAACATCCAGAGGGCAGCACTACCCCAGAGCAGACAAAACTGAGCTAGATGAATGAATGGTCTGATTCTGTACAGGGTCGCTTCCAATGCTCTTGAGGGGCTTTGATTCCTTCCTGTGTCACCCAGCCCTCTCTGGTTCATCTTATTCAAACCATTAGAGCTGATCGATGGCTCATTTCCCCCCTATTTTCCTCAGAGCCTTTTCTTTGCATTGCCCACCTGCTTTATTTTCCTGGAACAGGTTCTGAATGCCCCTCCTGCTCTCCAACAGCGGGTGCCTTCTTCATTCCAGCTTCCTGCTGGGCATCTGGAAACTGAACCTCCCTGGAAGTATGGGGCCAACCGCAGCTGGGTCCCCACAAAGCCCCACCATTTTCTCACGCACCGCCAAATCCTAATGAGCCTCTGTCTTAAAGGTAAAGGGACCCCTGACCATTAGGTCCAGTCATGGCTGACTCTGGGGTTACGGCACTCATCTCGCTTTATTGGCCAAGGGAGCCGGCGTACAGCTTCCGGGTCATGTGGCCAGCATGACTAAGCCGCTTCTGGAGAACCAGAGCAACGTACGGAAACGCCGTTCACCTTTCCGCCGGAGCAGTACCTATTTATCTACTTGCACTTTGACGTGCTTTCGAACTGCTAGGTTGGCAGGAGCAGGGACCGAGCAACGGGAGCTCACCCCGTCGCGGGGATTTGAACCACCGACCTTCTGATCGGCAAATCCTAGGCTCTGTGGTTTATCCCACAGCGCCACCCGCGTCCCTCCTAATGAGCCTCTGCCTTAGGGCACTACTATAATCCCAAGGGCTAGAAGGGTCACATGGGCTGATGGGTCAGGGGAGGGGCCACGTGGTTGTGGGTGTGGCCAGAGCTGCGGGTGGGCGGTGCTTGGACTGGTGGCGAGTGGAACTGTTCACACATGCACAGTCAGGGGAGGGTCCCTTCCCGACACACACCCTCCGCAAAGCAGTCATGCCACCCAGTTCGAGGAGAAAGGTGTGCGAGCTTTGAAGAGCACAGACCTGGCAGGGAGGCAGCAAAAGTGGAAGTGGGAATGTGGCAGCTGCACAGGCCACGCCAAAGGCCTCCAGAGGTTGCCCGAAATTTGACAGGGTGTTTCAGTCCATTGATGACAACAGGCACAAGGTGGGTTACAAGATTCGGGGGGACAGGCAAGTACCTGAAGAAGCTGAGTCCTTTCCATCAGCCTTTCTTCTGTCTCTTCCACCAAACCCACAGAAGGCACAGAGGAGGACAACGCCTCAAGTTTTTGGCAGAAAGACCCATAGCCGTCATCAAACGCGATCCAGTCCTAAGGGAGGAAATGCATTTTTAGCAATGCACGTTATATTTAGGTGTTTCCTAATACCATTGTGTAAGAACCATGTCTACCACAGACGTATTTCTTTTTTCTTTTAAAAGAATTTGTATTAGTTTTTACATTTATTTTCTTTGCATAACATCATAACAACCTTTTTCCAAAAATAAAACATTTGGCTCCACGAGCCTGTGCCTTCCCTCCTCCCCGACTAATGGTTTTCAAACTTAACCTCTATACAGTGGTACCTCAGGTTAAGAACTTAGTTTGTTCTGAAGGTCCGTTCTTAACCTGAAACTGAAGCACCACTTTAGCTAATGGGGCCTCCCGCTGCTGCCGCACAATTTCTGTTCTCATCCTGAAGCAAAGTTCTTAACCCGAGGTACTATTTCTGGGCTAGTGGAGTCTGTAACCTGAAGTGTCTGTAACCCGAGGTACCACTGTACATTGCATTTTCCTGTATTTCTTATTCCTGCTAAATCTTATCCTTATATAATTTATTGCTTAACTACAATAAGTACAGTGGTACCTCGGGTTAAGTACTTAATTCGTTCCGGAGGTCCGTTCTTAACCTGAAACTGTTCTTAACCTGAAGCACCACTTTAGCTAATGGGGCCTCCTGCTGCTGCCGCGCCGCCGGAGCACGATTTCTGTTCTTATCTTGAAGCAAAGTTCTTAACCCGAGGTACTATTTCTGGGTTAGTGGAGTCTGTAACCTGAAGCGTATGTAACCTGAGGTACAACTGTAATAAAGTTATCCTTACAAAGCTTCCTGTAGCCCAACTAGCGATGTTAATTGTTTACAGTTGTCTTTCAAATATAAAATAAATTTGTTCCAATCTTTCTGGAAAGCTTGGTCCTGCTGGTTCCGGATTTTCCCCATCAGTTTCGCCAAATCTGCACAGTCCATTAATTTCATCTGCCACTCTTCTTTCGTTGGTAAATCTTCTTGCTTCCATCTTTGGGCTAATAACATTCTTGCCGCAGTTGTCACATATAAAAACAATGTTTTATCCTGCTTGTTTATTTCTCCACCAACTATACCTAATAGGAAAGCTTCTGTTTTTTTAAAAAATGTGTATTTCAACATTTTTAAAAGCTCATTATATATCATTTCCCAGGAAGCTCTCACCTCTTTACATGACCACCTCATATGATAAAAGGTACAGACGTATTTCTACTCCACAAGCCCCTTACCTGTAACAGTCTTTCCAAATAGGCTCCGTGCTGGACTGCTTGCTGTTCCAAACATTGGTATTCCTCTACCAGCTGACTCCATTCTTTCCCTCTCTCATGTAATCCTGAAGGTGCCATCTTTTCGGAACATATCTGCACCAGCTGCCTGTGGGCCTTGTTGCAGAAAAAGCTCTGGATTTAAAAAGGAAAGCCGCACTGAGGATAAACCAATGGATTCACATTTTAAAGAAACAAAAAACTGTGTCCTTATAGGAGACTTTTCTCCTTTCTTCTTGTTGCTGGTGCTGAAGAAGCAGACGGATAATCAGGCAGGAGGGAGGGGATTTGGAAGATGAGGGTTAGCTGGGCAGTGGGAGGACGTTTGGGCGTTTGCAGGGGATGCTAACGGGGGATTGGGTCCCGTTGTGCTCTCTCAGTTTTGAAAAAAGAAAGCTTTGTTTGATTAAATGTATTACAAATTAGTGGGGATGGGTGATCTGGCCACCACTAATTAAACAAAAATAAAATAAAAAATAGAGCCACATATTTTTTGCGAGCCTCAGATCCACTGATCACGCAGAGCAAACATACCGGTTGAGCAAAGATAAAGAATCTCTGACTTAGTAATGCAAGCACACAAATGTAAACGTTTAGACGCTGTCTCCCACCAAGTCAGACTATTGGCCTATCTTGCTCAGTCTTGTCTACAGCAGGGATGGGGAACCTGCAGCCCTCCAATACATTTACTGAACATGGGACCTGTGACAGGGCCTTTTCAGTGGTGGCTCCCTGGTTGCGAAATGCTCTCCTTAGTGAAGAGTGCCTGTCTGTCATCATTATCACCTTCCAGGAAGAATCTAAAAACATTCCTGTTTACCCAAGCGTTTGGGTTCCTGGCAGCCTCCAGATCACCGGATGGAAGAATGTTTTGATTGTAATTTACTTTAAAAGGTTCTTAACCGTAACTACTTCTAGATGGTTTTTTTTAAACTGTAATTGTTTCAGAATGTTTTAAATCTGCTTTAAAATTGTTTTTGCTTTGTTTTTAAATTTTATATTGGTTTGGCCTCCTGCGATCCTTGGGGAGGAAGGGTGACATATAAATTTAATAAAATAAATAAACAAGACGCTCAGTGGTTGAGCTGCAGGCTTTCCCCCTATTTGATCAATATGGAGAACCATTTTCACCTTAATGCCTCATACAAAGCTGTATTTCCATCCGCAATGCATCCTCCTTCCTGCCCACCTGCACCACTTTCTACTTTGAAGAGGTAAAATTGCAGCCTCTTTCGTCGGATCGGAAGCAGAAGTGACTAACTGCTTCTCTTAACTTAACATTCAAAACAGCCAAGGAGGAATCGTTTCGTGTTTGTGCCATCTTTCTCCTGGGCAGTTTGTAAACATTAATCTTCATTAGCGGCGCTGTATTTTACGTCTGGCAAAGTAATTACAGCAACGGCTGGATTTCTCTGATTATCCATATTGCAATACGCACAGACAGACCCCACCCCACAAAATACCTTTGCTCATTTGTGATGACAATTATGTTAAGAGCTGAAAGTGGGAAATAAACATGAAATGCAGCTAAGCTCTCCCTTATTTTACTGCTCTGTGGGAAGTGCTTCATCTAGTCTTATACATTTCGTTTCACATACTGCTTTCTCCCATCACAGGGATGGGAGCGAGATTAGATTCAGTTCACTTTTCACAGCCAAATGTATCAAATACACACTTTCAAAGAGACTTGAGAACCACAACGCAGCCATCCTTCGAGATTTGCCCTCATCCGAATTTCACAACCAAACAATGTTTACAAAAATGAATGTATTTGGGGTAAACGTGCATAAAAATGACTATATCAGGGGAAAATAGCATTGCAACAGGATAAAATGCTTACAAAAATGCGTGACATTAGCTAAAACTCCACTATTGAGAATTCCAATGTTTAATTTTGCAAACCACTTAAGAGGTTTGTTTGCAATCAGGTGGTATATCAATTTTGCTAAATAAAAATACAAAAATTCACACTAAAATGCAGAATGATTTTCATAAGGATTAAAATAACAACAACTTGCAAACTGCTGCAGAAATGTGGAGAACTGAATTTAAGAGTGGGAGATTCAGAAACAGAGAGAAAAACCCTGACAGATCCTTCCATCCCTACTTCCAAAGAACTCAGGGTGGAATAGGTCAGAAGTCCCAGGCAATCTCCCATCTCTAATACTTTGCTTCAGATTTTTGTTTGCTACAGATCTCAAGGAGTAATAGGAATCCATCAATATTATCTGGAAATGGAGAGGGGGGAAATCACAGGACCTCAAGTTATTTGAGCAGAAAGCCAGTACCTTGTGGTTTTGTAGATGAAACTGTAAAGTAGTTCGACTGGTAGCTTTTAGCTTAATCTCTTGAGCAACTTTCTCTCGCCCAAGATCTGAGAGCTCAGCTAATCCCTGCAGCAAAGCTTCATATTGTTGCTCGCTAATAAATGGAGAGGTCAGCTCCTTCTGTTTGTCTTGCAGGATCTCCCAAAGGTCATCTAACACATCCTGGAATTGAAACAAGTTCTAATTAATGTGTTTCTTTCGGTTGTTTGCGTTGAAATTATCTGACTAGCAACCAGAGCTTAGCCCAGTAGATATAATGATACGTCGTTAATACAGTGGTACCTCTGGATACAAACAGGATCTGTTCCGGAGCCCCATTCCGGAACACGTTCCGTTACTTCCGGGTCACCGCAGAGCGCAACCCGAAAGCGCTCAACCTGAAGCAACTTCAACCGGAGGTATGACTGTAGTCTACAATCTTTTGTTGATCAGACTGGTCAAGCCAAGAGCTGTAGTCACTACCCCCAGGACCAGTCCTCTCCAGACAAATGCCCCTGGCCATAATAATAATAATAATAATAATAATAATAATAATAATTTATTATTTATACCCTGCCCATCTGGCTGGGCTTCCCCAGCCACTCTGGGCGGCTTCCAACCGAATATTAAAATACAGTAATACATCAAGCATTAAAAGCTTCCCTAAACAGGGCTGCCTTCAGATGTCTTCTAAAAGCTTGGTAGTTGTTGTTCTCTTTGACATCTGGTGGGAGGGCGTTCCACAGGGCAGGCGCCACTACCGAGAAGGCCCTCTGCCTGTTTCCCTGTAACTTGGCTTCTCGCAGCGAGGGAACTGCCAGAAGGCCCTCGGCGCTGGACCTCAGTGTCCTGGTAGAAGGATGGGGGTGGAGATGCTCCTTCAGATATACTTTATAGGAACATAGGAAGTTGCCTAGATCATTTGTCCATCTACTTAGTATTGCCAACTCTGATCGGCAGCAGCTCTCAAGGGACAATCCCCAGTGCTACCTGGAGTTGTCAGGGATTGAATCTGTGTGCAAAGAGGATGCTCTGCCACGGAGCTGTGGCTCCTTCTGCGGAAAGTGCCAGTGAGAGGTGTGCTGTGCAGGGTACCACTATTTGAAGGCTCCTCAGGTGTCTTCAGGCAGCCATGTCTAACCACCCCGGCTCACCTTTCCTACAGAGGTATTGCAACTAACAGAAAAATGACCCCTCTCTTGGCAATCCTAGCGCTGCCTACCCTGCAAGCTTTCTGGCATGAGATCATCAGATGTGAGTAAGGAAAAGATTTGGCCTTAAGACTGCATTCTTAATTACACTTAACAAGGAGCAAGCCCCACTGAACCTAGTGGGACTTACTTCCAAGTACACCTAAGTTTTCATTATGAAGTTGCTTTAAAAGAAAAGAAAAGATTGAAGGCTTAAAGTGAAGTTAAATAAGACTCCCGGGTGCTTTTAGCCAAGAACTGAAAGGTTATTTTCAAATTATGGTATCTTCCTATATATGTAAAACGTAAGGTTGTTGTCATGCTGCGATTCCTGTAGCTGCCAACAGGCAGCCATGTCAACTCCAGCGAGGCAACAGAATGGTAGGCCAAATCTTTATCAGCACTGAGCTTTGATAAAGCCAGCTTGCTGAATTAGTTAAGCCAAACCTTCAGCAAGGAATCATATATGTGTCCCGGTTCTGAAAAGCAGTCTCTTGTATGCCTGGAAACCATCTCCTGGTCCTGAATGGGGATGTAGATCCATCGCTTATGAATATGTACCCTCCACTACACTGCTATTCTCATCCCAGCACTCGTTGAACTTGCTGGTGTAAATCTGCAGTCATCAATTGCTGGCTCAGGGCCAGGCTGCTTATTAACGGCATTGTTTGCTTGAATTTGGGGGCCTTTTCCAGGACGTTTTGCAACATTTAAAGTTCTAGGAAACACACTTTTCAAATAACCATTCATGTTTCAAATAACTGCTCACATTCGTTTTTAGCAATTATCTTTTCTGGCCCACCCATCCACCTTACGGCATTCCCCAAATGTTAGGACCAGCTGTATTTAATGTTGTTCATTTCCACAGATACTGATAGTACTACACACATGTTATTTACTCAGGAGTCTTTACCTCTAGTTTATGCACGTCATGGATTAGGGCAACAGGGACATGACCTCTTAGTTTAGCAGTCTGCATCTCAAAGTTTTGCATTTCCAACTCATGGGCGTCCAGCCTCTGAATGAAAGAATGAGATGATTTGAATTTAAGGCTACGATCATTGGCAGCAGTTATATTTCAAGTCAGCTGAAGGTCCCAACAGTGCTTAACAAATTTGCAAATTACACCTGTCAAGTAGAGGGATGAAATTGTAGCCCCAAACACAAACAGGAAGGAGAGAAACAGACAAGAAAAATCACATCTAGTAAATCAAAGTGGCATCACTGGAGTGGTTTTTTGTCTAGAAAAAGGAACAACATCTTAATCTACTAGTGGCCATGCCAACAAAATCTTGCCAACTGGAGTGCTTCTCTCATCAGTGTTCCAGCAACCGGGCATACGCTCTTCCTTCATAGTCTGTTTCCCCTTTTCTCCAATAACTAACAAAATAATATTTTGTGTCTGCTGAGCAGGTTCAGTCTGCACTGGGCCATTCTGGAGAGGAGAGTTGCCTCCTTGGTTCCTGCCAAAAACTTTTTTGTACCTCTACATACCTTGGGGAGGTATCTGCCCGAGCATATTGACTCCTTCCCCTCTTGTTTTTGTAGCTTTTTTGTGCTTTTTGTGCTTTGGTGTCTCAATGGGCAGGCTGGTACAGCCCCTTCTCGTTTCTCAGCTTTTGGCTACAGTGTTGTCGGAACGCACCACTTGTGTTCACTATTCAAAGGAGTGTAGAGTGTAGCCTAGAAAGCCAGCTGCTGCTGTGACACTTTTTGCCAGGAAAGGATTAGTCTTTTGTGCCTTTTTCGCAAGCGCAAAGAAATTTGTATACAGTGGACGCTCGGGTTGCGAACGTCATCCGTGCGGGAGGCACGTTTGCAACTCACAGCATTTGCAACCCACAGTGCCGCAGGTTGTGATTCGGTGCTTCTGTGCATGCGCAGAATGTGGTGCTTCTGTGCATATGCACGACTGTCAAAACCCGGAAGTAACCCGTTCCGGTACTTCCGGGTTTCAGCGCGTCCGTATCCCGAAAACATACAACCTGAAGCGACTGTAACCCGAGGTATGACCGTACTTAAAAGAACCTCAAGGCCAAAGTTATGCATTATACTATTATTATACTATTATTAGCATTAAACCAATTTATAAACTGCTTCACAGCATTGATGCTTGAGCTGGATGCTTGAGCTGAGATTCCTGCGCTGTAGGGGCTGGACCAGATGAACCCCAAGGTCCCTTCCAACTCTACAATTCTACGATTCCATGAAGCAGTGCTCATGGTAGAAATGGAATAAAAAGCCAGAGAAATATAAGCTCAAAAAATGATAAAATCAGCTCACCAACTGCTGAAACAGAGGTTCTCAAAGGGTGTGGCAGGAGAGGGGGGCAAGTGAGATGGGAAAATTAAAGGACAATCAAAGAAACATTTGTATCAATTTGTATCAAAAAATTTATTTTATTTGGAGAATATGGACATCTTTTCAAAATGAGAGCATCAAGCGATACTGAGGACAATCCTACTTGTGATCCAGAATCACAAATCCAGCACTGCTAGGAGTTTTATTCTTGTTTTCCAATATAGGTAAAGGTAAAGGGACTCCCGACCATTAGGTCCAGTTGTGGCCGACTCTGGGGTTGCAGCGCTCATCTCGCTTTACTGGCCGAGGGAGCTGGAGTCCAGCTTCCGGGTCATGTGGTTAGCATGACTAAGCCGCTTCTGGCAAACCAGAGCAGCGCAAGGAAACACTGATTACCTTCCTGCTGGAGCAGTACAGTGGTGCCTCGCAAGACGAAATTAATTCGTTCCGCAAGTTTTTTCTTCTTGCGAGTTTTTTGTCTTGCGAAGCACGGTTTCCCATAGGAATGCACTGAAATTCAATCAATGCGTTCCTATGGAAACCGACTTCAGACCAGGTCCGGGGACAGTCTGTCCCCCGACCTCTTCTGAAGGCTGGGGGGCGGGACAAGGGCTTTTCTTCCCACCCCCAGAATTTTAAAAAACCCCGGGACAGCGGAGACTTCTCCGCTGTCCCGGGGCGATCTTAAAATGCTGGCGGGCGGCAGCGAAGCCTCCGCTGCCGCCCGCCAGCATTTTTAAAAACCCCGGGACAGCGGAGGACTTCTCCGCTGTCCCGGGGAGATTTAAAAGCCCCCGGGAAGGCAGGCAGGGGGGAGCAAAGACTTTTGCCCCCCGCCGGCCTTCAGAAGAGGTCCTGGACCTCTTCTGAAGGCCGGCGGGGGGCGAAAGTCTTTGCTCCCCCCCGCCTGCCTTCAAAAGCCATCCGGGATAGCGGAGAAACGAAGGCTGGCGGCGGGAGGAGGTCTCTCCGCCCCGCCACCAGCCTTCGGAGGAGGTCCGAGGACAGTGGGGAAGACGAGCTGCACTTCCCCGCTGTCCCGGAGATTTCCCTATGGGCTTTCGTCTTGCGAAGGAAGCCCATAGGGAAATTCGTTTTGCGAAGCGCCTCCAAAACGGAAAACCCTTTCGTCTAGCGGGTTTTCCGTCTTGCGAGGCGTTCGTCTTGCGGGGCACCACTGTACCTATTTATCTACTTGCACTTTGATGTGCTTTTGAACTGCTAGGTTGGCAGGAGCATGGACCGAGCAACGGGAGCTCACTCCGTGGCGGGGATTCGAACCGCCGACCTTCTGATCAGCAAGTCCTAGGCTCTGTGGTTTAACCCACAGCGCCACCCGCGTCTTAACATTTTCCAATATACTTCTCATCAATAAAAAAAATTCTGTGTAGTGTGAGCAAATTTCTGTTTTGAAAAGTGTGGCCCAGAGAAAAAAGTTTGAGAATCACATTGCTATAAAACAATAAAACCATCTCTACAAATTCTAAAAAACAATGAAACGAATTCATCAGATGCAGAGCTGATCTTCCCTAAATGACTGCCTTCCTAAACGAACAGGTCTTCAGCAGGTGCCTGGACGCCATCACAACCTCTTGATAACTGGCACTGAGAAGGCAGGACAGCGATGAAACTCTGTCCGCACAACCCTACAGGCCGCTACTGCCCCCAGAAACTGGCCTGAAACACGGTCATTACTGTTACCATTAAGCTCAGGGGGGAAACAAAAGCGTCGCTCCAGTTTTGGAAAACAAAACCGCAAATAAGAGAAATTAGGTAAAATTGTCGAGTGATTGTGCCTTATATTCATATGTCCTGTTTAATTACCTGGAGCTGTTCGGAGATACTGTGTTCGCTCGTTGCGCCGAAGGACTCTTGCAGTAAGGATTTTTTCATAATCAACCTACCATACAATCGCCTGATTTCATTCTGTGACGGGGACGAGCGAAAAACCGAAGTGAACCCAGAGGTACACGATACAGAATGAAAGGATAATTAAACTGCAGTTCAACCGGGCTATTTAATCAGCATCATTCTTTAAATACATACATATGCACAGAGAAACAGAGTGTCCTGGAATTACCTGTTCTTGTAATAAAATAAAAATACAATAAAATGATGCCCACTTTTGTAATCACTGACTAATCTGCATCAGGCTTGGGCCCATTAGGGAGGTCAAGGATTAAATCATCCCTACAGGAGATATGATTTAGCTCAGCGGTAATGAAGGACTGTCTCAAATTTGAGACTAATCCAGGCAAGCTTCTTTGTGGGCAGGGTGTGTGTGTGTCTGTGTGTGTGTGTGCGTAGTGAAATTGAAGTTTCCTCTCCTAGCCACCAGACATATCTGTTCCACCTCTAAGGCCTGCTGAATATCCATATGAGTGTAATAATAATAATAATAATAATAATAATAATAATAAAAACAAAAAAAATTCCTTCCAGTAGCACCTTAAAGACCAACTAAGTTAGTTCTTGGTATGAGCTTCTGGAATGGCTTACGTTCGAAAACCGAGGTTCCCCGGTACAGTGGTACCTCGCAAGACGAATGCCTCGCAAGACAAAAAACTCGCAAGACAAAAGGGTTTTTTGTTTTTTGAGCTGCTTCGCAAGACGATTTTCCCTATAGGCTTGCTTCGCAAGACGGAAACGTCTTGCAAGTTTGTTTCCTTTTTCTTAACACCGTTAATACAGTTGCGACTTGACTTCGAGGAGCAACTCATAGAACGCGGTGTGGTAGCCTTTTTTGAGGTTTTTAAAGCTTTTTGAGGTTTTTGAAGCTTTTCCAAAACTTTCCCGACACCGTGCTTCGCAAGACGAAAAAAATCGCAAGACGACAAAACTCGCGGAACGAATTAATTTCGTCTTGCGAGGCACCACTGTAGTTGTTAAATGTAATGTGCCCATAAAACCCAACGAACGTACCCCAAATTACAGAATCAAGTCTCATATTATATGATTTCAAATGAAGAGGCCATGCTTTCCTGAAGAGTCCCCCAAATTTGATCGTGCATAATGTAAGTTGGTGCAACATCATTTAATGGGGGTGGGGGGATTGCAGAAATATGGCATGCCTCTCTCTTGTGAGATGCAACTTAGATGGGCACCAGAGAATGGAAAGGAATACAATTGGGAAGTACCTGATATTGACTGTACTGGTCCAGCTCAGCTTTTATGGACTTGCTCCTCGAAGAAGCAGCTGCTTGGGTCGACTGCAGCCACGACTGCAAGTTGCTAAAACACTCGGAGAATCTATCAGCGTTACCACCAGCAGAGGCAATGGACCTCAGAAGGTCATCCTTTTTCTCACCAATATCCGCATGAAGCTTTTGCAGCTCTGCGGAGAGAGTCTGGAAAGAGAGAGAAAAAAGAAAATGAGAAAGAGGCTGGTAAACATGGTTTTGTAAAAGGAATGGCAGGAATTCATCAAATCTGAAGTAAAAAGGACCTTATAAGGATACAATCATCCACTACTTTTGAGCTTGATCACTCTGTGTTCTCAAGCAAGAGACCTGGGCTTTTTGCCTGTCGTGACTTTAGCTTGCACCGTGAGAAGGAAGGAGGGAAGGAGGGAGGGAAGGAAGGAAGGAAGGAAGGAAGGAAGAACAAATCTTGGGTTTCCCCCAGGCATGCTGCTATTACCATCTCAGTTACCCATTTTTAGCCACAGTCTTGTTGGCACTTAGCTAAATCGGCCCTTCTTCTTAACTTTACCACTGCCACATCCACCTCCACTAACAAACCCCTTGAAATTCAGAATAGCCTCAAAGAACTGGGGCTCCCGGAGTTTTGTGAACTACATCTTCCATCAGTCCTGACCAGCATGCTGGCTGGGGCTGCGGGGAATTGTAGCCCAAAACAGCTGGAGGGCCCAGGGTTGGTACAGGCCACTTTGGAACTTCGCTTTTTAACTGGCCCCAGCTAACTCTCTATAGTGGATGGAACTGCAAAGATTGCAGTGAAAATTATATATATATTATTATTCTTCTGCGATCACTCGTAGCCGAGTAAGATTGTCTTCCATAAACACGGTTTTAACAATGAGTCCGTAAGTGACTGTGGAGGCCAATTCTGGATCCACACATCCTTCCACAATGGGGCCATTAGTTTCCGGTTGGGAGTTGATCCCAGTGTGGATTTGCCAAGTGTGCCTTCCTCTTAGCACGTTTCGACTTTGAGTGTCTTCAAAGCCCATGACACCTTTGGTAAAGGCCGTTCTACAACTGGAGCGCTCACAGGCCAGTGTTTCCCAGTTGTCAGTGTATATACTACATTTTTTTAATATATACACAGGGGAATCCCCGCTTACATGGGAGTTCTTTTCCAGGACATGCATAAGTCCGGTCCAGTCTGCCATCGCCCCATTTTGCCCCACCCACTGTTGGCACCAAAAAAATATTGTGTTGCCTGTATGATCAGGAAAGCAGAAATCAATCCAATCTGGATATTAATGTTTTTACTCTGAATTATTTTGCAATTTCTACACATAAATCATGTGGGGCCCTGAGGCTACTGTCGTTCAGATACCTTTAACCAGCAACCCTCAAGAATATCTGGCATTTTCCAGTCTTTCAAGCATATCTTTACAATCTCGAGGGCTAAAAGATTGATTTCCCGTCTACCTTTTTTTCAAACAAGAGCTGGTATTTTCAGGAAGCCAGATCTTGCAATTTGCAACCAATGGCACGAGACGCGCTTTCTCTGTGCAGAACACAGCTCTTGCTCTTGAGAAATCCACGTATCAGCCTTTGCCAACCTGGTGCCCTGCAGATGTTTGGGACTGCAGCTCACACTAGCCCAGACGCTCCTTATTTACCTCATAAAGCATCTGTTGCACAGGAGCTTCTTCACTGGTGAGTTCACACGTGTTTAACATCTGCTCCATGTCGTTCAGGCAGCGGCTGATCGCCAAAAGCAGCTCAAAGAGCTTCTGGTCCAAGCTTAAGGAAACTTCCCCCGTCACATTTTCCTGGAAGATGTGGAGATGCTGTTTCTCAGTTTCCTCTGAAGGCTTCATTCAATCAATCAATCAATCAATCAATCAATCACAAACTCACTCACTCACTCACTCACTCACTCACTCACTTACTTACTTTTCCCCAGACCGCATGGCTGACACAAAGGAAAACAATTGCAGATAAAATGCAAAAAGCTAAAACAAAACAAAACCCCTCTCACGCCCACAAGCCTTCATAAGTCACCACTGCCTTTAAACATAACAACCATCTCATTATGTTTATTAGGCATTCATTTTCACTTATTGTTAAGCACCTTGGTGGCCTGCTGTTAGGCAGAAAAGGGTGTGGGTGAGGCTTGAGGCCTGACAGGAGCTGTAGCCTGCTGGGTGATAGGCAGCAAAACATGGAGGGTATTTATGGAAGGTTGCAATTTTGGGCTGGTCTATGGTTAGATGAAAGAGAGAGAGGGAGATGGAGAGAAAGAAGCAAGCAATGGAAGATACAAGAGTATTACGTACTGGAAGCTTTCAACAAAATGGCGGTCTTGTCATTTCAAAGCAAATCAGCATGTAAAATGCAGATCCCACCCTTTTGGCCTTGTTGTCCTTTAAGGGTTGCCTCACACTGCTGGCAGAATACCCCTACTACAGTGGAACCTCAGGTTAAGTACTTAATTCGTTCCGGAGGTCCATTCTTAACCTGAAACTGTTCTTAACCTGAAGCACCACTTTAGCTAATGGGGCCTCCTGCTGCTGCCGCGCCACTGGAGCCCAATTTCTGTTCTTATCCTAAAGCAAAGTTCTTAACCTGAAGCACTATTTCTGGGTTAGCGGAGTCTGTAACCTGAAGCGTATGTAACCCGAGGTACCACTGTATAGAAACAAAGTCTCTTACAACCACCCTTTCCTTGAGCTCCTGTCCCCGCCCCCCCCCCCGGGTCAAACTAGATGCAGAACCATTTGCACAATTAGCAATTTCGCAAATGGCTTTTTTAAAAGGTAATTTGCAGACGTGAGACTCCAGAACTAGACTAGGACCCTGGCATGTCGGAGGCTTTAATTCTCCCCCACCCCATGCCCCCCATATGGAACATCCCCTCTACGCCTACTCTTTAGCACTGGGGGAAAAGATCCCGTTTGCTCTAATGGGATTTCTCACACACACACACACACACACACACACACACACACACACACACATATCAATAGATGCTGCGCTCTGCCAAGGCTCTGGATCTTGCCCACCAGCCACGCCGGCAATTTATGTAACTCGGGAGGGGGGGGGGAGAATGCATTTAGTACCTGTGTCTGAACAGACGCTTCTTGGCTCAGATTGCCAAGCTGTGCCGTGTACGTTTTCAGCTCCTCGACGGTTGGAGTTCTCACACTCGCTGTGGCACCCTTGGGTAGAATATTTATTTTGGTAGAGATCTAACATTTGGAAAAGCAAAACGTGTTTGGACAAATGCTCCAGATTAAACTCATGGTGATACAGAATGTTCTTATAACAGCAGCGACTAGCTAGCTACAGCTAGCTACAACATAAACCAATATTAAGTTCACCATCTTGGAATGGACACAGAGGTGACCATTCTTTGTAGGTGGCGTGAAATCTGCTCACAACAAGAGCCCAGCATCTGCTGTGTCCGCATTGATCTGTGCCAATGAACATGTCTACGTATGGCTGAAGCTCTGTCAATGTGCGTTCTAGTTTTTCAAGGCGATAAACCCAACTTGGTAGGCACCTTTCAAGTATTTGGGTGTTTCAGCCTTTAGACATAAGACTGATGGTTTAACCTGAGGAATAGACCATTTAAGAGGGTCCCCTGCAAACGTTTGAAGGGTTGTCATGTAGGTGATGGAACAAATATCATTCCGTTGTTCCAGACAGTAGGGCCTGAACTAACAAGTTCAAATGACAAGAGCTGGGATTGCAACCAAAATTAAACAAGGATTCTCAGGTAACAAGTTGATCGACAGCAGAATAGACTACCTGGGAAGGTACAGGACTCTCCTTCGCTTCAGGTTTTTAAGCAGAGGATGCTATAGCTATGGATCTCCTGCCTTGGCAGACTAGATGATATTTCGAGGTGCCATTTTGATCTGTGTTGCCCTCTTCTTCTCTGACATGGGGACCATATTGCTGACCTATTTCAAACACTTACTATTAAAAAAATCTGAAAGTCTTAGACACACCACTGTTGATTGTGTACATACTTGTCTCTTTTGTCTCACTGTCACCTTTTTGGTCACAGGGGTTTTGCAGATTTGTGAAACCAATCCCTCCCAACACAGATGACTGGGGCCCAGTGCAGACAAAGCATATCCTCATGGCTAAGAAGTTGGAAATATGCTACGACGACTCTCTATCTCTCTCAGGCTCCATCTGCACTAAACATTTAAAGCAGTATCATACTGTTTATAAACAACCAAGGCTTCCCCCAAAGAATCCTGGGACATGTAGTTTGGTAAGGGTGCTAAGAATCATTTGGAGACCCAATTTCCCTCCCAGAACTACATTTCCCAGAGTTCCATGGGGTTGATTGTTAAACCACTCTGGGAATGGCAGCCCTGTGAGGGGAACAGGGTTCTCCCACGACTCTCAGTTCTCTTAATAGGAGGACTCCCTTGCTCAGCGCCTGAGGGCCCCAGTCCTGCTACTCACCACCTGGCCTAGGGCAGGGCCTGATGGGCTCTATAAAGGACTGCTGCCGCTGCTGGGCAGAGGGCTCCATTTTGTTTTGTATTTGTTTAAATTGCTGTTATTTTTTACATATGTCATTTTAAACTGTGATATTAATGCTGTATTCTTAATTTTAGATTTTGATTTATGCGGAAATTGTTTCCCATTTGGCTGTGTATTTTTTTTGATGTGGTTTATTTATTGTTTATGACTTTTGTAATTATGTAGACCAGCATTCTGTTCTCACATTGGCCAACCAGGCGTCTGGAGGAAGCCTGCAAGCAAGGCATGTGTGCAACAGCACTCTGCCCACCTGTGACTTCCAGCTACCGGTATCTCCTCTGACAGCAGAGGCAGAACATTTTCCTAAAAGTACTGCTGCAAAGGGTTGGCACAGAGGGTCAAAAGTGTTAGAATTGCTGCTCTATGATTGCAGTCATAGGATTGTTGTCTTTCACATGACGTGATATGTTTTGACTCCACAGAGTGGGAAGTGACGAAGACAGGATGTTTGTGTTACTGTGTTCCGTGAAGTGGGACTATTGTCCTTTGTTATTTTTCTCTTTGCTGTCTGATGCTAGAGAGAGAGGGAGCCATGTTGCAGTGCTCCGTGTGTGTTTATATGTAAATAAAGCAGATTAGCCAAAATGCTGAGTTGCTGAGGTCTGTCACGCATGATGCGCAAACTCTGCGGATCCCTAAGTGTACCGGTGTCGGTTAGCATCGGTGGCTGTGATGTTCGGGCCGAAGAAAGCCTTTGAAGCTCCTGAACGATCGACTAGGAGGGAGGGAACATGCCAGTCGGGCATGTGTCTCTGCCAGGGTTCTACTTGAGTGTAGGCCGAACTCCTGACAAAAAGGTGTATAATACTGAGCCGAAGGAATTTGCCAGCTGTTGAAGTGCCACAGCTCTTGTCTTGTTTTTGCTGCAACATACTAACACAGCTATGCCTCTGGAAATTGTTGTTATTATGGGATGGGCGAATTAGTGTACTAACCTGAGATTCAGGGAACTGACAGTGAGGAGGGTTCACTTTGAAGAGCAGCTCCTCCTGCAAATGTTGCCACTTGTCCCCTGCTTGGTCCTTGGGAATCAGACCAAGGGGCTCACTTCCAGAGCTGGGTGCCTCGTGACTAGATCGGCGCATCAGACTGCTATGAGATAAAATAATCAAGAGAAAAACCAATGGCTCTCAGTATAATACTGTTTACAACACAGTCTGGTTTACTTCACCTGCTCAAAGAGAGGAAGTATCCAAAATCTGGGCTTTCACTAAAGCTGACAACCTGAACCCAAATATATTTATTTGATTTCTTACACATCCTATACCCTAAGGTCACAGAGCAGGTTATCGCAACAAAATATACCATTATAAAAGCCATAAGTCAATGAAAATGTAAAAAAAAAAAACTATTGAAAACAGCTCCATTTATTTATTTATTGTATGCACATCCACCTTCTTTCCTCCAGGAGTTCAGGGCGGTTTATGTTGTCCTCCTCCCTTGTGAGGTATGTTGTGATGGACTACAACACCTATCATGCATGGCCAGCTTAGCCCAATGGCAAAGGATCATGGGAATTATAGTCTACCCATATCTGAGGGCCCAAGGTTGAAGAACACTGGTCTACACTGACAGGCAGTGATTATCCAGGTTTTCAGGCAAGGGGTCTCTCCCAGCCCCAACTGGGGATTGCTGGGGACTCAATTTGGGATTGACTTTCCGCACGCAAGGCAGATCCTCTCGCAACCCAACTCTATGTGCCTTTGCCCAGAAGCAGTTTCCTTGCAAACTTGGGGAGTGCTTTTTTTTTTTTTTTTACCTTGCTTGCAATTCCAGAGTTTTGCTATCCCCAGATTGCGGCTGCATCTTCTCCATGTACACGTCAATGAAGTCAACAAGACTGTTTTGTTCTGACAGCTGCAGCAGCAGCTCCTGCAAGTGAGGAAGAGAAACAGAGGAAAACTCAAAACGTGGAAAAATTGGGGTTTTCTGAAAGCGATGTCTTGCCCCCTTTCACTGTCTTGGTGGCAGGAGCAGTATGGCTCAGACTGGGAGCCCTGAGGGTAGGGGACTGGTTTCCTCCTTTGCTAGGATTTCTAGACAGAGAAGAAAGCTGAATACAGTTGCTGTTGTTAATCCTGATGATAACAACAGCCTCATACTGACTCCCTTCACCAGCAGGCCCCATGGCTGGTTACAACAACCTAATGTTAAAAATTACAGTCACTGGAATAGGGCATGCCCTGAAAACACACGCCTCAGGTGTTAAAAGGCCAGGTGTGTCTTCAGCATTTGCCAAAAGCTGCATAGTGATGATGCCAGACATGTCTCTTGTGGCGAGGGCACTCCACAATTTTGGGGTGCCAAAGAGAATTCTCTCTTCTTGGCCACCCACCGAATTTCTGAGGGAGATAAAACTCCCAAGAGCATGGGTGGGCAAACTAAGGCCCAGGGGCCGGATCCGGCCCAATGACCGTATTTTTTGCTCTATAAGACGCACCAGATCACAAGACGCACCTAGTTTTTGGAGGAGGAAAACAAGAAAAATATATTCTGAATCTCAGAAGCCAGAATAGCAAAAGGGATTGCTACGCAGTGAAAGCAGCAATCCCTCTTGCTGTTCTGGCTTCTGGGATAGCTGTGCAGCCTGCATTCATTCCATAAGACGCACACACATTTCCCCTTACTTTTTAGGAGGGAGTGTCTTATATGAGTCTTATAGAGCAAAAAATATGGTACCTTCTAAATCTGGCCAGCGGACGGTCCGGGAATCAGCGTGTTTTTACATGAGTAGAATGTGTCCTTTTATTTAAAATGCATCTCTGGGTTATTTGTGGGGCCTGTCTGGTGTTTCTACATGAGTAGAATATGTGCTTTTATTTAAAACGCATCTCTGGGTTATTTTGGAGGCATAGGAATTCGTTAATTTCCCCCCCAAAATATAGTCCGGCCCCCTACAAGGTCTGAGGGACAGTGGATCGGCCCCCTGCTGAAACAGTTTGCTGACCCCTGCCCAAGAGGGTCCCCTCTTTACCGAACTTAACAGTGTATTTCAGCCTCGGTAAAAGAGGGATGTTTTTAAATTCCTCCTGAAAGTCAGTACAGTGGTACCTCGGGTTAAGTACTTAATTCATTCTGGAGGTCTGTTCTTAACCTAAAACTGTTCTTAACCTGAAGCATCACTTTAGCTAATGGGACCTCCTGCTGCCGCTGCGCCGCCGGAGCACAATTTCTGTTCTCATCCTGAAGCAAAGTTTGGATTTGGATTTGGATTTGATATCCCGCTTTATCACTACCCGAAGGAGTCTCAAAGCGGCTAACATTCTCCTTTCCCTTCCTCCCCCACAACAAACACTCTGTGAAGTGAGTGGGGCTGAGAGACTTCAGAGAAGTGTGACTGGCCCAAGGTCACCCAGCAGCTGCATGTGGAAGAGCGGGGAATCGAACCCGGTTCACCAGATTATGAGTCTATCGCTCTTTTTTTTTATAAGATATTTATTAGCATTTTCACAAGTTTTATAAAACATAAAAATCACACAAAAAAGACACAAAAAAGAAAATCAAAAATACATACAAAAAATCAGAAAACAAACAAAAACCACATGTATAACTTCATTCCCTTATATTCGTGAAAATTGCTTTCCCGACCTCCTCATACCTCTCCTTACTGCATTCCATTCTCTAATTAATTCTCTTCAACAAATCCTTCCCTTAATTTTGGTTAAATTTTTTAAACTTTCTTTTCATCGCTCTTAACCACTACACCACACTGGCTCTCCTTCTTCTTAACCTGAAGCACTTAGCAGAGTTTGTAACCTGAAGTGTCTGTAACCTGAAGCTTATGTAACCCGAGGTACCACTGTAATGAGGTTGACAGATGCCCCTCGCTAGGAAGAGAATCGCATAAATGGGGAACAGCCACCAGAAAGGCCCTGTCCTGTTTCAACACCAACTGGTGCAACCACCAACAAGGCCTCATCTGCTGAGCATCGGACCCAAGATGGTTGATACTGGGAGAAGGCGCTTGTTTAGGCACTTACGTGTGAGATGCACATGAGAGGCGTTAAATTAAATAAGGCAGAACAATAGACAGCAAAACTATCTTGCTGTCTTGTGGAGGAGGAGGAAAGGGAGCCGATTTACCTGCTGCTGCTCTAAACCATTCTGCCTGCTGAAGAGAGGCTGGTCCAAGGTAAGAAGCGGGAATGTATCAGAGAGGTCAAAATAAAAGGGCGGAGGGAGCTCCTCAGAGGTATTTTCCTCAGGGATGATCTGTAGAGAGAGGCACACAGGTCAAAGGAACTTTTTAGGATAAGACTGCAGTGATAGAAAGGTGAAGGATGGTGGGAGCGCCTTAATGTAGTTTTTTTATGCTAAATTTTGAACTCGGCCACAGATTCCCTGAGCACAAATAATGACAATTTATATACCACTTACAGATGTTTTGGGTGGGGAATCTCTAATAAGTGGTTTACAACCTCAAGGTCATAAAGATCCAAATACCAAATAAAAATAAAATAAAATAGTCAACATAGAAAAACTCCATGTTATAAAATATCACACAACTAACTGTCAGCATCCTTCGGGGGTCGAGATGCCAGCTGGGCTAGCTCCCAGCTGGATCATGCCCTTCCAGCTGTGACGATCCCCCAATCTCTGGTGCGACGTAAATCAGCGACTCAGACTTCAAAAGCCTGAGCACGCTATATTAGCAGAAAATACTGCGCAAACAGAACAGGCGTGAGGCTTGTGGAAACATACTAACAGCTAAAGATTTATTCAGCATAAATCAGGACAAAGAAAACATGTCGTCTCCCTTTCTTCTCCTCAGAGAGACAGTAAAAAGGAAAAGCTATACATACAAGGGAAGTTCCCAGCAAGCTGTGCTAGTATGTAAACAGACATGTGACACGTAACAATCCCATGCCAGCTCCTTAAGGTGGAATAGAATTTTCCAAGACTAACAAGGAAGCTGCATTGTTTGGAATCCTGACTAGTTAGGCTTCCAGACTGTGGGAGCCTCCATAAGCATTCAAATCATTATTCTCATTTATTGGATTTGTTGAATTATCTTGCCCATGGCAACCCAAAGCGACTTAAAACCAACCAAACAGACGCAGGGGGCTTCACCTTCCAATCTGAGAAAGGCCACATGCAACACGGCAGTGTAGGACAGGATTCCTCAGCCCGCCCTCTGCTCACAAGATTTAGAATTGTGTTAACAAACTGATTGCACAAATAGAGAGGTCTCCTGCAGCTGCTCAAAGGGGTTTGAGACTTCTCCTTGCAACAAGACGTGGCAACGCGGGCTGCTCATGTTCCGTGCGCCTCCTAGCCAGTCAGCCATGCCCCTTTGCAGAACACTCCGTTCCAACAAGTATATAGTAAGACTGATACGAAAGCTTTGCAAACTGCAGCATGCGCATGCCCTGGCGTCACCACATGAACAACATCGACTCTCACAGTGGCCTTGTTTTTTGCGGTTTCATTTTACCTGCTCTTCTGTGCTCTTCCCTTGGAGCATGCCCTGCACTCTTTTCAAGTTGCATTTCACATCTCTCAGCTTCGAAGACAGGCTCTCTGCCTCCTGATGGATGCCAGGGCCCTCACCGGTGTGCCTGTCTTTGCAGTCCTCCAATAGGCGCGCCACTTTCTGTTCAATCTCTGATAAGATAGCCTGGAAAGTCAAGCAGTTAATCATTCCTTCTTTTTTTAAATCACTGCAAAGTTTACTTACTGAAAACACCCTAAGCTCATATTCTGTATTAGGGCAAAGGCTGGTAACAGGAATGTTTGGGAGGGTGAATCCAGACTCATTTTTCCTTCTCCCTTCAGACAAAATCATGTATGTATTTGTGGTGGGTGTCAGAGGAGGAAGAGACAAACAGATACTTGCAAACTGCTCTGCAGCAACTTCAACACCCCTGTGGTCTTGTGGAAGACTAACCCTGTTAGACCATTGCAGCAAACAAACATCAGCAGAGGCCCGGAGCGCCACAAAAGTTAATGCCTTAATAACTCTGTGTGCGTTTTCAAAGGTGCTCCAGGTCTTTGTTGCTTTTCCTGTAATCTCTGGCGCAACCCGATAACTTTTTGCCCTAAGCAAGCCCAAACCTAATTAAGTCGGCATTCAGCCTTCCCATCCCATCTGATTATTCCGAACTGCAGGCTAGGATTTTGCATTTCATTTATCTTTTTCTTTCTCCCTGCCCACCCCCCACACTTTATGTTATTAGCTTAACATACAGACAACTCATGAGTCCTCCTGATTAAATCTGAAAGCTTGCTTACTAGTTTCACCCTACTGTTCATTTTGCAGGTTTTTTTTTTCTATTCCTCTTTCCTTTAATGGTCCAATGCAGTTTTCTCACTTTTAAGCCTGCGTATGCTTCTATTGATGTTCACTCTCTCTTGCTTAAATGTTTGTTGCACATTGCCCTGAGCTACTTTGGGGAAAGGGTGATTCTTAAATAGCCTAAACTAGAGGTTTTCAGCCTTTTGGGGTTCACAGCTCCCTTGACGAATTACATTCTTTTCTGCGGCACCCCTGTGGGGCTCAGGAGCCCAGTTATGTCACCCCTTGCCAGCAGCTGGCAGCCCCTCACCTTCATCTCTTCTCCCCTCTCCTTGGTCCCTGAGCTGCACCCCACCCCAGAATTCTCTGAGCGAAATAATGAATGTGGTATGTGCATGTACACAGTCCCTGTCCTCCAAGCAGCTCAGCACATCTATCACCTAGAGAGGGACATGATCCATGGCATGGGAGCACATATCTGGCCCCTCACTGGAACCAGAAATGCACTTTCCAGAAATGTTGCAGAAACCCGCTCTCCATCCTTCTTTTGGCAGCTTTACAATCCTGGAGATGAATTAGGAATGGGCTTGTTTTTTAAATTGGTTTCCGTATGGAGCACATCATGCTTTAATTATTTGCAGCTGAGTCAGGTGAAGTTGGGTTTCGTTTTAGAGAGTTTATTTGTCATGCAAACATGATTTGTACATCTGAAATGTAAGGAACTCCTGCAGCCTAAGCAGAGGTGTGCATTCTCTACTGTGCACTGGAAGAAGAACCCCCACGCTTAACTTTAGCAGTGACTTGGTTTAAATTTTCCGCCAAGAAAAACGGCATGCTGCTACTGGTATGAATGTCTGTGCAAATTATTCTGTTCTAAGCATTGGGGGTGGGTGCATATTAAGATATGCAAGGTATTATTATTATTATTATTATTATTATTATTATTATTATTAAATTTTCTATACCACCCTTTATCCAAAGCTCACAGGGAAGTTTACAATATAAAAAGGGCATGATAGTCCTGCTGCACATCACTAGAAACCCTGCTGGCTTTGGGAGATTTCATTAGGCACTGTCCATGCAGTCTAAAGCAATATGGACTAGAAACTTGGGGGTGGTTTAAAACGAAAGTTGGGATTCTTGGGATGTGAATGCTCTGTCTTCATGATCCTTCCCAGCAGGTGTTGCAAGCCAGCACTGGAGGTGGGGGGATGCAGCAACTAACTGGCCAGCAGCGCTCTGCAAATGCTGGCCGTTTGGCAGCACTGTGTCTGCAGGATGCCAACCTTTGTCTCCAAACTAAACACAAAACAAATCATTGATAAGAACTTGGTGCCCCCTTCCCTTTGGCTGCTGCAGAATGGCATTTCATCCACCACCAGTCCTTTCCAATGCCAAGCTTGCCAGCTAACATGAATATACAAGGGAGTAGGAGGCCTTTGCAGGGAAAAAGCAGTATGGGGAGTAATTAGCCACCCTCCAGTCTCCCTTCGCTGCAAGAAGCTGTTTCCCTTCAAATCTGGGCTGCTTTCCAATCTCAGAGCCCGGCTGGAGGGAAAACTGGCGGGAGAGAGAGGGCTTATAGGAGGAAATGCACATATATGTCCCTGGCTGGTGTGTCTCTCCTGTTCTGGCCCTGCATTCACTTGTGGTTGGGTAACATAGCCTGTATTTGCAGGTAACTCCTAGGGCCTGCCTAGGTTTGGCAGACAAGAAGCCAGTTGAGAACATGGGGGGAAGCGCCCTTATCTGTGTGCCCCTATAAGGAATCCAGCCAGTCCCTGTTTACTGCAGCAGCATCACACACACACAAAAAGAGCCAGAAGCAGGAACGACGAGGCTGCTGGCATTATGTTGGCGCACTGAAATGAGAGGCAAAGGTGATTGGCTTACGAAACTGCAACAGCGACCTTTGGCCCGCTCAGCTCAGCTTACCTGGCACGCAGCTAGACGCTGCTCCACCGTCTGTTGCATTTGGCGGGTCTGGCCTCCTGATCCCAGGGACTCTTTCGTTTGGTCTAGCCACCGTTCCAGCTCAGCAATTTGTGCCTGCCACACATGGAGGAGCCGGGCAAGCTCTGAGTCAGGCCTACCGGCTCCCAAAGGCTCCTCTGAATCTCCCAATAAGCACTCGGCAGTGTTTGTGACTCGACTGGAGGAGGCTTTGCCCTGTGGGGAAGAAAAGCCAAAGTCTGGAAGATCTGAGAGCCTGAAAAATAGCTAACGTGCTCTCGGAAAGCAGCACAAGCCGGGCAGATTAGGGGAGAAAGGAAAGGAAAAGTAAGCCCAGGTGCCAGCTGAGAGTCCCGTGATCTGGTGCAACAGGTTTCTTAGCAGCCGATTTGCATTTGCACAGGTAGAGCTCAGCTCGCACAGGAAGTCTGCTGACTCACAGTTCATTAGGTGGCTATCCCGGAGGGACACACACACACCAGAAGTGTTTTTCTGGTGCGTGCGGTTAAGATTCTACGCGCTGCACTTCAAAGCTGGTTTACATGCCAGCATATGATTTCTTTCGGCTGCTTTTGAGGTTTAGTATGAATAAGGATTGGGGCTAAAATAAAAGCAATTAAAATTAGGAAGGAAGGAAGGAAGGAAGGAAGGAAGGAAGGAAGGAAGGAAGGAAAGGGAGGGAGGGAGGGAGGAATATTTTCAGCTCTGCAACTATAGAGATAGGACTGATTTATTCCAGGTGGTGTCAAACTACAACTAAAATGCAAACAAAAGCCAATTTCTCCTCCATCCCAAACCTGATGGCAAAATCCTTCTTCACTGCTGTTTCCCAGCAACAAGTTCTTACAGTGCAACCTTACATATGTCTACTTATGTCTCAGTGAGTTCAGTTTGGAGCTTACTACCAGGTAAGAGGGTACAGGATTGCAGCATCAGAGCTCTGATGACTCTGATGCATAGAACCGCCATGGATTTATCTGATCCTCTTTTTAAACCACCTGAGCTAGAGGCAATCGCAGCATCTAAACTGTGGAACTCACTTCCCACAGAGGTGTGTCTTGACACCTTCACTGGACAACTTTTAACGAATGCGCTTTGCCCTGGCTTTTCACACTTGAGAGGTATATTGTTAGGGCCCATCATACTTCTCTAATTTTAAGTGGCTCAAAACTGTTTTTACTATTGCGTAATAGTTTACTTTAATATTAACAATTTGTTTGAATCATTCTAATCCGCCCTGGGAACTTAGGTGAAGAGCAGGCAAATAAATTGTAATAATAATAATAATTGGATTTGGATTTGATATCCTGCTTTATCACTACCCGAAGGAGTCTCAAAGCGGCTAACATTCTCCTTTCCCTTCCTCCCCCACAACAAACACTCTGTGAGGTGAGTGGGGCTGAGAGACTTCAGAGAAGTGTGACTGGCCCAAGGTCACCCAGCAGCTGCATGTGGAGGAGCAGAGACGCGAACCCGGTTCCCCAGATTACGAGACTACCGCTCTTAACCACTACACCACACTGGCTCTCAATAATAATAATAATAATAATAATAATAATAATAATAATAATATCCTGCGAACAGCAAATTCAATAAGAAAACTACGTGGTGTGTGAAGAACAAATCCCTTTTTGTCTGTCCTAAATCTCTTAAGGTTTGAAAGACAGAGAAAAAAGTTGTCCCTATTCACTTTCGACAGTGTATAAACCTGCAGCATGTTTCCCCTCGCTTGTCTTTTTCCTAAACTAAAAATATAGATTAACCTTTGATGGGATGTTATGTAGAGAATCTACATTTCGGCATGATGGATTATTGTATAGGCTTTCTCTCTAATCCAGCCTTCCCTAACCTGATGGCCTCCGAATATTTTGGATCACAGCTCCCATCAGCCATAGCCAGCATGGCCAGTGGTCAGGGATGATGGGAGTCGTAGTCCAAAGCAGCTGGCAGGCAAGGGATTGGGGACATTGGCTTAAATCCTATGACCGTACGTACACTGCACAATGCAGCCTATCTGCCTCCAGGTTCTTTCATTTCATTTTTCATTTCGATTTGCTGGTATAACAGGTAATCTGATCGTGATATTTTCAACAGCAATTTTCTGGTAACAATCTGATAGCTTTAATGGACCCAAAGTTAGCGCACCTACCCCGCTATGACTTGCAAGAGCCTCACCACTTCTTGCTTTTTGCGGAGACAAAGAAATTAACTGCTGGTCAGGCTCCTCAGCATCCACAGCCTGCAAAGAAAAGCAGAGATGAAGAAATGTTTTTTCTTTGATGGTGTCTCGGGGTACCTTTTTAAAGCCTGAGAGCCACATTCCCTTGTAGGCAACTTTCTGGGGGTGCCATGTGCCTATGGTGAGCGGAGCAAGAAGCAGAACTGGGGAGACTCTAAACTTTGCACAAGAAGCTACATTCCAGTTGTGCAAAAGACGAGTGTTTCATCACACTTCCCAACGAGGCAGAAGCCTTCTAGGAAGGAACAGCTCCTTTTCTGTTTCATCCCAAACCTGTAAACTATTATTTGCAGTGTTAGAACAGGCCAGGATATTTAGCTATTGTTTGACGTTCACTAGGTATTCAGGCTTGTTGCAAATGTGCTAACCACAGTTTCCCAGTTTGTGTGATACAAGAAACTATGGTTAGCGGGAAACCTTTCGGCTTGTTTCCTTGCTTGCAAAACGGAAGGAACAGAGGGGCTATGCACATGGCCAAAAGGCTCATCCATAAGTTGGCTTACAAAGTCATAAACAGTCTTCTTGGATCAGCATTGTTCTCACTTTGAATGGGCAAAGACTTACACGTCCTTTCACCAAATTGCCCCCCTGCCAAACTGACGAAAGAACCAACTTTTTTTCAATCACTTCACATCCTTTCACAGAAACACACCCCTCCCCACAAACTTGCCAAAAGAGGCAGCACTCTCCATTGCTCACAGAAGCTTTCACAAAAGAAGAAGAAGAAGAAGAAGAAGAAGAGTTTGGATTTGATATCCCGCTTTATCACTACCCGAAGGAGTCTCAAAGTGGCTAACATTCTCCTTTCCCTTCCTCCCCCACAACAAACACTCTGTGAGGTGAGTGGGGCTGAGAGACCTCAGAGAAGTGTGACTGGCCCAAGGTCACCCAGCAGCTGCAGGTGGAGGAGCGGGGAAGCGAACCCGGTTCCCCAGATTACGAGACTACCGCTCTTAACCACTACACCACTCTGGCTCTCCCATTTTTAAGCTCTGAGCTATATGTGATGCATTCGTAAAAACAATGGAAAAGATGGACAATTCAGCATCTCCTGTGATAACTAAAATGGGTGTCCTAGTACACGGTAAAGAATTTGCCACCAAACTCTGTGAAGCAATTAGTCACTCTTTGAGGAATTAATCCAACCAATTCTGCATTATACTCACTTCATTGTGGAATGAATTGTCCTCAGCTTCTTCGACCAAGGAAGGCAGAAGAGACAGTGAACCTCGCTTTTTCAGCTAAAATGTACACACACAGATACAGCCCAGTTATTTGTAGTTGCGAAAAGGACTTTTCATTCAAGTCCTCCTCAAAGTTCAATGTCCAGCCAGTTTCTCATGAGTGTAAAGCTCCAATTAATCCAGGCAAATTAACAGGGCCTGAGCCAACCAAAAGTTAAAGCGCTTTTAAATCCCATAGATTTCAACGGGGTTTAAAATTGCATCTACCTTTCAAAGTCAACAGACTTTAAATAAAGTACGCTGGATCAATGCCCAGTGCAAAAGAGCAGTCTCAACAACTCTGATTAGAGCCAAACCATCTAGCAATGTGGTTTATTTGCACAAGCTTCCCTCAACCTGGAGCCCAACAAATATTTTGGACTACAACTCCCAAGAGGCTCCGCCAGTGTTGGCATTCCACCATCTCCTGAAGAAAACACCTGCTTAGGCAAGCATTTCCGTGAAGTGAACTTCTGGTTTTATTGTTTTGTACCCTTTTAAACCACAGAGCCTAGGACTTGCCGATCAGAAGGTCGGCGGTTCGAATCCCCGCGATGGGGTGAGCTCCCGTTGCTCGGTCCCTGCTCCTGCCAACCTAGCAGTTCGAAAGCACATCAAAGTGCAAGTAGATAAATAGGTACCGCTCTGGCGGGAAGGTAAATGGCGTTTCCATGCGCTGCTCTAGTTCGCCAGAAGCAGCTTAGTCATGCTGGCCACATGACCCGGAAGCTGTACGCCGGCTCCCTCGGCCAATAAAGTGAGATGAGCGCCGCAACCCCAGAGTCGGCCACGACTGGACCTAATGCTCAGGGGTCCCTTTACCTTTACCCTTTTAAAACTGCTTTCGTGGTCATGCTTTTTCATTGTTGTATATTTTGTAAATTTAGCGCATGTTTCAATTACGGATGTTTTTGATGCCCCAATGAAATCGCTACTGTGTATTTTAATTATGTATTGATTTTATACTTGGAAACCACTTAGAAGCCATTTTGGCATGTAAGTGACATACTGTAATAATTAACAAGAATAATAGCTGGAGGTGAGGAGAGTTGTAGTTCAAAATATCTGGAAGGCGGGTTTATATCGGTTCTCTTACACAAAAACCCCACAAACTAATTTCAATTTCGGATTTGTTTATATGCGTTCCAGGGATAAATGAGAGACCGAGGTGATCTGAAAGACCTCTAACCAATCCTGCCATTCATTTTCCCATCCCAGTGTAATAAACCAATAATAAACAAATGCTGTTACGAACCATGAATGACCCATGACAATCAAAGGGAGTTGGGTGGGGTGGGAAAACCAGCTGGCTGGTTGCCTTAGGATGGGGTGGGGGAAAAACCTTTTGGGGCCAGTGGACCAAATCGCTATCTGGTCCCATCCCTGCAGGCCAACTATGGCAGGTGGGTCAACCCACCTGCCAGTCACCGGATGTCATGATGCTGTTAGGTGATTGACAGGTGAGCTGTCCCACCAACAAGGTCCCTTGTGCAGTGCTTCCTAAGTACCCAACAGTCCCAGTACTAGAGACTTATGATCTTAACTGGCAGGGCATGTGAGCAGGGCCTAGGGAAAACAGGCCTGTGGGCCAAATTTGGCCCACAGATGAGAGCTTCCCAAGCCCTGCCTTAGGATAACCACCACTGATAACAACTTCCACCTTGTAATCATGTAAAACAAGCATTTTCGTTTTTGTTTTATTTGCATTTTTAATACAGTGGTACCTCAGGTTACAGAAGCTTCAGGTTACAGACTCCGCTAACCCAGAAATAGTGCTTAAGGTTAAGAACTTTGCTTTAGGATGAGAACAGAAATCGTGCTCTGGCGGCATGACAGCAGCGGGAGGTCCCATTGGCTAAAGTGGTGCTTCAGGTTAAGAACAGTTTCAGGTTAAGTACGGACCTCCAGAATGAATTAAGTACTTAACCTGAGGTACCACTGTACAGAGGCAAATATATCTTTCTCTCACATTCCCTTCCGTCCACCCCCCAGTTGTACAGCTTTCATACCAATCTCAACGTACAACTAAATACCTGGTGACTCCCCTTTCACCCTTTTCCTGGTTTCTTTATTGTTCTATTAAATTGGGTATTCCAAATTTTTCATCTTCGAATTTCTTCTGCTGTTAAATACTATTAGCTCCAAATCCGCTGGTTTTACTCAAGACCTGCTAGGTTATTTACTTGTTTATACTGGTTCTTAAAATATTTGAAAAACATTTTCCAACCCTCCTTATATTCTTTATTGTCCTTTTCTCTTTCCCTGTTTGTTATGCCTGCCAATTCAGCATATTCAAGCATTTTAAATTGCTACTCTTCCTTGGTTCTCGTTCTCCACCTTTGTGCCAATAAGATTCTAGCCGCAATGGTGGCATATAGTAATTTTTTGTTCTGTTTTGTAGGGACTTCTGTTGTTACCATTCCCAAAAGGAATGCCTCGGGCTTTTTTGGGAAGGTTTATCTGAATACCTTTTTCTAATTAATTGTAAATTACTTCCCAGAATTCCCTGATTACTTTACAGGACCTCATGTGGGAAAAGGATCCCTCTACTTCATTGCATTTTCAACATTTACCTTTTCTCTTTTTAAAAACATTTTCGCTAGTTTGTCAGTTGTTAAATACCATCAGTGGGCCATTTTCATCATATCTTCCTTTAATGCGTAACACACCGTAAAATTCATATTTACCATCCGTAAATTCTCCCAAAGTTCATACTCAACGTTACGACCCACATCCTGTGCCCACTAAGTCATACTTGATTTCACAAATTCCTCTTTTGTATCCCACTCTATAGAAGCAGTTTGTACATTTTTTATAATGCTTTTACTTTACTGTATCAAATAAATCCCTTGTGAATTGGGATTTTTGTTCTGCGAATCCAATTTGTTTATCCATCTCAAAGAGTTTGTTAATCTGATGTATCTGTAACATTTTGTTTCCTTTCTGAGTTCACAGTTGCAACGTATAAAACTATCAATACCTTTTTTGAGTAGCATGGAAACAACTGGAAAATAGAAACAGATAGCTCAGCAGCGAATTTCCACAATATTGAAGCCTGGAACTACAGGTGTACCTTGGTTTTCAAACAGCTTAGTTCTCAAAAGTATTGGCTCCCGAATGCCACAAACCCGGAAGTGAGTGTTCTGGTTTGCAAACTATTTTTGGAAGGCAAACGTCTGACGGGGCTTCCGATTGGCTGCAGGAGCTTCCTGCAGCGAATCAGAAGCCACTCTTTGGTTTCTGAACGTTTTGGAAGTCCGTTCGACTTCCAAGATACGACTGTATAACCCACATGATTAAGAATGATGGCTCCGTTCCACCTCAAGGATGCCTCCGAATACCATTTGCTGGGAACATACAAGTGAGACTAGCACCCATGCCTTGCTTACAGGCTTCCCAGAAGAGGCACCAGGTCGACTAATTTGAGAACAAGATGGTGGACTGGATGGACCACTGGCCAGATCCAGCAGCCTTCCTACATCCTTACCACCAGATCTATCTTCATGTTTATGTTTGGTTCTTCCCCAGTTCCCTGCATCATACACTTCCCCAACATCTTCCATCTAATGACGTGGAGCTGAGGAAGGAGAAACGTACAAACTAATGGCCCTTAATACAAGCTACAATGGAGCTGGGGATATACACAACACAAAGACGCCATTTTGTGTGGCAGATGGACTTGAAACTCTGGTAAGAAGCGGCTCCGGCCTAAAATAACCAGTATCTAGAAGGGCTTTCTCATTTCTCTGAACATACTCCTACAAAACCGCTTGAAGAAGAAGAGTTTGGATTTGATATCCTGCTTTATCACTACCCTAAGGAGTCTCAAAGCGTCTAACAATCTCCTTTCCCTTCCTCCCCCACAACAAACACTCTGTGAGGTGAGTGGGGCTGAGAGACTTCAGAGAAGTGTGACTGGCCCAAAGTGACCCAGCAGCTGTGTGTGGAGGAGCAGGGAAGCGAACCCAGTTCACCAGATTACGAGTCTACCACTCTTCACCACCACACCACACTGGCTCGGTATCCACTTACCTGCCAATCAGCACCAGCTCCATGTTCTTCCGGTTCCGGGGATTCCAAAATGTCCTCCTCTAGTTCAGGCTGCTCTGGCCTCTGGTGTAGCTCCACCAAGGAATTCTTCATCCTCGTAAGAATGTCCTCCTTCCTCTGGCAAAGGAGGGAGATCCGCTGCTTTACGTCTTCCATCTCCTCGCCCTAAGGAACAACGATGCTCAGATGTGACATTTTTTCCACGGGGGTGGGGAAGGGAAGCGCAAAAACGGAAGGAAACAGCAAATAGTTTATGGCATCTTACTGGAGCCCGATCTCCGCGGTTCCCACTGGCTCTCTTTCTTACGCGGAAGTAGTGCCCCATTGCTGCTGAAAACCAGAGCAAAGGCCTCAGCATGAAAACAAGAGCCTTCTGGATGCGTCTTCGACCGGCCATGGCTTGCCAGGCAATGTGGAGCTTCAGTAAAGAGCACCACTCTGGGTGGCAAATGGACATGTGAGGCTTGTGGGAGCAGAATTCCTGGAGGGTGAATGCTCAGGAGTTCTTCCTTTGACAGGCTCAGTCACTAATCTAGATAGGTCAACTATAATACACTAGCACTTCCTGAAAGTCCAGAAGGTTGTTTTAAAAAACAACAACATTTCCCTCCTATTCCAAGTGGCACAAAACCAGGAAATAAGGAATTAAGAGGTCTGTGTAGGTTTTACACAAGAAGCCAGAAAACACCCCAAGAAAATGCAAGCCGGGCATCCTTCCCTGTCTCTGCTTCTCTGTTCCTGTGTCCTCACTGAACAGATTATTTGTATGTAGGAAGGAATCTTCCTAACCACCAGGCAATTATGCAATTTAATTAGGGCTTTAGACTAGTATATACACTGCAGTAGGTGCGAAATGTGACACTGTTACTAATGTTGCTGTAATTTGGAGAGCCGAAAGGTGTTAGCATAGTTGCATGGCCTAGTCATTTCCTTGCTTTTCTACCTATATACAGTGGTGCCTCGCAAGACGAAAATAATCCGTTCCGCGAGTCTCTTCGTCTAGCGGTTTTTTCGTCTTGCGAAGCAACCCTATTAGCGGCTTAGCGGCTAAAAGGCTATTAGCGGCTTAGCGGCTTAGAAAAAGGGGGGAGCGAAAAAAACTGCAAGACTCGCAAGATGTTTTCGTCTTGTGAAGCAAGCCATAGGGAAATTCGTCTTACGAAGCAGCTCAAAAACGGAAAACCCTTTCATCTAGCGGGTTTTTCGTCTTGCGAGGCATTCGTCTTGCGGGGCACCACAGATGCTTCAGGTTACAGACGCTTCAGGTTACAGACTCTTCTAACCCAGAAATAGTACCTCAGATTAAGAACTTTACTTCAGGATGAGAACAGAAAACACATGCCAGCGGTGCAGCAGCAGCAGGAGGCCCCATTAGCTAAAGTGCTACCTCAGGTTGAGAACAGTTTCAGGTTAACAACAGGCCTCCGGAACGAATTAAATTCTTAACCCGAGGTACCACTGTAGTAGACTCTCGTGTTCCCCTGTATCAAGCTAATCCATATGAGTCCCCATTTCTTCCTTAACAGCTCCCCTTCGGCTGCTCACACAGGAAGAAGAGTGTGCCACCCACCACCTGGTATAATTCCAAATGGCTGCTACAGGCTTATTAAAGTTGGCATTGCATGGGCAGGAGGGCTTTTGGCACAGGGCATTCCCCACCTGAAGGGACGCGGGTGGCGCTGTGGGTAAAAGCCTCAGTGCCTAGAGCTTGCCGATCGAAAGGTCAGCGGTTCGAATCCCCGCGGCGGGGTGCGCTCCCGTTGCTCGGTCCCAGCACCTGCCAACCTAGCAGTTCGAAAGCACCTCCGAGTGCAAGTAGATAAATAGGGACCGCTTACTAGCGGGAAGGTAAATGGCGTTTCCGTGTGCTGCGCTGGCTCGCCAGATGCAGCTTTGTCACGCTGGCCACGTGACCCGGAAGTGTCTTCGGACAGCGCTGGCCCCCGGCCTCTTGAGTGAGATGGGCGCACAACCCTAGAGTCTGTCAAGACTGGCCCGTACGGGCAGGGGTACCTTTACCTTTTATTCCCCACCTGACCAGCACTTCCCCTGCTGCTGTGCCCTTGTAGAATGGGATCCCGCTGTGTTGAACTCAGAGTGCAGCGGGCCCAATGCTTGCTAATGTAATATCCATGCATCTGAAGAAACTAAATTGTAAAACTGTTTTGTTTGTTTTTTGTCTGAATCAAAATTCAAAAAATTCTGGGATCTGTAACAAAAAGCTGAAGCATGGAGTGTTCCTCCCACCAACCCAGAACCTCTTTCTGAAGATTCCATTCTGTTTCTCCCTTACATACTCAATTTTAGCTCCCTCCCTCAACTCTGCCAAGAGTCAATCATCATTCTGGACCCTTTTTACCTCCCTAAAAATGTGTTGTGTTTCTGAGAACTTCTGGTTTCCCCCTAAGCCGGGTTTCCCCCTAAGCTTCTCTTTCTCTGTGCGTGGTGACATTTTGGCTATATTAGGATCCACATTTTGAGAATGGGTATTAATATTTTTGTTGTTGTTGTTTAGTCGTTTAGTCGTGTCCGACTCTTTGTGATCCCATGGACCAGAGCACGCCAGGCACTCCTGTCTTCCACTGCCTCCCGCGGTTTGGTCAGACTCATATGCTATACAATGTGTACCAGAATACTAACCTAAGTCCAAGTGAATTCCAAGGAAACGACTTTCTCATACTTTTAATTAGTGTTATAACCTTAAGTCCATTTTCAATGAAACTGTTTCGTCCTTTGCCAGTCCTCCCAAAGCCTTAAAAAGATTTCAGTTTAACACATTCATCTGTTTCAACTCACACACATGTTGTTATTTTAGCAGCTGCTAATAAGTTTGGGATCAAAAATCTATTCCAGTCTCCTAAGCTTCAAAAGAGAATGGCTGTTTCATTTGTCTACTTTTTAAAAAAGAAAAGAAAACGGTATACAATTCGGCCATGTTTTCTATTTATCTCTGCATCATCTTTTCTGCAGCTGACTCCTCCAGTTGGAAAATTTCCAATTAGGAAATTTTCACCTCTTTCTGGAACCGCCCCTTCACATTGTTTACAGTTTTGAGTCTGAAATGCAATTAGCTTCTGGCAGGCTGGAGAAATGTAAAAACAATTAGCACTCTGGGTGGTTCCAGTTAATTTACGTGGCAGATGGAGAAGCGGGGAGGGAAGGACTCTGGAAAGAGCCAATGAACACACTGGAACACACCAGAGGAGGGATGATGAAAGGGTAGGCAACCTGTTGTCATTGGGACTACAACTCCCATCATCCCTGGCAACCAGCCATGCTGAATGAGGCTGATGGGAGTTTTAGATACTGCAGTTAAGTTCAGAGCACAGCAGGCCATAGCTGTCAACTTACAGATTTGAAAATAAGGGGCCAGCAGCCTTGAAAATAAGGGACCTGCAGCCTCACCTGTTCCAGGCACTCCAGTCTTCCTGTCCTCCTGCAATCTGGTCAAACTCATGCTGGTAGCTTCGAGAACACTGTCCAACCAACTTTGTAACCAGAGGTTCAACTGAATAGAATCTGAATCACATGCACCACAAGGCCTATGAAGCCTCAACTTAAGATGGCTCCCCGGCCTGGCTTTGCACTGCAAAGTTTGCAGCAGCACGTGCAACAAAATGGCGACCAGAATTCAAACCCCCCTCAGCTTGCATTAACTAGCCACATACAAGGCATGCAAGCTCCACCCCCCAATCGTTCTTAGACTTCTTATTGGGTGAGCAACACAGGCAAGCAACACAGTTGGAGCCTCCCTCCTCCCTGGCGGGCAGGGAGGGAGGGAGAGGAGCTGCTTCCTTTGAAATTTAAGGGACATCATTTAAGGGACATTTAAGGGACATCCATCAATAAGGGACAGCAGCGGGACATGGCACTGGAATAAGGGACTGTCCCTTCAAATAAGGGACACTTGACAGCTATGCAGCAGGCATCCAGCACAGATGGAGGAGGGAGGGATGCAAACCTCACCTCTGGGTAGGAGGCAGCCTGAGCAGGCCATGGGATTTCTGTAGCCAATTCATCCAAGCCACTCCTCGGGAACAGGAACTGCTTCAGAGAGTCTATTTCTTGCTCGCTCTCTTCCAGCTCTTTCACAATGGGCTGTAAAACAGTAATTACTATTAGCTGTTTCGAAGTTGGCGGTGGAACACATGGCCCCGTAACCTAATAAACCATCAGACACCCACACTGCACTGACTGCACCCATGTCCAGCTCATAAAGGACGAGTCAACACATTAAGGAAAGTAAAACAGAGAGAAGAGGTGGAGTTGCTTCGTAACAGGTCAGGCCACCATTCAGCCCAAAGACTGTTTACGCTGAGTGATGGAAGCACTTCACAGTTAAGCGTCTGCAGAGGCAATTGCATTTGCTCATAGAATTACGGGGGGAAACCAGAGGCGTACCTCTTGGGAATTATATCGACTGACATTCCTGCCACTAGGAAGAAAGTTTTCTTATATGCAACCGCTGCAGCCGGAATGATAATAGCAAAAAATTGGAAGGGAGAAAAAACTCCCTCAATAAGAGAATGGCAAATAATATTTTGTGAATATATAGAATCAGCAAGACTTACAGCAGTGGGTAACAGGCCAATCAGACCAAAAACTGATAGAGGAGTGGACTTGCATGGAGGAATACATCAAAAAACATTGTTCTGGTATTAATATTTCAATATGCAATGAATGAAACGCATAGAGTAAAAAATTAAGAAGAAATGGGTATAAAATGAGATAGTCAAAAATAATATTGACAACACAGCGAAAAGAAGAAAAGAAACAAAGGAAGCCACATATAGGTGGAGGGAAGTCAAAATTTATGTCTGTATGTTTAGTTTGCATGTTTGTTTTCTTTTTTTGTAATCTAAGCTGAGAGGTGTATGTATCTATGTATAATATGTTTGCTTAGTGTTCTGGTTTGTGTTTGTTAAGTATTGCATTTATCAATAAAAGTTTAAAAAAATTTTTAAAAAGAATTACGAAGGACAATATTTCATTCGCTGCATTAGGGAATACAGGCTTGCCCCAAAGTGGTTGAGCTTCGTTTAAAAAAACACCAAAAAAAGTGCTTTTTCGATTGACTTCTCTAAGATCCAGAACAAAGTGCCCTCTTTCTGAAATTCCACCTTTGAAATCCCTGTAATGTCCGGGAAAATCAGGACGTATGGTAGCCCTAATATCGATGGTACTACAGATGAAGTATTCAAAACAGGCAGAGGGAAATCATTGTTGAAGCAATAAAGAAAGCAGCAGCAGAAGCTGCTAGGCTGTCCAGATGTGGATCTGTGATGAAGGATGTGTGATGTGCAGCCATGATTCATATCTGAACTGCACTGCTTAGGAGAGGTGTCTGTGTTTCTGAATGGGGAAACACGATGCGTTTTTAAGACAATTGTGGAAACTGAAATGCACACGATGCACAACTGTGAAGTTGACTTTTAAAAAATCCAGGCATTTCCAAAGTTTTGTGCCTTGGGTGAAATAATCAACGAAAGCAGATGCAGAAGACCTGCCAGACAGGTGCTTTGTCCGCCAACTGTCACATTCTTGTCCAGTCACAAAGATGTCAAAGAGAACAACAACTACCAGACTTTTAGGAGACATCTGAAGGCAGCCCTGTTTAGGGAAGCTTTTAATGTTTGATGCATTACTGTATTTTACTATTTTGTTGGAAGCCGCCCAGAGTGGCTGGGGAAGCCCAGCCAGATGGGCAGGGTATATTATTATTATTATTATTATTATTATTATTATTATTATTATTAAAATTACTTAACAAGACAGGATGTTTTCTGTCACTACAACACCTATGTCGTATTTGCTTTTACCTCGAGCAGTGCGTTTTGCTCCTTGGTAATTCTTTCTAAGGTCTTCAGCTCTTTCAGAAGTTGCTTTGTTCTTTGGAACACAGAGAGGGGTTGCATCCTCATGCCTGGCAACCTCAGACTCTCTTTATAGGACTGGATTTCAGCAATTGCCTTCTGCATGGGGCTGATATGGGCCATTATAACCTGAAAAGGTAAGGTGCAGGATCAGTGGATGAAGTTTGAATGGGTTGGGGGAGGAAGTACAGTGGTGCCTCGCAAGACGAAATTAATTCGTTCCGCAAGTCTCTTCGTCTTGCGGTTTTTTCGTCTTGCGATGCACGGTTTCCCATAGGAATGCATTGAAAATCAATTAATGCGTTCCGAGGGAAACCGCCTTCAGACCAGGTCCGGGGACAGTCTGTCCCCGGACCTCTTCTGAAGGCTGGGGGAGGGGGACAAGGGCCTTTCTTCCCACCCCCAGCATTTTAAAAAACCCTGGGACAGCGGAGGACTTCTCCGCTGTCCGGGGCGATCTTAAAATGCTGGCGGGCGGCATTTTAAAATTGCCCCGGACAGCGGAGGACTTCTCCGCTGTCCGGGGCGATTTAAAAGCCCCTGGGAAGGCAGGCAGGGGGGGACAAAGACTTTCGCCCCCCGCACGCCTTCAGAAGGTGTTCCCGCCCCCCGCCCCGCTTCGGAACAGCTTTCCGAAGTGGGGCGGCTGGGGCAGGTGTCCCCGCCCCCTCCCCGCTTCGGAACAGCTTTCCGAAGTGGGGCGGCTGGGGCAGATGTCCCCGCCCCCCTCCCCGCTTCGGAACAGCTTTCCGAAGTGGGGCGGCTGGGGCAGATGTCCCCGCCCCCCCTCCCCGCTTCGGAACAGCTTTCCGAAGTGGGGCGGCTGGGGCAGGTGTCCCCGCCCCCCCCTCCCCGCTTCGGAACAGCTTTCCGAAGTGGGGCGGCTGGGGCAGGTGTCCCCGCCCCCCCCTCCGCGCTTCGGAACAGCTTTCCGAAGTGGGGCGGCTGGGGCAGGTGTCCCCGCCCCCCTCCCCTCTTCGGAACAGCTTTCCGAAGTGGGGCGGCTGGGGCAGATGTCCCCGCCCCCCTCCCCGCTTCGGAACAGCTTTCCGAAGTGGGGCGGCTGGGGCAGGTGTCCCCGCCCCCCCTCCCCACTTCGGAACAGCTTTCCGAAGTGGGGCGGCTGGGGCAGGTGTCCCCGCCCCCCCCTCCCCGCTTCGGAACAGCTTTCCGAAGTGGGGCGGCTGGGGCAGGTGTCCCCGCCCCCCCTCCGCGCTTCGGAACAGCTTTCCGAAGTGGGGCGGCTGGGGCAGGTGTCCCCGCCCCCCCTCCCCTCTTCGGAACAGCTTTCCGAAGTGGGGCGGCTGGGGCAGATGTCCCCGCCCCCCCTCCCCGCTTCGGAACAGCTTTCCGAAGTGGGGCGGCTGGGGCAGGTGTCCCCGCCCCCCCTCCCCGCTTCGGAACAGCTTTCCGAAGTGGGGCGGCTGGGGCAGGTGTCCCCGCCCCCCCTCCCCACTTCGGAACAGCTTTCCGAAGTGGGGCGGCTGGGGCAGGTGTCCCCGCCCCCCCTCCCCGCTTCGGAACAGCTTTCCGAAGTGGGGCGGCTGGGGCAGGTGTCCCCGCCCCCCCTCCCCGCTTCGGAACAGCTTTCCGAAGTGGGGCGGCTGGGGCAGGTGTCCCCGCCCCCCCTCCCCGCTTCGGAACAGCTTTCCGAAGTGGGGCGGCTGGGGCAGGTGTCCCCGCCCCCCCTCCCCGCTTCGGAACAGCTTTCCGAAGTGGGGCGGCTGGGGCAGGTGTCCCCACCCCCCCCTTCGGAACAGCGTTTTAAAATGCTGGGGGTCGGGAGCGAAGCGCTGCCGACCCCCTGCATTTTAAAATCTCCCCGTGTCCCGGGAAGATTTTAAAATGCTGGGGTCGGGCTGCCGACCCCCAGCATTTTAAAACCTTCCCGGGACACGGGGAGATTTTAAAATGCAGGGGGTCGGCAGCGCTTCGCTCCCGACCCCCAGCATTTTAAAACCTTCCCGGGACACGGGGAGATTTTAAAATGCAGGGGGTCGGCAGCGCTTCGCTCCCGACCCCCAGCATTTTAAAACCTTCCCGGGACACGGGGAGATTTTAAAATGCTGGGGGTCGGCAGCGCTTCGCTCCCGACCCCCAGCATTTTAAAACCTTCCCCGGGACAGAGACTTCTCTGCTGTCCCTTGGAGATTTTAAAATGCTGGGGGTCGGCAGCGAACGCTTCGCTCCCGCCCGCCAGCATTTTAAGATCGCCCCGGGCAGGCGGGGGGAAGGCAGGCGGGGGGGAGCAAAGACTTTTGCCCCCCGCCGGCCTTCAGAAGAGGTCCTCTTCTGAAGGCTGGCTGTGGGCGAAAGTCTTTGCTCCCGACCGCCAGCATTTCCCTATGGGCTTTCGTCTTGCGATGCAAGCCCATAGGGAAATTCGTCTTGCGAAGCGCCTCCAAAACAGAAAACCCTTTCGTCTTGCGGGTTTTCCGTCTTGCGAGGCATTCGTCTTGCGGGGTACCACTGTATAAAATAACGCTCAGGATGATCAGAACATTTCACAGACACGATCTCGGAAAATATTATTAAAGAGGAACACATACTAATTATTTTAAAAAGAGGGTTAACTTGAGTTTTCCAAATACATGGGAGGAACTGTGCATGAGGCAGTTCCCTGATCCAATCCTTAGCATCTCTCTATAACTGGAAATGGCAGGGACTGAACCCAGCTGCTTCTGAAGCAGGGGTCAGGAACATTTTCCAGTCAATGGGTTGGATCCTGGTCAATTGCCCACCTCTCAGTCACCCGGCAGCATTATGACATCAGGCAACAACTTCAGCTAACCGAAAGCGGCAAAGCTGAGCTTGAACTGAGCCCCTCTGAAGGTGAATTGTTTGTTGGCGTTGAATGCATGCCTTCAGAGGGGCTGGCTTTCAGCGTGGAAAGCTAGCCCTTACGGATTTCCCAATAGGAA